AGTCTTCGAAATGATGTCTGGCCATCAGGATGACCTCTAAAATGAGCAGCAACGATTTCCGAAAAATGACCTTGAATGACCTTGTCCTTGTAACAAAAAATGAATGCCCCCCAAACTCACTTAATTCGATTCCTAAGTCAAAGGTATGTCTGGTTGCAAATTTATTGGCGTTCAACATCTTACTAAGTAGCTGAATAGCCCTGTACAAAGATGAGTATGGATGTTGATTCATATATTGAGCTTGCCGATAATCCACCACAGGAAAAGTTAGAGGAGTTTATTTTAATAAATGATAATTGTGGAAATATGAAAATAATCAACATGAAGCGAATGTCAAAACCGATATCGTTCGCAGCAGTTGGCACAAAAATCGAGTTAATAAATGATAAAAGAACTTATTTCTGGCAACAGGACCGAATGTAGCATTGAAAGATGTCATGCAAGAGCCCATTCCCACTTGTGTTAGAGAAAGGCTTGGGATAGACAAGAAAAACTCGAAAAAACATCGAAAATTCAAAATTAACAAGTAAGTAGTTTTGCCTTTTGAGAACCAATATTGACATTTTATTTTTATTTGAAGAGTCACCAAGCATGGAACCCAAGCCAGACAACAAAGGGTCAAAAAGCAATCCAAACTAAAGAATCAAAGCGATTCTAGAGCAGTCACGAGCAGTCGGAAAAGCCTACAATTCTTCACCTTTGGCCTCGCCATCACCATCTTCATTCAAGGGTAAAACGCAGAAGAAATCGTCAAAGTCAAAAAAATTAAACAATTATCTGAGAATGAAGCTGAACAGTTAAAAAAATTAAGAAGAGCAAGCCTTAAAAATGCGATAAAAATTGCGCATAAAACAACTCGCAAAAATTCATGAGCATAACTTTCTGCAAGGATAACTGGTAAGTTTGATGACAAACCACTTCAAGTAATTATGGGTCTCCGCACTAGAGGAGTGCTTAATTCTAGCTATCATGCATTCTCCGCACAAGAAAAGTGCTGCAACATATCTTTAAATCATTAAATCTGTAAAAAAATCATCTAATTTTCTGTTTTAAACATTAAGTTGACTATAAAAAAATCGAAGAAAAACAAGCGTAGAATTACAAGACGTTTCAACCTCATTTACTTCCCGTTTCATTCGATATCTAAAGATCTAAACATGCTAGGGTATATATATTTCAAAGGTATGCTTTTGAGAATTGAACAACAATTTTTCTGAAGTTTCAAGTTCATTCAAAGTCATTCGTTTATTTGACCTCTAAACGACTTTTGAAGGTTATTTTCAAATAGCACACATTTTGCTCTCTTGAAAAATATTTGCCGCAAGACGTCATTATTCTTCTCTGAAAAGTTATTCAAGCTTATTTCAAATCGATGAAAAATGTTTTATGAAAGATATGTTCATATCACTTGAATTTGCAGAGATGAATTTATAGCGATGAAATTATGGGCTATTTGGCAATGACCTTCAGGAACCGTTTAGAGGTCAAATAAATGAATGACCTTGTATGATCTTGAAACTTCAGAAAAATTGTTCTTCAATTCTCCAAAGTATACCGTTTAAATATAAATACCCTAGCCTTTTTAGTTCTAAGATCAACAAGTGACACGGTAAGTTCCTAGAAACAACTTAGACTATTTTTTAGACTACCGTAAAACGCCAACAAAAATATAACTGTTTGGCTAGATAAATAAAATTTACTAATTGGACCTTATTTGGTCAAATGTGAAACATATTTTCTGTATTTCTCCACAGCCTACCAAAATTTACAAAACACCTCACCACGATTTGATTTTAAATCAGTTTTCCAAACAGACAAAGACATTTTCAAGTATCTAATTCATCACACATTGCAACATTTCAGATGCAAACTTTTCGAGTTGAGTGATCAACTAGAATATTTAGGTGACCCTTGTGTTGTTAATCAAAAATCAAATTTGCATGGATCGAAAGTAATAAGACCTGATGTTCTTGGTAAGATCAACGATTTTATTTTCCACTTAGAAATCCAGTTAAAAGACAACTGAGATTACAAGAAAAGAATCCACGGACAACAGTGTTCACTTGCAGTCGATTACCCTGAACACAAAATCATTTAGATTGTGATCGGGCCAATATTCAGCTTTTTACCGAAAATTCTTTTTAGTATTGCCAAAATCGCTTGGTATTTAGCCGATCACTCCGAAAAATTACCAATTATTGGAGATGATGAAGAGATAAAATGCAACGATTTTTTTTTTGCAAATCCAGAAAGAAAAAACGGCATGAAAGAAATAACTTGTATCGAAAAATTCATCAATCGCATTTTCAGCGATAGAAAATACGATGCAATCATAAATAACACTATGGCTTCTCTCATACTTTTATTATAAATTCAGAAAATAGAAATCAGGATGTGCCTAAGCAATACCTGAAAATCAATTATGGACAAAAGGATTTGCTTGTAAAAGATTATCGATTCAGACCTAAAATTATGAATCTCATGTTTAACTGTATATAGTTCAATAATGATGAAATTTCCTAATGATGAAAACAATCAATAGATGCCAATTATTTGTTGCTACGTCTTTTTTCATCAACGTATAATATTTAATTTTAACCATGAAAATATCTTCCCATGTGAATCCAACCTTTTCTACCATTACAAATTAATAATATTTCATTAAAAGTAACACACTTCATCTCAATCAAACATCTAACTAATTATCAGACAAAGTGGCTTCAACAAGAACCTTAATTATTATACAATAACAGTTAATAATCACATCGCATCTTCAAGTGTTCAATTGTTACCAGCTTATAACCCAATCAAGTAATACTCAAATACAAGGATTATATACAGAAATGTGACTCCTAGCAATCAATTTTAGACACTGTTTTGAATTTAATTGTCAAATACTGGCAACAATTTAAACCTGTTAGATCAATTGAATTGGATATTCTTGTCTTACAAGTCTTACAAAGCTTCAACTTGCGACTGTAATCTGCAATACAATCACATACAAATGTAAATTTGTTATAATTTTCACCTACTTCTTGCCAATTAAACCTCCCACAATAAATTACTATTAATATATTTGAATTATTTTGGAATCAAAGTTTACAAATTATTTATGATCTGTTGCCCTTTAAGTTCAAAGCACAATCACTTAGTTGCTTTCAACTAGACTTTTCCACTTATTGAAGATTCGTCAGCATCCCGAGAGATATCAGAACTAACCTCAATAATTCATCAATTATTACAAGTAAACGTTGCCATATTTTTGTTTGTTATTCATTAAATAACGTACATTGAACACAAATAGTCAGTTTTGATATTTTCACTGGGAAGGAGAAATGAAATCGGCAAAAAAAGTATTACTTGAAAATAAAAACAAACCAGAAAAGGTTGAGACTCTTTACGTTGATTGACTTTCCTTTTTTTATAAGTGATGATACACTTTAATGTATACTATTAATAATTGTTGATTGATTATACACTTGATTCTGATTTTTATTTGTTTATTTTCAACTAAAAAGCTTTTCCTTTTCATCTTACGATTTAATGTTGATTTGAAACCCATGAGATTGTTTAATGTTGCTTCAAAATAAGATGAAAAGATGACGAGAAGAGGGACATTGAATGATGTAACTGGACAATCTTTAAGCCTATTGAATAGCTGTTGTTGATCAAAATCAAATGGTTAAATTATGGCGCATATTTATTCAATCAATTTCAAGCAATTCAAACTCTTAGTGATTTATAAATAAACTTAAACCAAAATGTATAAATAAGAAAAGTAAAAGCAAAATTGTAAAGATACAGAAAAGCTAAAGATGGACATTCAGTAAACTCAGGTCAATTAAAGGTATAAGCGAAGGCGAATCTGAAATTTCCATTCCAAATGAAACAAAAATCGTATAAATTCACATTTTTAATAAAAAAATACTCAATTTACCAGATTATTAAACGATCAATTACCAACAATCAACAAAAACAGACTAAATAAGATGTTTTGTAGCTGTAAACAACCAGCAAAGACTCTAGTCTTTTCCCTTTGAATCAAGCCTTAAATGTTGCTAAACACTTTTAATACAAATTGTTGATTTACTAAACTAGTTCATATACAGTGATTAAGGAATTAAAATTGTAAATTCAATTTCCTAGATTCTTCTTGGTTTACATGTTTTAAAGCGTAAATAAAAGATGAATTTTGTATCAAACTGGAAAATGTTGCTCTTTTGATCTGCTTTTTACATCCATTTTAATTAACTTAATCAAAAGTCTGCTTATGGTTAATTTAGCCCTGATTAAACAGAGAAAGGTTAATTTTACCTGAATTTTCTGCATCTCAGTAATGTAAATTATTAAGGAAGTCGTTTTTCTGATACACTAGTAGTCAGGGTTAAGTTAACAAAAAAGGGTCAGCGTTAAGTTAATTTTTAGGTGTCGCCATCTCGAGCATTTACAGTTTTAAGAGACACTAAAAAATGAAATCTATAAAAAATTAAGTTCGATCTTAAAGGTACTTTTATTTCTTGTTAGATGGCGACTATGAAAAAAATCTCCACTTTTCTTAACTTAACCCTGACTACTAGTGTATTATGACGCTAACTGATTGAAATTAAAGCAAGAAAGCTGATCAATCAAGTAAAACTGTATCAAAGATAATCAAATGAATCAAAAGAAGTCAATTAATGGTGAAAACATTTAAATCAACTGAAAAATTTAACAATTATTAGAGGCAAAAGCTAAGATTAACTTGAATAACATTCAACAGATGTTTTGATTCCCCAAATTGAAAGTGAATTTGAAAGCAAGATTAAATGGTTTGCTGTTTAAACTTACATTAATTGTCTAGAATTGAGTTTGTAATTTTTGCTCATTAATTTTTTATTATGGTTAAATCAGTAATAATTAATTTGATTATTGTAAAGTAAATGTATCCCATGTAAAAGGTTGCTGAGGAGGAGCCTTTACCTGTAATGGACTGAGTTGAGATGAAAAAGGTTATGAGCTGTTGGCTTATTGAGTTTAAATGTGTATATCAAATGTTATTGATATATTTTTAATATTATCATCAACTAAGAAACTGAGCAGTTGAGCAAAATTGATAAAATTCAGTCACTTTTAGACTTATATCTTTGGTAACATTCAGGGTAGATCAAATTATTTGACCAAACTGTTTCCACCAGCAAGGTTTACACAGTCATTACTATTTATCCTTAGTTTAAGATAACATTAACTTAAAACATTAAACCAAAGTAATTAATTTACATTGTTGTATAAAATCGTATTAAAAGTGAGCTTTCATTCAATTGATCGACATTTGACTCGGCGTAATTAACAAGTGACCCCTTATCTGGTTAACCGCCAAAAGAGTTGCTGTTGTAAGAAGACGTAACAAAATGGGAAAAATTTTACCAATAATCTTCATCTTTTTGATTCTTTTCAATACTTTAATGGCTCAATTGAGTTTCTCAAAGGATTGGCGAGCCGGAGGTAAAAGGTCATCACCATCATCATCCATTGAATCCTGTGATTTGAATCGTCTGGCTTCTTTATTGGAAACTCTAATAGTAAGTATACTCTTTTTTTTGCCACCAGCCATCTTAGCTTAGCTTTTAGCTTGTATTTGGATATTGGATTGTTTCAGACGATTCTTTTGGATACATTTTGGTTTTTTTGATTGTAACAGACTAGTTAATTTATCCAAGATTGACTGTAGTCAGATGATGATCAGATTTAAGGATATTGTAGTCTTAAGTCTTTTCCGAGTCACAGCTTGCAATTGTTCACATTGGAGGAAATTTATTTCTTGGTATAGCCATGTAATCTGGATTCATCCTTAATCATGAGATGATTTCAGTAATATCGAGATTATCCAAGTTTGAATTTGTCTAACAAGTCTAACAAGCTCATGATTGATTATCAATTTCATGTAGTCTAGTTATTCGTGGAGTTGACAGACTTTGTGGAAACATTTCCAGACTAAATAAGTGTTGATAAATCAGTGAAAAAAGGACTTTCTCAGCTAATTTAAGATTGAATTGAATATTTTTATTATTTTTTTCTAATTATTTTCATTTTTATCGTATTTTCCAGAAAGAGGCCGAAAAATTGACTCAATGTACTCGAAGATTGAACGCAATAGATGGTTTGACTGACATTTTTCAAAGATGATTTTACAAACCTTAAACCTAATTTCAAGTTTTCTGTCAAAACATTAAACATTGGTCCTAAATCAACTTGGTCCAGCAAAAAATTACCTGATCAATTAAACAGAATGAGCTGTTTGTATTTACATCAATCAAAAATTACTGATAATTTATTTATTTGAAAACAATACTCAAACAAGTTACCCTAATGAACACACCGACTATTTGTCATAATAATGCTGAAACTTTATCTGATTGTATACAACTAAAAAAGAGAAAAATGAATTAAATGTAAATCAAGTTATTGTATTCACTACAATGTAATGTCTATTGTTGTGTGTCTCATTATTACTTTTGTTTCTTTTTATTTTCGAATCAATTCTGAACGTTTCTTAAAATCAAGATAATCAATTGAATTACAGGATGGATAAGTAGTCTGTATAAGAAGGTTGAATTCAAATTGCTATTGAAAATGCAAACGAATAAAATGAACGACTTTCCCAACACAAATTACTTATCCAACTTGTATATGATTACTTTGATTTGCTGTTCAACTCATAATTTAATCATAGCTAATCAATTCAAATCATCTATTAAACCACATAAATAACCAACTAAATAAAACTCCTAGAACCGTTCATAATGACAGTTGTTAACAAGTATTAAAGGTGTTACAAATATCTAAATAATAAAAACAATTTGATTCATTCCAAATAATTGAAATTTGTTGGGTGAAGATAGTAAATCCATTTCAATTCGGGTTGATCGCGAGGAACGGTACGATTGACTCTGTAAAAAGACAGGTAAATATTTTTAAAGAAAATAGGCAACGATTCATGAATAAAAAGATACTGAGCTTGAAATTAAGGTGAAAATGGGTTAATTCGGAGTATATTTCATTTTAAACATTGAATAATCAATAAAATATTTGGTAAGAACTGTAACGGGATATTTTCAATGTTTAATATGTCTTCACTTACCTCAATTGTTTTCAACAGAAATGGTAGATTAAACAATTTGATGTATGATTAATTAGATGGAAAGCGTGTTCAAATGCTACTTAAGAACACGAATGGAATGAAATTTAATTAGTTTCCAAGTTTATTTAATTAAATTGGCTGATATTGTGAAAAAACAGCAAAAAGTAAAAAGCATTTCCTTTATTGATCATTTCACTAAAGGAATAGGGATTTGACTCGATAAGAAAGTCAGGCTTAGCATTTATGCTTAATCGCACTGTAATACGAAATGTCCGACCGTTAATGGGAAGTAAGACTCAAAAATCACAAGAAAAACACAAAAATAAAACAAAAAATGAAGTATAAATGTTGATATAAATGTCAATACACTAGAGTACTTCATAACTTGGTAGAATTTCGTGTTGGCGCCACCTATTGGATTTAACCATTTAAAGGGGTTTTTTAATTGTTTCAACCAAAATTACTCAAATTTTATTACAAAAAGTTGAATTAGCGAGTCAAATTTACTAGAATAAGTAAAAATTTCTTGTCAAATAAATCAGAATAAGTCAAAAACACGATAATTTGATTATTCAATAGAAAAGAACATTTTCGCGTCTTTATGAGAGTCAAGAGCTGGATAGACAAAAAAGACCTTTAGTTATTAGGAGATTAGGCTGATTAATTCTGCAGGAAACCCATTTTCCAGTAAAGTTTACATGCCAATTCAACTTTTTTGACTAAATTTTAAGATATTCGCATCAAAATAATTAAATAATTGAACAAAAATGGTTTTAAAATGGTCAATCCAATAGGTGGCGCCAACACGAAATTCTACCAAGTTATGAAGTACTCTAGTGTAGATATAAAATGGCAGGAGAAAGGGACTTTCTAAGAATAACACTTACAAATACAAGCATTAATTGAATTAATCAAGATTCACCTTTTGAAATTAGTCAATAATTTAATTCAATTTGTAAAAATTGAAAAGTTGAAAGAGCAATTAAATTAATTGAAAACTGTATCAAAAAAACAAGTAAAAATCACTTTACAATCACAATAACAATCACCAGCTTGATAATAAGTGCGCAAATGCCTCCATCTGTTGGTACAAGTTCAATCTTTTAAACCAATTTTTGATGAATTAACAATTGTAAGATAATAAATAATAATAATAGATGAATAAAGATGTTCATTTTAATGGTGTTTTTCAAATGATTGAGTATTTATATCAATACAAAAGCTGTAAAATGGTTCTTTTAATGTTTTAACTTTCATCTCTTGTCAAAATGCATTTACTCATTTGATTGACACTGGACATTATAATATGAAAGCGCAAAAAAAAGGTAATATTTTTATCATTGGTTCACCTTTCTGGATCTTGTCTTGATGAAATTGGTTCCCTTGTATAGGTTTGAAGACACATTGAATCAACTCGATCTTCATTATCAGTGTAGGTCGACGTTGAAGTGACCAAGAAAGGACAACAACGAATAAATAATTCCCTAAATTCTCGTCTAAAATTGTCATTAAGAAACCCATATAAAAGTGGATTGGAACAGGCTGAAGACATTCCAGCAAGATGACAGCAAGCAAACAATATCCGATAAACTTGGGAATTGTCAAAAGGAAAGTAGATATCGGCCACAATATTGACAATATTAAGAGGTAACCAGCTGATGCCAAAAATGAATGATATCGATATTAACAAGAGGCGAGTTTTTCGCTGTTTAATCTTTTCCCTTCTCTGTTTCTCGGCCAAAGTGGTTCCCATTTTTTTCTGAACCATTCGATAGTTGAGTTTCCTCAAGATTCTGATGTAAGCCACAGTAACTATGATACAAGGACAAACGTATTGAAATATCATGGAAAATATTGAATACAAAGCTCGTCCATGTTCAATTGGCCACTTTTCAATGCAATAATCAATTGATTTGAGCCATAAAATGTCTAAATTGAAAAAAAGATAAAAAATCAAATGGAAACATTATTTAGCTTTTCAATGGAACCCAAAATTTATCCAAATTTTCCCATCAATAGACATTAAAAATTAATTGTTGATCTCATTGAAGGAAACAAAATGAAAAATTAATATTTAGATTGTATTGATTGTAATGCATTTCATTTCCATTGCAATATTAAAACATTTCAAGTCCAAAATGATTTGAAAAAGCTTAGAGTTGAACTCAGAGACAAAACTTGATCAGATGGAAGGCATTTTCAGTAAGATTGATATTCATAATCAAACAAAAGAACAGCTAAAAATGATTCATGAAACATCGAAACATCATTAAATTATTCAGGGGAAACATTAGATGTTGAATTTTGATAATTTTTACGTTTGAAAACATTCTTATTTGCTTTTATATAATTGAACACTTTTTTTCACCATCTATTTGCAACAGTGAACAATGATATTCAGCAATAACAACTTCCCTGAGGAGTTGAGGATTATCATGAAGTTTACAGTTTGAAATGGTGAAAATTACATGGAAACAAAAGAAAAAGAAATTGTGTCTTTTTTCATTTCTTTAAAATAAATGCCTCGAGAAATGTTAATATCCATCAATGTTGAACATTTACTTTCTTCATTTGCCTAAATCAATCCAACAAATTTAATTAATGAAATTCAACTGAAAACCTGGTAAACATGGTTAAACTGATTAGTGTTCATTTCAAATTAAAGTCTCGAGATTGAGTAATGGTGAGAAATACTTACTTATACTGTGACTTTCAACGGTTCGGTAAATGAAGAGTGGTGCTGATAGGGCCAAAGCTGTTATCCAGATTGCGGAAAGTGTTATAAATGTATTGATTGGATGGCAAGGTTCACAATTAGGATTGACAATTACTTTGTACCTGTCCAAAGCAATTGCAGTTATACTGATTGTTGAGACAAATATTGAAGTGGCTTGAAGTCCAGCGACCAATTTACATGTGGCTTCACCTGTGATAATGAAACAATGAATAAGTCAGAAAAGCTTACAGCACTGACAATCAATCATCAGTGAATATGAATATTTTCAATTTGGTTTCAGGTTAACCCAAAACAAGAAGGCAATCAATCAAATGTAAACCCAGTCTAAGGCGATAGAGGATTACATTGATTCCATTGATTACATTTATGAATAATTGATCAATTGAAACTAATAAATGGATCAACTCTAATAATACAAATGTTATTGGAAATGTTAATTAGTTTGTTAATCGATGGTTAATTAAGCTATTTTTGTCTCTTCTGTCATTTCAAATGAAAAATTGTATTTTTGTAGCAAAAATAATTGATCGACTTTATTTTAATGGCATTTTCAAGCTTTTCAAGCTTTTATCTATTGTTGTAGCTTTGAAAATGATACAAAATTTTGAAGGAAAACATTTTGAATCTTGAAATTGTATGATTGCTGACCAAACATTGAATATCATTTTTACTTGGAAACTGGAAAAGCTATTCTTAGCATTGAGATCGTCATGATATTCTTGATGATGTTGCTCATCTAATCAAGTCATTCTTTGGTTCACTATTTCCGAATGATTGATCCAAAATTATGGAGTGAAAAGGAAACAAAAATTGTCATCAAACTTGAATCGGAAATGTTGACACAAACAACTGTTATCATCTAATACATCTGATCAGTTCAATTTGATTCAATTATCTGTCAATCCGTCTTTTATTTTTTTCCTATTCAATCTTCAACTGACCTCAACTTTTACCTTAACATTACAAAACAAATATTAATAAAGGAAATAAAAAGCAAATCAAATTTTTAATGAAAGTTCAAAAATTGGCAAAATATTGAGATAATTCAACACTTTAAAGCTTAATTTTTCCCATTATTTGCAGATTCACTCTTTATTTGTAATATTATTTTTCATGTAAACTCCACAAATTTACAACTTTTGACATTTTTTATCAAAATATTTATTCACTTCCATATATCCTAATAAAGATATTTCTCAGTATTCAGTCCATTTCTCTCCATCCTTTTATTGATATAAAATAGCATTGTTAGGTAAAGATGAACATTAAAAGTGTAAAAACAAAACAAGTTTACTTTTCTCACTCCCAGTTGAATCAAAGCTTCCCTGTTTTATCCGATATCTGAATATACTTTTCAAATTCACTGTAAATATCAAGCAAAATCATCAGACAATAATCTTAATAGTTAACCATTTAAAGAAGCAAAAATGGCTACAATATTCTGGTTAAAAAGCAAGTGAAAATTGAAGTACAAAATGAGTCTAAATTACGATGAAATTAACAGCAATTACAATGATTTAAATTGGAAATTTGAAAAGCTAATCAATTCTTGAAAATGGAAATGTTGAGCTTTCTTTTTGATACCAAAGTTGAACCTAAACTTGACTCAATTTCACTTGGTTTTGATTTTCTGGTTTTTTGTATTATTTTTGCCTTTTCATTTTACTTCAATTTCAAATCCAATTGGAATCAATTTATTAGTCGTTTCAAATTGAATTTGAGGTTCCCTTGAGTTAACATTTTGTGGTAACAAAAGGATTACAGATGATTAAGTTTTAATATAATTGAAGTGACAGAGTAACAGTAAACACGACTACAAATTAATCAAGGGTGTTAATAATAATGCTAATGATTAGGTATATTTTGGGTTGATTTACAACCAAACAGTAGCGATAAAAAAATAGTGAACAAGATTTCAAGTTAACATTGCCATTGACTTTTGTAAATCAATTTGTTTTCCTTGGCAAATTGAAATGATTAGCAAGACAATTTGTTAGTTAATTGATTGAGAAGCCGAAAGCTTAAAGATGCTAAGAGAAGAGCATTTTTGAAGACCTTTTGTTGTTGGCTTACCAAATCTTGTTACATATTATCATGATTAGGTTAATTGTTGATCGAAATGTGAAAACTTGTTTTCATGGATTCAACTTGTTGCCAAGCTTGTACAATAAACAACATTTGTCCATCTTAATCAGCTTGATCTTTCATTATAACACAATCCTTGATAACTAATCATCGATCTCATTATTTGACAGACAAAAAGGGTGAGCCTTCAACTGACCACTAATAAGATTGGCCACCAATGTTAACTAACCTTTAGATGGTCAATAGAAAAATATTATTTCTATTTGTACTTCACTTCTTTTTTTACCATATTTTCTGAGTTTCCTCATGAAATCATCTTGAAAATGACAATAAAAGAAACTTCTTTTTTTACCATTTTTTCGCTTACCTTGGACATGAGGAATGATAAGTCAACTTGAGGTTGATTTTGACCAAGGAAAGCTGAGATTCAGAGATTGGAATGATTTGAAACGAAATATGTCTCAATAATTTCATTTTTCATTCCATTTTTTTTCTTGCTCATCAAATTTCATCATTTTTTCACTTCATGATTCAACCTTTCTCATCAGATTTTCCTTTCATCAAATTTTTTTCACCATATTCATATTCCAATCCATATTCAATATCAATTATTTTCCGTTCATTTCACCTGTTTCCATTGTTGGATGTCATAAAGGGATTGTTCAATTGAATATGACATTTGTTTTCACTGTTTAACTTTCAATTTCATTTCTTCCTTACAAATCACTTTTTGTTATTCCTCAACCATCAGGTGAAAATTCAATGTTTATATTGAAAATGAATTTCCAACACTTTAACTAAATACACTTCTAAGGATATTTCACCAGATTTTACTCAATCAGATGTTTAGACGTGAATATGTTTATATGTAAATGGCAAGTAAATTGAGTTATAAGATCGGAAATTTCAATCCATATTGGGATTTAATCGCGATTATTTAACGATTTGAAACTCTATCTGGTTCAGCTATTGATTTTGTCATTTGAATTGTTTTGCAAATTTGGGTGAAAATGTAAATCTTGAAATGGTCAACTTGGAAATCATTTTTAGATGAATCTGGTTGAGTTGATGTTGCTTGGAATCCTTTTAATGTATCTTTTAAATAATTTATTTGGCCTTTGATTGAATTTAATAAATTAATGTAATGTAAATGATTGAAAAGATTGAAAAATTATTAACCAAACAAATGTTAATCTTATGTTTGATTTATTATTTGCTTTGCAAAACTTGGGCTTTAATCATGTTGATAATCATGTTTAGTTGAACAATCGGTTAATATTGAACAAGAAAAGTTAATCTGAACAAATCAGAGACTTGAAGTATTAGTTAATCCTATCAAAGTAAACAAGTTTCTTATGAATATTTGATTAACCATTATCACTGTTGATTTATATATTGAAAGGACATCAAAAAAGATTGAGCCTTTTACCTGAACAACAAGGCAACATGTAATCTTAATGGATGAATGAAATCAGTCTCAAGCAATCTAAATTAACAAAATTATCTCTGTAAATCATTTTGATGAAACATCAAAAAAATACATTTACATAAAATTGATGAGAGAAACATGAGACAAAATAAAAACATAACAATGTTGCTGAAAAACTAAACAACAATAACGAGAAGCAGACAAATGCAGCTTAAATAACAAGACAAAATGCTTAATTCACTCTTAATTTGATGAAAAAAATCTGATTAATATTGAACAACCAAAGTCTGATAAATCAAGCTTCTCAATTGATTGAATGTTAACATGAAAAAACTGGTTAAAATGAAAGGTTTTGTATTTTATGTTTTGTATTTATGTTTTGTATTTATGTTTTGTTTTGCCTTTGCTTGAGCTTTTATGATTGATTGTGGGATTTCTGGTTAATTGTAAATCTTAATTGTGTCTCTACTCACCTAGAGGCCAAAATTTGAGGACAATTTCAACCAGTGAAAAAGGCATTGTAAAGAGACAAAGCAGTAGATCCGAAATGGCCAGGTTAATGATGAAAACATTTCGAGGCGTCCTCATTGAAGGCTTACGTATAACAACCATACAAACTAAACCATTCCCAGTGGCACCAAGAATAATTAAAATAATGTAAGCAATCATTAAATAGGTAAATGATGTATCATCAATGGCTCGATTAGCAACATATGTTTGTAATTTTTGCATAATTTCACTCATGTTGTGGTACAATATTTCATAGCGAGGATCTGTAATGAAAGAGGAAACAAAGATGTTAATATGATTGAAACATTGTATCATTTGGTGATTTTAGGATAATTTTTTCAATTTTTCATTCCCTTTCGGGTCACTCCAAGTCATTTCAGGTTATCATCAAAATTTTTTGACCCTTTTCATCCCATATTTGCATCGTTTAATCTAATAATAACCTCATGAGATTCAATATGGAAAAAATGAAAGCTTTTTTTTTGTCTGATGGCAAAGATGTATTACTTGGTTAAGCTAATATCTTATCATCAACAATGTGATTAGTTGAAGGAAAAATATCATGCACTTTTTCAATCATCTTTTTTTGCCATCTTCTGTATCGCCATGAATTACATTCCGGATATTTATTATTTAAGCATGATTTCAACAGTAATATTGATGACAATCATGATGATGATGAAGATGACGAGCAAGATGATGAAAGTGATGGAGAAGAAATAAAATTTTGTCTTTTGATTCCTCATTTTGGTCATAACAATCAATTGGTTGAAGCCTTTTTTTGTGTATTACATTTTTTGTTACCCTTTACAATAGCTTTTGTTGCTTCTGTCTCTCTTTTGTATTGACCAGAAAAAGGTTAATGAGAATTGATTACTTTATTATTGTTTAGTTGATTATGTTAATAAATTAACTATTAACATTTCAATTGGTTGATCCTGTCTTTACTGGCATCACAAGTTGGTTGAAATGTGAAGAGCTGAGGAGTGAAAACCAGAACAAATTATCAAGTGATCAGAAATTCATTTTCCTAATTAAAAGGAGATTCACTTTCAACTCATTGATTGATTTCAACACTTGAAACAATCAACTTTATTGATGGATAATTAATGGTTAATTAATGTTTAATCTTTAGATTGACGTTATTCAAGAAGAAATTGTTGATTATCAGCTTTTTTGTGCATTTTTTTGCATAAATTCAACCAGTTTTGGTTTCAATACTTTTCTTTATATCTCATCATTCATGAGACTCACCAGTATTAACACACCTTCAGAATTATTGGCTCCATGTAAGGGGTTTTCATCATCCTCATCATCATCTTTTTCATCATTATAATGATCGGTGAAATTGTGTTTAAACGATGGATGGTTAATAAGAGATGAAATAACATTACCATCAAGTTGATGAGGTTGTTGCTGTTGTTGCTGTTGAGTTGGCTGTTGACAGTTTCCTAATGACATTATTAAATGGAGTAATAACTGTAGTGGAATCAATTTTATATCAATCATTATATGCTCATTAGAATATTTAATTCATGTCAACAAATCACAAGAAACAAAAAACGACCAATAGCTATGACAATAATTTATAAAAACAGTTGTGGCAATTATTTCACTTTACAATTGTTGGTTTCTTGTGAAAACTGCTTTGTCCATTTTTTTATGCTAAAACACACAATTAGAATAACTGATTTACAAATTATTGATCAACAAATCACTGGATAAAAAAGATTGTACCGTTGTGGAGGCATAAAACGTACAATAACAATTAAAGTTGTTGTCACTGTTAAACACTAAGCAAGTTGTTGGCATTTTGTTTCTTTATGGTGAACACAAGTTTTCACAGTAATCCTGTCAACGAATCTGCGCTTGAGTCTAGTTATCTATTATAACCTCCCATCAAGAATCTCCTATCAATTCCATGTTTATTATATTCCTATCTTGGTGAGAGTTCAGTCAATCTATTGTAATAAAAATTGTAAAATTATGTTTACTAAATTGTTACAGTAAAACAAAAAATGAATTGATATTAAACTGTAAACTGTGACATCTGCTGAGGCGTTTTTAAACTGTTAGTGTATTTCTATAACAACAGATGACACCTTTCTCGTTGTAATATTTTCAATTTCAATTTCAATTCCAATTGTTGATTTTTTCAAATCTAATTGTAAACTTTTCAATTTTATATTTAACTTTGCATTTTAATTTCGTTACCTTTTATTTTGTCTGTTTGGTCTAGTTACAGTTTGTCTAAATCGTATACTTTCATTATCTTTGTCATCTATTTTTTGCAACTGAAATGATCATTTCATATTTTATTTTATCACTTTGCGTTTCTGTTTAGTTATTTATCAGTAAGTTAATGTATATTTGAGTTAAACCTGTTACTTATGATCTAATTTTTCTTTATTACAGTTTTGGCATATCCAATGCTCTCGAGACTATGTATTGAGTTCACACAAAGTAATTCTGGCCATTTCAGCAGATAAGGCATTCAAGTTGAATGTACATTTTAACCTTTTATATGTTATTGAAAATGGACGTTGATTTTACTTCTCCTATGTTGCTAATTCTTATTCATTTCCATGATTTTCATCTTTTCTCTCTTAGATTCAACGATTATAATAGGTTATTGTTTCAAGTTGAAGGTTAATTGGTAATTCTCGCGATGATAACTTTCAAGTTAATCATCCAAACACTTTCATGTCTCTTATAAAGTGACTATACTTTGATGCTCTTCTATGACCCCTGCTTAAAGGTAAATCAAATTTTTATTAGATAACTTTGTTTTCCTTGCAAATCGAGATTCCTTTTTTTTGACTTGTTTGTGCAAAAATATGATGATTCTATTATATGTTTAATCAAATACCAAGTGTTCGTGATCAGTTAACTAATGTCATCTCTGTTGCTCATTTCAGGGGGAACACAGGATTCATTGTTTATTAATCGCAAGAAACTCATTGGTTGTCCTCTTCAGTTAACGGATCATCTGAAGCTTTATTTACTGTATATTAACTCATAAGGGACTGGAAAGAGGTATTAAGATGTAAGATGACTTGAAGATGGTAAACAAGGCGAAGAGCAAAGTCAGCTAATGTTGGGCTTGATATAAGCACAAGCCCCACTGTTTTTGGTAAAAAACTGTTATACAATTTCAGTTTACAGTGTATTGACCATTCAAAGCTGTTTTCATCGTAACCTCTTCAAATCCATTTCACTTAAATTATAAGTTAATGTTGACGCTTCTTTAGCTCTCTTTAGCTCTCTTTAGCTGATTAACATTTACAATCAACATGAAACAAAATACAATTTCAATATTTTGCTATTTTAAGCAGTAAGGTGAAAGGTTACAAAGCAATATCCAAGGCCTAAGACAAGGAAGGGTGTAAATTACAAGATGTTACAAAGACTGGCAGTTACAAGGAATTGTGAATTTAAATGAAAACAGAAAATGTTATTTCACCAAAAGAGAGTTGAAATGCTGTAAACTGTTCACATTGTATAATATTGATATTAATTTATACAATAATGTGAATGTGCATTAGCTTATATAAGCTATTGGTTAACATTTTTTGTTGACTAAATTCAATTAACCAAGACTTTTTTACATAAAAGTAAACAAATTTTGTTTTCCCTCTTAATCCTTCTATTCAAGTTAAAAGGATTAATTATTATGATGATAATCATTAAGGTTTACATACTTTCGTATATTTTAGGTTGACTTTGGAAACACACAGTTTGGACCAGTTAACCCACAACTTTGCTTTGGGGTCTTCTTGGCTTTTTGTTTTCCCAGTTAAGCTTGGAAAGATTTAATTTGGATTGTTTAAAAGTGTCACACTGAAGTCATTCAAATGTATCATCATCATCGTAATACAAATGGGTGAAAAAAAGCCAAGGAACAATATTATAGTGCCAATTATTATAATCTTAGTGATTAAACAGGATCTACATAAAAGTCAAAGCTAGGTGACGCTACAAGGATGGTTAGATGATTGTTTGCAGTTAAACCGTTGGAGATGAGGATAAAAAAAGGTGATAAAGATATGGTTAAGAGGTATAGTAAAGTGACCTTGTCGTAAAAAATTTGATAGTTTCCCAAAAATATCCAATAACAGAGTTGAACAAGGCTTAGTTCTGCTTAATGGGTCAACAAAACTTAATTGTATCATCTTGTATACTCTTAGGTTTCCCTTTGTTTGTCACTCTATGCTTCACCAATACAAATACCGTTGGTTAATTACAATTGATTAATCGTGGGTTATTTTCGTGTTTTGATGCTCTACAAAGTTATTGATTTATTTTGAAAGGTTGTATCTTTTTAAATATTGTCAGCTTTATCATCTTTCTTTTACTTTTCTTAATTAACTTTCGTTTTTTTACTTTCTCTCTTTTAATGCAGGTAAAATCAACTTGTTCAGCTTTCATTGGATACAGAACAGGCAATTTATCATGTTGATGGCTCACTGATGGTAAAATGCAAACGGATATTGTTCATTGCTTATAAATACTAAAATGCTGCCGTAATGTTTGTCAATTGTGAATGGCAATGTTATGCGGTAATACCTTCAAATTGACTTGGTTTTATGCTAAACTAACTTTAAACATTTCTCGATATTTTTAGAGCCAAACTGTTTTTAAACCCGAGAGGAAAGAGAGTAAAAATTCTTGTGGTTAACCGCTAACCAGGGACAATTTAATTGTTTGTTATATCATCATGAAAACTCTGGGCCAGTTACTGAGATATTTTGGGAATGAAATTACTGTTCACTTCAAATTCATCGACTTCAATTATTATAAATGTTTGCCATTCATCATCTGGATTTTTCAATATGATACAAAAGCTGAGGCCAAATTGCATCAATATTTACTTTTGGCCTTTGATTGATAAACATAAGAAATGGAAAAGAAACCGTCCAACAATCATTGCAGTCAAATTTCAAGCACTATTCATGTTTTCTCAATCATTTCCATCTAGTAAGTTGATTTGATAAAAAGCTGAAACCAACTAATGAATAAATGTTATTTATTTTTTTAGACTTTAAGCTCAGAATTATCATAAATTGCCTTTTCTATTGGTAAAGGCTCTTTTGAGCTAATTCTTAACAGATAAGGGCAAAACGGATAATTTCACTATGGATAAACCTATTAAAGCTAAATTTTTTAAGAAGTTAAAATCAAACTTAATGAGTATAACCCGAAGTCTAAATAAAGCAAAATATTGAGAAGCATTTTATCAGTTTTTTTCTTACTCTCTTGATTCTTTTGTTACAATTTGACCATCAATTCAATCATAATGAGTGATAATTTAACTTTTATTACATCAAAAAAGGTGCTAATCATTTAGTTTTGGAAAACTACGAACACAGAAAATATCGTAGTGTAGAAAACGCGACGCGCGCGCGTATTCGACTTTAGCTGTTTTGCCTTTAGCTCTTAAGGTTTATCTAAAACAAGCTTAGCTATAAGAGTTTTAGCTAAAAAGGTACAGAACCTTTCTATTGATTGTTGGTTTTGTTAATGAAACAGCCTTCTAATGATTATTTTACAATCTTTTTTTAATCTTTTTCTTAGGCTCTTTCCTCACTTTGTTTATTACCATGTTTACCATTTCAAGTTACACTGATAAAACTGCATCTGTTATTCGTGTTGACCTCTTATCCCTTGGAAATGACCCTAAAGATGAGCATTATTAACTATGCAAGGTTCTTCTTGTGCCACTTCTATGGTCAGCCTTCTTTTTTAAAGGTCAGCTCGTGCCACAAAAAGAGAGAGAGAGAGGTTTAAAGCAATACCTTACCCTGTCTTGACCCGACCCGATGCCAGGTGAAACTGTTGTTCAAGGTAAACAATACTCTAGGCCTGGGTTTAAAAATGTCCAGGAGATGTTGAAGAAAAAAAGTCTAAAGTTGAACACGTTCATCATCTGCTGCTGTCCTCACCTTTCACCTCTCAATCTGTTCCTGTTCTTTCTCTTTGGTTCTTTTAAATCCCTCACTTCCATCTTTCTACCTTAGACAGGTTACCAACCTGCGTGACACGAGGTCACTTTATTATTAATACTATTGTTACAGTTTGCCCAAACTCAACCCGTTGACCAGGTTGCTGTTCACTTTACCTTGTATGACCTTTGGAAACATATTGACATAGCACTTACAAAATAGTGAATTATTTAAAAAACAATTTGGCTTTGGTTTTGGTATTGGTCAAGCTCTGATTGTGTTGACAAACTCAAGGAAAAAAAACATTGCTCAGAAGCGTCTAACCACAACAAGGTTGACATCAAATGATTTGGACCAATGATTTTTAGGATAAGGCTTGAAGATTAAGACATCAGCTGATATTAACACTTCTGTTGATAAGCATAAGGGTTAAAGGATGAAACCTTACTGTGATTGACAGATAAATAATTGAACTTAATCCCACAATTTTAAAAGCATCATCATAATAATTTTGACCAAAAAGATGGAGAAATCATTTAACCGTAAAACAAAATATTTTCCTTACTTATCCTGATTTATACTTGCTGACCAATTTTAACCATAATTTTGCGTCCATCACTGCAATTGGTAAAAGTCAAGCTCATTTTTCAATAGTTCAACTTATCACAAATTAATTGAACTCAAACAAAAACATTTTAACCTGAAAAATTAATTCATATTAATCCAACTTAACCTGGAAATCAAACATTGGCTGTTGAGGATTATCATGAAAATGAGAGCGGATGTTTCTTGTGTAATTTTCATCATCCTGATGCTCTAAATATTTTGGAGACCAGATGATCAGAATTTAGCAGATTCAGGATTCCAATTATTACATTAATAACTTCAATTTCCATTAGTAACAGTAAACAAGCAAACTATTACCTTTTTATGGACACTTTGACAGCTTCAAACTTGGAGATCATGGTATCGGTAATTAACCTGGAAAAAAGGTTAAGAAATTCATAAATTGAATAAGAATAGCAAAATATACCAATCAATTTGATTAAAGGTTTTGTCAAAATGAACAGTTTGATGTGAAAATTTGCTATCTTTTCAACAAACCATTATGATTTATTCATATTAATAGTAAACCATGAATGATTTACTCTCATCTTGCAACTAATCAACATTTAATTTTGTTATTAGATTGTTACCTTCAACATTGGTATTGTAAAACAATTATCAAGTACTCGCCTTCATTGTTACTGTATAAGAGAAATACTAACTACTGGAAAGTTTAATTATTTTAACATCAGCAATTGTAAAGATAATGGAAACTGAACTCATGATTTAGACCATTATAAATACATGATTGATGACATTATAATGATTTAATTATCTGTTGACCATTTAAGTGTACAAATAATAAGTCTAATTATATGTCTTAATGATAAAATACAATGTAAAGTTAGAAAGTGATAAAATATTCTGGTTAATAAACTGTATTATCCAACTCAACTTAATTAACGCAATTCATTAACAATGGAAGAGTATTAGTTTACAAGCGAAATGTTAATCAATGAAGCTTCTTCTGATCAAACAGGAAGATAAGTTAATTTTTTTGTCAGATGATTGTATTTCAGAGCGATTTCCGTCTAAACATAAGGCAACTCGGAACATGTTGATAAGCAAATATAATAAGTTAATTAAGTCGCGTGAATTTAGTTGTCCAGAGATGGTTAACTGTGCTGAAATGTAAGACAAAGCGTCTTCAATCAATGTTAATCAGATGAAATCAGTTAATCTTTTTAAATTGTTTACTTTAAACAGTAACAAATTGACACAAAGATAACTGTGAATATGAGAAGTTGAGTTTTTTTGTTCTGTTTGTTTGAGGAAACAAAAGAACCAAAAATGTGACAAATGCCAAACAATTTACAGTTAATTATTGAAGTGCACAGTCTGTAGCAAAAAAATAGCACAAGCTTCAACTTGATCTTGTTCAATTCAATTACTTTTGAAGCCAAAAGAATCGTTGTTTTGGCTGGAAACTATTATTATAATGATATGACAAGGAATTGAAATATAGCAGATCAACTTTTATTAATCTCTCAACAAAATTGAGATGGACAGAGAGGTGAGATTAAAACATGGGTAAAATAACAATATTTTTATGTATATATTTATATGTTTGGATAGTTAATTCGATTCAACTGGCTTGGGGTGAAAAACAAAGGTGATTACAATCAATTTGAAGCCAGTTTACAAATTAAGATAATGGAGAAAGAAATGTGACCAAAAAAACAAACAAAATGATATTTGAAGATGATGTTGAAAATGGCGGATAGAAGGCTGAGTTTGACGATGATGGTGAGGATTAATGATGGATTAGTAATAAAAAATAGGCTCATGAGAAAATAATAATAATATTACACACATTCACAATTATACACTGTTGATGGCGTCAACAGATTTACATGAAATAAAAATTATGGTCCATGGTTTGATACTATTTATATACATAATTAGTACCTCAATCTGGGTTCAAAAGAAGTGTATGTTGAATATGGTGATAAAGTGGATGGACTAATTGCTGAAATGTAATTGTCTTTAAGGTTTGGTGATCCCTCTAGACTTATTATTTTATCATTAAAGTGTTTCTTTAAATCACTTTCATCGGTACAATCAATGATGAATGCTTCATCAATAGCTTCCTCTGGATGAGTTAAACAATGATTTGGTTCCTTCTCATTGGTATAATAAACGGCGCCCTGTCTTCGGTAGATAAGGCCAATGATGATGATTAGAAAAGTTAATGAAATGATTACAAGAACTCCCAAAACCATTCCAATTTTGGGCTGTGGATAGGTTAATCTCATTTGAATTTTGGTGTATTGGTTAGGACAAAATTCAATGTCATCATCGCTGATCTTATGGATAGATTGACCTTCAAGGTGACTAGGAGTTGAACATTTAACACAAAACTTGTCCGCATTATGGCCAAAGGTTGAGCAAAGGTTAACATAAGCGGGTGGTAATTTATTCAACCAATTGATTAAAGGTAATATATGACATCGATAACAGGACCAGGGATTATTATGTAAGGCAATGAGACGTAATGTTGTTATTGAATCAAAGGTTTCCAAAACTGATTCGTCTAGGCTGGAAAGTGAATTGTGTGAAAGGTTAAGTGCCTCTAGGTGATGAAGAGGGACAAATAGTGAAGGTTGGATTGCGGCAAAGTTGTTTGCGGACAAGTCAAGAGTTAGCAAGGAAGATGAATTGCTGAAAATATCTTCCGACACGGAATCATCAAGAGCTATTTCTGCCAGAGAAAGGTACTGAAGTTTACGTAAGGGTTTAATCAAGTGTGAAACTGATAACCCTGGATTGATGAGTGATGGATTATTGTTGAAATTTAATTTGATTAAACTGCCATTGATTGGTTCAAGCAAATTATCAACGATACCACGAATCCGATTATGAGATAAATCAAGACTTTCAATGGTTGACGAACAGAAAGTACAAGCGGAAAGGCCGGTAATGTTGTTTGAAGAAAGTCCAAGATGGTTTAGTTGAAGACCGGCAAAGGTTTCATCACTAAGAGTCATTAATCGGTTGTTATCCAAATGTAATGTACGAAGATTAGTTAAAGGTTTAAAACCAAATGAGGTTAAGAAGGTAAGTCGATTCCCTTTTAAATTAAGTTCTTGAAGATTATTAAGAGGTTTATAGATTTTTGACTGAATATCTTTTAGGCCACAAGCTTCAAGTGAAAGGTAGCTAAGAACGGGTAAGTCGATAAAGTAATCAGCTTTTATGTCAGACAATGGATTACCGCTGAGGTCGAGGTGTTCCAATGATGTTAATGGGTAAAACATACGAGGAACAATGGATCGAATGTTATTTCGAGCAAGGCTCAGTCGTTTCAATGAGATGAGGTAGCTGAATGGAGCTGAAGGTATATTACGTTCATTCAATCGATTGTCACTCAAATCGAGGCTTGTAAGGTGTGAAAGATTGTAAAAATCGCGTTGAGATAAAATACTGATGGAGTTGTGACTCAGGTCGATACTTTTAAGCTTGTATCCAGGCCAGAAAGATGATTCGCCAATGGCAGGTAGTCGAGAATGGCTTATTTTAATTTCCTCTAAAACAGTCAATTTATCAAATATTTTACCCAAGTTAAGGGTATTTTCCTGATCCGGTTTCCCATCAATAATGAGTACCTAAGGATAAATGAAATAAAATTAAATAGATGAGTATTTTTCAATTGCAATTTGATCAGTTGAGGGGAATCAGTCAATCAATGAGAGAAGATTCAAGATTATTAGGAGGTGAAGTGAATGAAGGAAATTTAAAGGTTGATTAGACTCCACTATTAACGGTTGCAATTTAAAGTTTGATGAACACTTGAAATGAAACAATCTGAAATATTGACAAACCAAGAAACCGATCATTATTTTGACCTATCAAAAATTGTTTGTTTAAGGTTTACATATTAAATCAAAATATCAGCTCATTATAAAGGTTAAATGATTGCAGGATAAAGGTAACCCTATTTAAATTAGTTTCAATTTTGACAAGCTCTCAAATTCAATTCTATTTAAGGATCATCATCACCATCGAAAACTTATCCATGATTGTTGAAGCAGTTAATAATAAAATGATCGTAATTTTGATAGATTTTCAAAGGTTTTAAGCAAAGATGAGTCTTCAGTAGTAATATTTTTCAGTCAGACAAGCTAGATTCAATGTTTAACTGGCTGAGCAAAAATATGGAAACAAACAATTGCAAGCATTTTCAGTTAAAATTGAATGAATAACAGAAAAGGTTGAATTGCTGGAAGATAAATCAAAATACAATTCAATTCTTTAGTTTCCTCCATTTCTCATCGAAACAAGAAACAAATATGAAAATAAAAGTAAAAAATGACCAAAATAAATAATCAAATAACAAAAATATCGCTTTCATAATCAAATGATTTATCAACCATCTAAAGGTCAGAAATCAATTAAATGATCAGCGATAAACTTAAAGTGAAAAGGTCATCACAACTGGATACAATATCTGTTTCTCTGTATCCTGCTTATTCCAGTGCATTGAAGAGGACAAGCCGGAAATAATTGTTTCCTTGGTTTGTTCCCAGTTGACCTTAGGATAAACAATATGTAAAAGTGAGACGAAAAGGCAAAGGGAAAGGTCGATTTAAAGTAAACTTATGTTCAAGAAGAAAGATTAAGATGGATGTTTAAAAGGAAACTACGAACTTCAATTCGATACAATTTTAAAAGGATTGTTAGACAGAATTGTAGACAACACAAGTACAGAGATATTTGACCAAATTGGTCAAAACATTAAGCCATTAAGCTGGTATGCTGATTTTATAACCATTATTGTTATAATTACAATCATTACGCTAAAAGATGCGTTAATTTTTAGAGTTAAATTTAGGAGTTAGACGTTTGGAGAAAAACAAAATGAGAAAATAATGAGAAAAGCTAACCATGGACAATGGATTGTGACCGAAATAGCATAAACTGAGTGAAGTATCGTTAAAACTGTTGAGTCGTGGCCAGGTCAGTTTATGTACAGTTGGGTGTTGCCCTCGCTTTACTTGACTCATTAATAATCAATGTACAAAGGTTCGAGGAAAGAGAAACAGAAAAAGAGATGAAAAATTGAAAAAATAAAGATAGAATTGAAAATCCGAAAATATACAAAACGTATCTCACAATGGTATAACTGACAAGAGGAAAAATGTTACCAAGGTTTTTACACTGTCAAGAATCTTGCTTGTCTTGGCAATTCCGAATGAGAAATGTACTAATAGTCAGGGGAGAATGATGTCTCATTTCGAAATGAAAACAAGACTCATCAGACAGAATGGGAATGGTTTATAGTGGATGAAAAGTGAAATGGTGACAATTAGTGGAATCGACTGGTTTACTAGTAGACATTAATTTAAAGAAGAAAATCTTGTGAAAATTGAACAAATACAGAATTTTGAAGCGTCTCTTGAACCTGACACAGATATAAAATTTTGACTCTGTCAAGCAATATTTCAGTTAGTCCTGTAACTATCCTGAAAGTGATGAAGTGCCAGGAAATAACGTCACATTTTGATATTCAAGCTGGATGTCATTGGAAAAACTATTGTTTCTCATTCCTTTTAAATTAGCTCAATTCAGGAGTTGATACACTTGGAAGCTTTGATTTTCCCTTTACAAGTTTAAAATACCATTGATACCTGAGATGATGGGAAAGATGAGGACAAAAGTTAAATTGTATGAAGAAAAATAAAAGAGAAGAAGGAAATTAGATGAGATTGGATAACCAGGTAAACTTGTAATTCTCACCGTGATTTTTCAAATATTTTGAATGTTCCCTGTTTTAATTGTATTAATAGAGAGGAGGTGAGTTCAATTGTCAATTTTGTCTAATCAACCGTGATGAAGTAAAGAATTGAGCCGAACTGTCAACCTTCTTGTGGAAAGCACAATTTGTAAGGAATCAACTTAACTTTATATTAAATAACAACTTGATGAAGAACAAGAAGAAATTAGAATCATAATAGAGTCAAACAATTGAAATGAGTTTCACCAAAGGAATGGTAAAAAGACGGTGAAAAGGTAGAGAGAAAAAGGTAGGCTTAAGATTCAATCAGTTTGTCCATTAAATCAAAATTGATGGTAACAATAAAAAAATACGATCGAGAAGATGATGGTAATGATGATTTTGCTTGTCAATGGTTAACTTTTGATGGACAAAGCACGAGCAAACTATTAACAGGGAAAATAAGAGATTGATAATGGAGCATGGAGTAAGCCTTTTTGGCGGGTTTACTCATAATGAGAAAAAATGGGAAGCTTTAAGGTTCATGGTGAAGGTTTGTAAAAATCATTAACTTTTCTCCCATTGAAGTGTTTAAATGGAAACTTTGATAGATTTGTAAGGCTTGAATGGTTAAACTTGAAACATTTTAATTAAAACAACGGTTAATAACAGGTTTACTTTTAAATTAGCAATTTATTTGTTAATAGTGAAAGCTTTGGTTGAGTTGGATTGAAAATATCATATGAATATGATCCAAGAGATCAGCTTTTTTACTTAAAAGTCGGGATTGGATTCAAAAAGGATTAGGATATCAAAGGATACTTAGGGACAATTATTTGAAATTACAATTGAAATGAAATTAATTATTACCTTTGTAGATTCATCGATTAAATTGATTGGTAATTTGGTGAGTCCTCCTGAATTACAGGTAACTCGCTTCCTATTTGCTTCATCAGTATCACAAATACAGCCTTTAATACATCGAGGAAATGAACCAAGCTCATGTTTATCATACAATGAATTGCTTGCTCCAATTACAAGGGCAATATTTACACAAATTAGGTAAATTATGTTGATTAACATTGCTTAAAGTAAATTGCAATTGAGTAAAGATGGTTGATTAAAGGTGAACTTTGTAAAATTAACCAGCAAGGTTGTAATCAACAGTGAGAAATTATTTATACTTTTTTGAAGCTTATGAAAAGATACTGACAATAATTATGATTGTTGAAATTATTACCCAAAGGGTTTGTGATGATGTTGGCAACAATGAACAAACTAATGATAATATAATAAACACTTGAAGATGTAGATAAAGTAACAGTAAATATAATTTGACTGGGAAAGTTAAAGGTTAAATAAGAATCCCAATGAGAATGGAATAAAAGTAAAAGAAGAAAAAACAAAAGTTGAAATTGAAATGATGAATAAAAGTTAAAGTGTTCACAGCTTCTGAGACTTCAATTAGGTTTGTTGATGATGAGTCTGATGTAAAGATGATGGCAGAGTTAATCATGAAAACAAAACATGTAATCCTTTGGACTAAAGCAGGCAAAACAACCAACAATAAGTTACACAGAAACACATAAAGTCAATGTAAAAATTTGAAAGTGTTGAGTGTTGTTGTTGGTTAAAAGGTGAACAAGATCATGTTAGGTTTCAATTGGCAGTTTATCTGGTCAGAATAGGATTCCGAATAGGTGATTCAAGTGGAAGACAGATGAGAATGAAGATGATGATCAAAGTAACGAAATATGTAATAGATGAAGAAGCCTCATATCATATGTGAGTGTGAAGAAGGTCAGTTAACAACTAAACAGAAAGAAGATCTCTCAAGCTGGAGAAGAGGAGAGATGACGATAAAGAAGAAGAAGATGATGATGATGATGAGTGAGCAAGTGAGGTAATAGGAAAGAGCTTGAAATGAGTTAAAAAAGTGAGGTTGGGAAGATGAAAGAGAGTGAATGTGTTATGGTAAAGAGAGGAGAAATGAAAGGAAGATGAAGAGAGGAAGAGAGGAAGATGAGGAAAATAAAGAGGAACCTTGAAGGTCTAAGGCCTAGGCTTGTCACTCGTTGTTGGCCCGTGATCTTAACGAGAAGAGATGATCGGAAAAAGGTTTGTATTGATACAATTTTAAAGTTTCCCTTTTTTTTCAGTAACAATGTCTAGGCAGATGGTTGAGGTAACTAGCGCTGCATTTGAACACAATAATAAAAGGCCTTATCCCGTCTCCAGGTCACAATGTGCATTACATGTGAGGGTTACTTGAAAAGACTATATAAAGACTGATGTGACCTGTGGCCATGCGACTGGCACGCATCTAGATATTATTAACTTAACAATGTGTTCACAGGTTTGGCTTATACTGTTATTGCCTTTGAATCCTTGCTTAAAAGATGAACAGTGAAAATGTTACAAATATTTTTCATCCCATTTTTATCTTCATTTTACATTTTACATTTTACATCTTTATATCCATTATTATCTTCTTCCTCCTCCTCCTCCTCTTCCTTCGTCATCTTATTGTTAACCTCGTTTTTCCCATAAATCCTATGGTTAAATCAATACAATCCAGTTCCTGAACGGAAACTATCAACCTGATTTTAAATCAATTTGCTTAATCACAAAGAGTAAAATTTCAACCTTTTCTTCCCCTTTCCTTGGTTTCCATGTTGACATGATTACTGGAATAATGATGAGCCATGCATTAATAATAAGGTCCTGATGTTGTCCTCATTCATAATGAGTCTTGAAATTGGTCAAAATTAGTATTTCCAGGCTGAAATTTACAATCAAGTTGAGTTGATGAAAAATTTTGGAAAATATTTTTTGGTTACATTTTCCATTCTTTTTACATTTTTCATTGTTCATTCCTTTGATTAGTTATGTTCAATATTGATGGGTCACACGCTTTAATATTAATTTCGTGTGAACCGTAATTGACAATAAACTATGAAAAGCTTAATTCAACCGCAAGGGAATTAACTCCATTGAGATTAGCCAAAATTGATTTGATCCCACGAATTGGACAAAAAAATGAAACAATCCAAGGAAAAGTTGGTTAAAATCTTATCCAGCTTTTTACATGGTGATCGGTAATTTTCATGTAATAATACCAATACGAATCCCTTTGCGATTATTACATTTGCCTTATTAACACTTCCCTTGAGTCTTTAAGTTTACTGTATTTGGTTCTCAGGAAATTTTGGTGGTTCCTTTTGCTTGCGCCAGTTTACTTGTGTCAACTCAACAAGTGTATTTAAAATCATCTGTTTTCACAGTTTAAGTATCTATTGGATATTATATCAACTTTAATATCCCCAATTGAATCCACTTTTTTGATTGTAATAACATTTTGAACGTGGGAACATTTTCATTTACATCTTTATCCGAAAGTTGGATTGAGATTCAATTAGCTGAATAGTGTTGCTTGAAACAATTAGTGGAGCTTTATTCTTGAGCTTTAATTATAAACTGTGTTGATTGATCTTGGGAAACTATTAAGTGATGAGTTGAATAAGAAACGTTGATCAGCCAAATTATGGGTTAAATGAGGAAAGAGTGAAATTCAGTTTCAATGATCAGATGTTTACTTTGCTTGTGGTTGAGTCCATCTTTTGGCCCGCTTGTTTTTGACAGTTAAATGTCAATTAATTATCCGTTTCCAACTGTATTATTATTGTGATTATTCAATCAGATTTGTTTGGCTGTTGAAAATGTTCACAATGATTGCCTGGAGGTCTGATGATGAGGATAATGGTGATGATGATGATAAAAGGTTGAATAATGGAGATGACCATGAACCATCAATGGCCCAACCTAGTTTGATAGTCAAAGGAAGCCATTTATCATTAACTAATCAAGTTAATTTCATCACTTCCAAACCCAAATCATTGTAATGCAGAAATGAGATTCATTTTTAGTGTAAAATTTGGTACGGTTGGCCAAAGCATAACAATTAATAATACATGTAACTGTAATGTTAATTTAACAGTCAACAGTCGATGTGAATTTGGCTGTTAATATTTGATGTGAAAATATGGATTGTTGCCTGTTTGAAACAATTGGTTTTTGATTAAACAATCATTGTGATTTATCGACACTTGGAGATGGTCAAAGTCAGGTAAAAGTGAGATTAACATCTTGGCTTTTCATGTTCATTGCTTAATGTAAATAAGTGATGCTGATGCTGAGGCTGCTGTTGATGATGGCGATGGTGGTAATGATGATAATAAAGATAAAGATTTGAAAGAGACAAACGCTCCTCTTTTTTGAATGAATGTGAACCAGAAAAAAAGCAGATCAGCCCAAAAAATGATGCTCATTCCCTTTTCATCATCATATTTTATACTTTCATTTTCATCTCTTTGTTTCCTTCTCATCTTTTTTTCCTCCTCATCATCATCTTGATCTACCTCGATTCCATATTAACCTTGCCCATCTTATTAGGGATTTGATGTTACGCCTTTCCTTGACTATGGGCTTTGTAACAGGACTGTTTGACAGTGAGATGTTGATCACAAGAAGAGTAAAAAACGCTTTACATTCAAACATTGTTGTATTTTCCAGATATACATATTAATAACTGCAATACTTGGTGTTCCTGGTAAAACTCAATCTATTATGAAAATGGTTTAGGCCAAAATCATTTCTATCAATAGAAGTATCTTTGAATCTTTATATTCTTTATGCTATAAATTATGTGCTTGGTTGGTCGGTTGGGCTTAGTCTTCAGCCTGACTGAGGTTTCCTCTTTGAAAATTGTCCTCACTTTATCAATCTCATTCTTGGTAGTCAAATATTATCCATTGTCTGTTGAACAAGTAACCACATTCAATTGATAGAAACTGAAAAGACAAAAAAAAGAAGGTAAATTTTTTATCAATGGCAATTGGAAAAGAAGAGAGCAATTGCGATTTTTTTTGGGTTTAGTGTAAAAAAATCTGTAATGGTAATGATTTTGCACGGTTTAACGGTAAAAATGTGACTAACAATGCTCAAATCTCTTTATACATTGAATTAAATGTATACGATAATAAAGTTTCACCATCTTGTTGCCTCGTCTTTTTTAACAAGACATATACTAGACATAGGACACAGCTATGGAGTTGGGCTGTTGTAAAAATGTATAGCATTGTTGATTGATTGAATAGACTTGATTGTTATCATGTCTTTGGGTGAGATCAGTGTTAAGGAAAATCACATTCCTTGAATTACCTCGCTAGCAAAAACATGAACCATGTTTTCATTGAATTTTTGCTCAATTATTAATCGACCGAGAGACAGAAAAGTGTAAACACATTATAAAACGTACAAAACCGTAGTAAACAGTTTTACCTACCTTTATGTATCCTGTAACTGTTGTTGGTCATACTTTAAACTTTCACCGGTTAATTAATTTCACTTTTGTTGAGCTTTTAGTTTACATTATTTACATAGTGATAAAGTTAAGTCAATAATGGCATAATATTTAAGGAAAAATAATAATAATAAATCAACAGAATCAATAATCGAGAAGAAAACAAAAATGAAATTTTCAAAATTTTCAATTTTCTTCGTTTTTGCTGATTAGAGAAATTTAAAGTTTCCTCCAAATTCAAACCAGATTTGATTCAATCTAATAACTTAGATAGATTTAAAATCAAAGAAACTGTAACCTTTATAAGCATTAAAAAAATTGAATTGCAATTGAGATTAAATTAAGAGTAAATCAATTGTCACAACAAAAAGTTGAAGCAAAATAAACTTGAATTTTATTGTGGTATTAAAGCGCCATCTAGTGACATAATTTTAAACGAGTTTGTCTTGAAAAATTGTTTCCCAAATTATCAAAACAACAACAATGGACAAATATTAGGGATACGATAATTGTTGCTTCTTAATTGTTACCATCGATACAATGAAAAACTATGAAGATGGTTTACTCCAATTGTTGACAAATCTAAACCGATTGTTGTGAAACAAATTGTCCTGAAAGTTTGATTATTTCAATCATTTAACATTTCATTCTTGTTTTAACCATTTCTCTGTTTCAATCTGGTTTTATTGAATTGTGATCCAGGAAAATGGTCTCTGGAAATCAAATTATTTATCCCAAGCAAAATGACGCCATGAAAGTCAATGAGCGGTTAATTCGTAATCAAAATCTTCAACGAGCCTCAACCCTTGAACTGGTCATGGTTTTCATGTTAACCTTGATAGTTTCCATGTCAATATTTTTACTCTTTGACATTCTTACCATCCGTGAGCGATTAAATTTTCCCGGTGAACTGGATCGAGTCCAAGTTTGGGACATGAATGGTTTCAATGATGATAAGGGCAAGTACAATGACAAGATTGACTCAATAGACTCGGCAAACTCCTTGGGTTCATCACTTTTCCCATCAGCCAAACGTAAGCCGGCTCATAGAAAAAGCATTTTATCTGATGGCTTCAAGTCAACTCAACCGATTGATATCAAGACAATAACCTTTCCCGATTTTGACTATCCAATCAGTACCAATGTTACCCGAAAGAACAGCTTCGTGATCCTTAGACTTCACTCGCATCCTCCATTTTATCAAGACTCAACCTTAAACGACAAAGATCCTGACTTCAACGCTGGTGGAACCTCGTTGGTCCCATTTGGTTTCAATAGGTTTAATCCTTTTGATATGAACTCCCATTTCAGTTCCATCTTAATCTCAATTAAGCCTATTAATGATACCAAGAGTAAACCATCAGGAAACACCATCAATCACCCAAAAAATTCCACGATGCTACACAAAACAAGCAACAAAGGAGACAAAAAACACATTTAATTTTATTATCAGCTTATAACGAGTCCATTGGATTTAAAAAAGTAAACAAATCCAAAATATCTTACCTTTATTTAATATTTCAAACCATTCTTTGCTGTATATGGTTAAGGTTCCAGTCCTTTATCTGTCCGTTGAAATTCAAATATAATTGTAATCACCATCACAAATAAACATATTAATTACTATCGATAAAAACAAATTTTCTTGTTATATCTTCCATGTGAAAAATATTTATTCATTCAATCTTGAAACATTGACTTATAAAAAAGTTGCGAGTTATGTTTATACATTTTTGTAAATAGCAAATTTAATTGTTTATTATTGTTGTTGCCCATCGTTGAGAATAGAAGCCTTCCAATGTGATGATAACGAAAATTGAAGAGGACTAAAAGTTCAATAATGTTACAATTTAATATGGCTTTAAAATGTTATTTTTATTTAAAATTTTTAGCAATTGTTTCAACATAAATACTCAAATAGCCCCAGAGGTGGAGTTACAAGCAACTTGTAAATAATTGGGTTCAGCTTTTAGATGGCGCTTCAAAAAAAACTTTCTTGGCAAGAAATGTCTTTGTTTTTGTTAACCTAAATTTCGTCACCTTGGTCAATTTGGTGGCACCAATCACAAGATACTAACCAGCCAGATAAAATATCTCGATGTTGCGATAAAATGAAACCTTTCGACCGAAACATACCTTCTATCGTTCAACTTTTAACTATCATCGACATGAACAAAAGTTTGGGTGTTTTAAGCTTTTTGCTCAACTGTTACCTGATTTCACAGCCTATCAAATTATTGAATTAACTGGGAATGCAAGAATACAAAGGGAAAGAAGGCTGAATTAGAGGATAGATGAAAGATGTAAACTGAAAATACAGGATTCAGGTGTTAAATTTAAAAATATAATAACAATGGTTTTTGTAATGATTAGTTACTGGACTCCTTATAAAAATTGGTTTAGTATTGAAAATTACAAATTACTGGTAACTTGGATGGATTAGACCAAGATCTTCATTTTGAGCTCATAAACGATTGTTTTGTAATTGAATAAGATTTTGAGTAGATACTTAGATTTAAACTTACTCCAGGTAGGTTACATCTCTTAGATCTCTGCCTAGATAGAAATGAGAAATTAGCACGAAAACCGAAATTAAATTGCGAGAAAATTTGTCATTTTGTTTGAGTTTATTGTTTTGAGACAAAAGTGTCGTAAAAAAATGAGGTGGGATTTTGAATGCGATGGTGAAATTAAAATTGATGAAAGGCAAAATTTTTCAAGCACAGGTATTTTGTACCACTGTAAGGTAAGTCAATAACATGAACAGGTTATTTTTGTCAAAAAGTGGTCAATCCATTGTTGACCATTCTCATCTTTTTTAGCACATTAATGAACCGTATAAATTCATCCACGGTGTCCACCATAACCACCATTATGACCGTAGCCACCTTGGTTGCCATGACCGTAACCACCTTGGCCGCCGTGACCATAACCACCTTGGTTGCCGTGATATCCACCACCGCCATGGTGTCCTCCACCACCGTGATGTCCACCACCTCGGTTTCCATGATATCCTCCACCTCCATTGTATCCACCTGTTTGGGTAGAAGGAAAAATTTCATTACAAACTGTACAAAACAAATGTCTTGAAAACAAAACAATTTTCACAAACGCCTGATCTTAATAACCAATCACGTAAACTGATTACAGCATACATTAGACAGTTAAGAACTAGTACGGTTAGAGCAAAATTGTTGATACAAGATCACAAACAAAACAAGTGCACTTACCTCGAGCGGCATAAACAGTTGCTATCAAGAGGACTGAGAAAAGGAAAGCGAACAAAGTAACTTTAACCATTTTGAGTTATTTTAATGTTAACACAGGTTGAAATGTATGGAAAGATGTCCTAACAGTTGAATGTTTACTTGATTAAAGTGTAATGAAGAATGAAAAAATTTTCATGAAAGCCAACAATTTATACACAAAGGTAGATTGGTAACAACCGAAAAAAAGGATCATTGGCCTGACCCTTGACAGAGTGAGATGGTAAACAAGAGGTGAGAAAGAAATGGTGAGATTTCAAAGTTAACCAATAAGAACGAAGGAGATAAGAAAGAAGAAGAAAAAAAAGGAGGAAAAAATGAAGATGACTAAAACAGTTGAATACAGTCTGACATTTTTGTTTTTATTTAGTTTCTCTTTCTCTGTTTTTGTATCCCAAAAACCGGATTATTGCCCACAAAAAAAAGCTAACTGGCTTATGAATGAAGTTAGCCCTATCAACGGACAATTTAGAGATTTATCAATTCTCCATTTAACCTTGTGTATGGTGACCCTGATAACTCTTGATTTATTCAAGTTCATTCCAGTTAAAAATGTTATTCATCTTGTCAAATCTTCTTCCATTTGTGATTCTCGGCCTTCTCCCTGTTAATCTTTAAGATTGGGTTTACCAGCCTTTTTCATCTCTTTTAAGTTCTAATAATCATGTGAACCTGTAACTCATTTCTTCGGGCAAAGGCGTCTGCGGTAAATTGATTATCTTGGTGTATTACAAAACGGTTTAATCAGATACATCTTGTTACTTAATTTAGGGTCAACCAAGAAAGTCACCCTTCTTGTAATTAATCTTTAGAAGGATTATTTGATAACCTGTCACTCAATTGAGAAATATGATTTAGGTTATTTACCGTAAAGCCTTTTCTTTGCTTTGTGTGACATTATTACGATTATTATTGATGGACAGTTTGGGTTTGGAGGTGATTATATTCAGCATCACCCAATTATTTGCCGAACCCGATGAAGTTAACTGAAAAACATTAAAATAAGGAAAAGGTTGAATGTACTCTGAAGGTGAATTTTGTTTTCATTTCTACTTTCACATGAAATGCATTTTAAGGGCCCAACAAAATGTAATAGATGTAATTGATGGTGATATTAACAACCTTGATATCTATTAAGCCTTGTTATTGTGTTCACTTTTTTGCAGCATCTCTTTGGTATTACCCTGAAAAATGGCCTGGAGGCTGAATAAGCAAAATAAACCAATCAAATGGCCAACTGTTTAGTTATTTTCTTATGATTGTTGGAGATCATGGTTCTTGGTTGGAGTTAATCACGCAAATTTGGCAAGTTAGTGAGAAAGATTAGAAATCGAAAGTTACAAGCACAGTGGGACCAACCACAACCTGTCCGGACAAGCAAGAACCAGGACTGAATTATTATTTAGACTACTAATCAACATCGTTCACAGTTAGACAAAGAAATGGTCAAAATTAAAAGCAGCCTATCAAATATCAGCTCATGGATTTAATCTCATAATCTCACCTAAATTAGGTTAAATAAATCACCAAAATGGTCTCACATTGATATTACTAAGGCACTAGAATCAGTATTAACCAGTTAAATCTTTGACCAGAAGCAAAGCTGACTCAACTCTTTACACTTTTACCTATGCCAATCAAACCATAATTATACAATTAATACATAAGGAGTTGAACCAATGTCGTTTAGTGTCGATCGCTCATGAATGAAGCAAAATGTGACCAAAAATGAACGCGTGGTTGGATTATGATCGAGAGTTGGTTATTAAGTGATTCGATGATTTTTTGTATTGAGTTTACACCAATTTGTCAATTCGTGCTCCATTGATTCTGACAAGAATTAGAATCAAAATGCCAAATTTTTCCAGAAATTACAAAATCAGTCAATTTTACTCAATAAGGTGATTGATCCTCTGTAAACCTGTTGATCTTGCATCCACATCTTCCTTCAAACTCCTAACCCGTTAGAAGCATTGTTGAGCTTTCAATAGGATGAATCCCAAGGAGAACAGAGATTTGAGCAAATCTGGGATTTTTGTTATGCTTCTGAACTTTTTTGATCAATGAAATCTGGCAAGTAAAAAAGTTACATTTACAACGAAACCATAACAACAAATAAAAATTACCTTATATTAATATTTCTATGTACAACAATAGCAAAGCCTATGATTTGAAAAATCATCGAAACTTCAACCAGGATTAACTCTTGATACAAAATTAGTCTTTCAACGAAAAGCAGGACAATCAAATTTAATGGTACCGATGCAAAGACACCATTGAAACCTGTTATTACAGTAATCCCTCTCAAAATGCGACTCTTTCGTGTAATTGTCTATTTTCAAGGCAAATTGTTTAGACGCTGTTTCGTTCGTTTTTCACATGTTTTTTCACGATTTCATGAATTTCTTAGTAATTATGTTTGTTTTAATGTTTGATTTAAGATCTCTTTGAATTAAATTAAATTATTTTTAGAAATTTTTAAAATAAAAATTATTTTTCGGCCGTATGAATAGACCGTTTCCCTGGTAACGTCGCACTTTGAGAGGGATTACTGTATCTGAAGACGACTGGCAATATTCAAGGCTTCTTGGACACAAATAATCTCAAAAGTCCAGGAATAACTAATATGGACGATGGAAATGTTAAGATTCAATAGTTTCAAATGTTATCATCATCTGATGTTACAAGCAAAATCAGTTTTAATTTCTGTTGGCAAAAGTCAACCACAGCAACCATTACTTGATGATTTTATGTTAATTACTTTGCAGATTCAAGTTCATTGATTTTATGGTAAAAGGTTAAATGTTAAACTTCATTGGCAATGAGTAGTGCTATTGGATTGGAAGACAATTGAATTGACTTGGATTGATTTTTGCCTGAGCTTAATCTTAATCTACTTCCTTGAATAAACAGTTGCCTTAAAAAACTGAGATTTGATTGAAAATCATGAAAAAAACACATTCTAAGCTCTGAAATATCTTTAGCCTTTCAAGGATGAAAGGTAAAAAGAGATTTGATATTTTTTGTACCTTTCAGTAAAAGTCAATTTCATTGCAAGTCCATATTTTTCTTTCTCTCATCAACCATGTTTATATCCCTGAGAAATGAGTGAATCAATGAAAAGAAGCAAAAAGCATGCTGATAATTTCATGATGAAAACGGAATAAAAGTATCCTGTATAATCTCGTGATGAAAGGAAAGCTTGAAAAGGGCCATGAAATTTTGGGAAACTTGAATAGAGAAGAGGAAAAAGGAATCATGAAATGATGAAAAAAAGGTTAGTTAAAATGGGAATTTTGCTCTCTTCTGGTTCAATTAATGATTAAATCTGGATTATATTTGGATCATGTTTTACTTCAGGCTAAGGTGAGATAAAAGAAATGAAAAGATGAAAATGTTTCATTTAAAGATGATTGAAAATCAAATTGCAAATGTTGACAAAATGTTGTTTATACCACAGGAACCATTGGACAAGGTGAAGGGCTTTTGGTTCAATGAAATTTCAAGATTGAAAAGTGTGAATCCAACATGAATAAATACAGTAAACAAAAATTACTTGTTGAATGAAATGATTTACATGTTTTTATCCAGTTTATTAATTTCAATAGTTGAATCCTGTTGAGATCCTGAATTAGATTGACTGTTTTTTGCACTGGTAAATCCTTTATTTTGATGCTTTACATTGGCTTTATGACCAGAAATCATCTGTAAATTACACAAGAATCTAATTGTTGTGTAATGAATCTGAATGAATGAGGGCAAAAGCAGAGATCGAAGCTGAGTTAACTAGCTCAGAGTGAATCTATAGTCATGAACTTAAGCTTGATTATTAAATCGTGTTCAAGTGTATGCAAACATTACAATATTACGGATACATTACATAATGTGTTTTAAGTGCACATTTTTCGCACTCAAATGTATCTATATTTATGGGTGTTTCGATGATTAGTGTTGACTTTTGTAAGATTTCTCAGCGATGTTGTCAGTTGATTGACAGTTTCAGGTTTGACAGATTTTACAAGTAAGATACGCTCGCAAGATCCTTGTTGATAGGTAATCTCACTCCGATGAGACTTCGAAGGATAATTGTAATTCTTGCCATTATTTGGAAAATTCAACTAAGGCCTGAGTCTGATTTTACTATTAAAAAATTCTCGCCAGAATGACACAAACTTGACCCAAGACAGTTAACGAATAAAACTTTTGATCTCAATAGCAAGAGTCATTCAACGCAAAAAGGCATAAATTGGATAAAAATTTCTGAGTTTTGGCTATTGATGAAAATTTGTGAATTTTATCGATTTCTATGACTAGTAAGCAAATGCCTTGATTTTTTTGGTAAATTTGATCTCCGTCAATCTTCATCATGAACCGGACTGAAGTTGAGAAATCAGTTGAAAGAAGTAAACACTATTCATTGTAACGCCAAATACAATATTCATTAGTACACTTTATTTCATTACAAACCGTGTTTTCATGCATTTATTGGTTTAATGACAAATTGATGCCGCTCTTTCCAATTTTATTTGAATTTCTGTATTTTTTTGGCATCAGCCTTTGAATTTTGCTGATTTTAGATAGCTTCATGATTTAGATAGTCGATCAAAAATAACAAAATGAAGAAAATACAAGTTTCTATTTTCAGTATGAATTTCATGTTTTAAAAGCATCTTTCAATGGGAAAAGTATTGGAAAAATATCAATGTTACAAATGGTTGTCAATTAATATCTAATCTTGAAAATTTCAATGATAAAACTTAAAATTTCAGAATAAGTATTAATGAATAAATATTAGCCATTAAACAGATATTTGTTTTCAAAAACGCCTCATTTGCAATACTTGATTGTATACAATTAAAACTTGAGGCTTGATGAAAATCAACAATGAAACTTGTTGAAACCTTCAATTGACTAATTTCCGCACCTCTCTTCTGTCTTCATCTTCATCATCTTTCATCATTCTAATTTATTCATTAGACGAGAAAAAAGTTCAAACATTTTACAGTTAAGATGACACTTGAAAGAATCAAATTGTTTAAAGTTTAACTCAAGGATAAATCATTTCGCTAACCATTATCAATATCTTATTCAATTTTATTGCCTCCAATCCAAGCTATCGCAATAACTTATTATAAGATCAATGATTATCTTAAACGATAACACTTTTACTAGATAAATGTTTACCTTTAACCAATTCTGATCAACAATTATGCTGGATACACTTGTTGAAATCACATGCACTGTTTGACTCAATGACTGACTGATTGTGACTATTTCTTACTCTCCATCTCTGTCTATTTTATATCTCTGTCTATATCTTCATCTCTTTCTGTGCCAGTGTCTCTCTCTGTATCTCTGTCATTCTCTGTGTAAAATATAAATACAATTGAACAGTTTGCCTTTTCAGTCAATGTTTTAACCAGCAATACGACTTGAATGAACCTTGTTTGTTGTGAAAATAGTTAAATTGTTTCATTGCCTTTGTATTTTAATCCATCAAATTAACACCTTAACCGAATCATCATCACTCTAAATTGACTAATCATGGCAGAAAGTTGTACTAACGCGCTTTTAAGTGATGATGAAGTGAAAGTTATTCAATCAATCTGGTCATCAGTAATGAAAGATGCAAATACACATGGAATGAATTTTTTCCTCAAGTAAGTAAATTGGTTGATTATTTTGTTGACTACTGGTTAACCATCTTTGGGTAAATCAAATTAAATAGATGCTTTTGACACTTTCAATGGACCCAAAGTATTGGATATTAAATTTTGAAGGATTCATTTGATTCTCAATCATCTTCAAGTATCTTTTCAAAATACACAAAACAATTGAAATTTTCAATAAAAATTGATACAGTTGAGACAAGTAGCTGAATCACAATCAAGTAGCTCATTGATATCCAAACCAATGTGATTTATTGATGTTTACCTCTAAAATTAACCCAAAATTTTGTCCTCTGTCAGTTGAAATGCATATAACAATTCAAATTTTGATCAACTTAAACTGGTTAATAAAGTAACCAATCATTGGACTAGAGAAATGGCTGGAAATGGTTTAGAATGGATCAAATTGTAGTCAAAAATCAGCTGAAAACTGTTTTAAACCGATGTGAACAATTTGCTTTGAAATTGTGAAAGATATTAAAGTTAATTTCATTCTTGATTGCTTCTAATTGGAGTTGAGGAGATAACCAGAAAATATATAAGATGAGAAGGCAAAGTCTATTATAAGTGACTTTGTTTGTCATTTGTATCAACCTTCAATTGACTTTAATTAATCTTAACACAGCTCAATGGAAATGTGAAAAATGTAAAATTTAAAGAGGGAAAAAAGCTGATCAGAATTGGGTTGAATATGGTTAGGAATTAGATTAACCAAAATTTTTGTTTCATTCAAAAAGTGGTTTATATTCAATGTTTACATTTGTCTTTTAAATAATCATCAAATCTTGAGGCCTAAATACTGTTAATACCTTATTCCTATGAGAAATTAAGAGGCAAAGGTTAATTTTATAAGGCAAACCTTCAATGAGACTCAACATTTTCAAGTCAAATTATCCTAGCTCGTGTATTATATGATTAAAAAGCAATCAACATTTTTGCATTGCATTAATTGAACTTATTATAATCAGTGTTGTTCAAAGTAAATTAAGCTTCATTTACATTTCCATTGTTTGTACAAAAAAGGTTCCATTCTTAATATTATTGCATACAGCTTAATTGTATTCAAATGGGTAATAGATTTGAACAAGTTTCTGATTAAAATGTGTAGACATTTGCTGTTTAATGGATGTCATAAACTACTCAACAAGTAAACTCTAAATGATTTGTGATGTGATATTGAAAATTGCTCAATTAGTTCTTGATTTGCTTTGATTTTCATCAAATTCAAGTACAATCTTGTAATTATTTTATATTCAGTTGCCTCACCAGGAAAAACAATAGATGGCAGTAAGACAAACATCAAACAATCACTTTTTGAGGGAAAATGAACGCCATCTCTTAATTTCTTTGTCATTTTTTTATTTTTAGCTCTAAATCATCGAAAGAAATTTCAATTTCACTGAAAATTATGAGTTCAAATCTTAATCTCAACAATTTAAATGTCGATTTGTAAGATCTCGAGTTTATGACTGATTATTGTTCAGTATGCTTGCTCAATTTGTCAACAGTGTTAAATTTACATCTTTCAAGTCAACTGCTTCGCATCTTAAGTGTAAATATTTCTGATATCTAACATTTGTATTCCTAATTAAATATTTACTTTTTACCATCAGTTTAGATTAATAATTTCTTTATCATCCCAACAGATTCTTTCGAGAAAATCCTACATTTCAAGAACGATTCGCAAGCCTTCGTAACTTGAAAACCGAGGAGGAAATGAAAGCGTCCAAGCGTCTTAAAGCCCATGCAGCTTCAGTCTTTCACGCAATCACTGCCTTGGTTGATAATCTTGATGATCTTGAGTGTGTTAGTGATATGCTCGAAAAAATCGCCGCAAATCACTTGAGACGTAAAGTTAATTGGCCCTTTTTTGATCGAATAGCTTTGTGTATTGTTGCTTTTCTTAGTGAGACTCTTGGAACTCAAATAATGGATTCAAAGGCAACAACCGCATGGACCAAAGTTCTCAATGTAATCACGGAAACGGTTAAAAGAGTTGAAGTTGAACAACTCGAGACACAAAGTGCTTCATCCTGAAGATGGACTGTTTTCACTTGCTAAACTTGGACCTTTCCTTTTCTCTGACCATTATAATGAGTTAATGACAAGCAAATACAAGCGATTACAAAATTTTAGGTGTTATTTGACTAGCTGTGCTTTAAACTCTAACCTCCCACTTATGTTTCAACGTTCATTCATCTGACTGTTAGCTTCTGACACCATTAAATTCCTAGTTTAGCAATCTGTAACCTAGCTTTCCAAAGTGGTTCTTTCTAATCAAGTTTTTATCATGATACATGCGACGACCGATCAATTGGATTAATTTACTTATGTTCAAGCTCCATCTATCGTTTAATAATCAAACAAAATCGCTCAACAATTTTGACTTTTAATAAACTATGTTTATAATCAACTCAAACAGTTAATTTGCAAAATGTTTATTGAAAGGTTGATACGGGAATTGTTGAAATATTGCTGAACGTTAGTGATGTATGATATTGAAAATGTCTGAATTTGTCAAATTGCTAAAGATCAGCATGAACTTAAACAATTGTTGTTTAGATCAAGATTATGTTGATAAAGTAAATGAATAAATTGTGCTTTTAGTATTGAAAAAAGGTTTTGATTTAATGGCAATATATCGTTAAATGTTTTGCTTTTTGATTGTCTTTCAGTTCAATAGATCATTTTTCATTGCAAGAAATTACATAGATTTTCCATATCATGACTGTGGTAATAATTTAAATTTTAAATTTATTTAAAGACCATGAAGCAAAAAGTAATTAGCTGATTGATGACATGTACACGATGAAAAGTTGAATGTTGATTAGAAATTTGGTTCAAAAAACAATCAAAGTGTGCATAGATATGCAAGTAATTTGGTGATTTTGGTAAAAGTTAGTTTCACTTTTGGATCCATTTTTCAAATCATCAATCAAGTTGATTAAGTGACAATGGTTAGAATGATAATCCATTTCTGACGATAGCTTTCCTTATTTTTCCAAATTTGAGGCATTTTCCCCACCAAGATCTCTTCTTGCATGTTGGTTCCTTTTTGAATACAAAGCATTTGGTTTGTACAACATTGAAAAACATTTTACCCACTAAATTGGATGATCCAGTGTTTGATATACGAAGACAAGAGCGAAACCTAAAAATTGAATAAAGAGAAGAAAAACAATTAATAGAAATGATTGACCAGAAAATGTCTCAAATAAAACTCGAGCGTAACTCAGATATTATTAGATACATGTATTAGGTTCAAGACTAGATTTATGGGTAATTTAATGATGATTTAAGGATTGACAATTGCGATTTCTAGTTAAATTGAAATCTCAAAATGTCCAACATAATGTCACTGACTGATGTCTACTAATGAGATATAAAGTTGATGGATGCAGACAAAAGATGATCAGGGATAAAGGCTGAAAGAGGAGGGTGAAGAAAAGGCACAAGGAAGGAGCACAAAACACAGAGACAGAAGATGAAATGGAAGAGATCAAGATGATGATAAGTTGGTCTTAAGAAAAGATGATGCTGTTAACAACAAACAAAATCGAATCAAGTTGACCGTGAAAAACAAGTGGACACACAAAAGTAACAAAGCTAGAAAATATGTTGATCATATCATAAGAAAGGGATGATGATTATTATTTCTGTATCCAACCTTTATATACAGGGGGAAGAATGATGACCATTGGTAATACACAAAGAAGATGATAAAGAAAAGGAAAGAAAGATAATTGTACCATTAGATGTATTTCATCTTAACTAACCCAAAAAATATACACTTGCTGTTGACGTGAATTTGACCGTTATTATTGTTTGAGGGACTGTTTATACATTATCCTTTGATTTGTTACCATAATGGGTTAACCAATTCATCTGAAATTTTTTCTGATATACTTTCAATCCTTGATTTACAATAAAATAAAATAATCAACATTAAGTCTGAGAACAATTAAGAATAACTGTTAGCTAACCTGTGCTTGAATAACAACAATGAAGAAATGATTAGTAGTGAAAATGAAATGATATTGTTGGTTAGTTGGTCAGTCAGTCAATAGAGTTAATCTGATGAGCAACAAAAAGGATTAGTGATTATTATCAATTGATATAATTGAAATGATGATTGGATACAAAAATGATCATCATATTTACTATTCTCATCTGAATCTGCTCAACTTCAAAATCTACTCATCATTTTCATAGTTTCATCTTTTAATGATGATATGATCAAGTTAATACTCTTCTCGGCGACTTATCCTTTTTATCCAAAAGACACAATACAAATGAATAGTTTCTGGTGGATACTTTTTTTCCACGTATAATAATGTTACTTTTTTGCCATCTCAAAATATCATTATGATGATGTTACCCTGCTAATATCGATAACAATCATTCTCACTCTGCCATCCTCCTCCTTATCTTCCTCTCTCTCCAACATCTTCACCGTCTTCCATAGTTAATAAGTCCATACAGAAATGATATAAAACGTTTTTCTTCATCTTTTTCCTCATAATCATCCTTTTCTTTCCTATTCTCCTGTAAACGTTATTATCATTTACTCATGATATTTTCATGTATCCATACATCTTCTTACTGATCTTTTTTTTCATTGATGCTAGGTTAATGAATAATATAGAGAGTAAAATGATGTACAATAATGCAATTGATTTGTGTACTCTATTGATATCCAATTAAATTTATCACTTGAAACTATTCTCTCATTTAACCTTAATGAAGACAGTTGAATGAACAAAATATTAATACATTGAAGTATCAGCTTTTCCGGGTTTGACCTCATTCTATTCCATCTTTACATTAAATCCACCTTTACCATGATGATTAATATTAATCATGATTATGATCATGTAAGCATCAACCAATTGTTCAACTTTATCATTGGATTTCAATTAACCTGCATATCAATATGGGTAAAAGGTTTGGTTAGGTTAGCAGGGCGATGAATAGCTCGACTTTTGGGACACTTTGATTTTTATAATGAACGAATGGACTTGCCTTTCATCACAGTCACAATGGCTGATAACATAGAGACGATAATTGAAAAGATGATATTTCCGAGTTAAGGGCAAAATTGTGTATTTACAGTGATCATGATCTCGACAGCATCGATCAGTTGAACTTCGACGGCCAAGCTGTTTAAAGTGATCACTTGTGGTTCCTTTGCCACACCAATTTGTTCCCGGAAATGTCATTAAATCAGCTCGTTTCCAGCGCTAAATAAAACAACCAAATAAAGATTATTATTAGCATTATTTTTCAATTTCGGGTTGACAGTTAAAGAGAAAGTGAGAATCAATTACAAAATGAATGACAAGCAGAGGCAACCAGATTTTGAGGCAAGACATATTGAAAGATTGTTTCCAATAGTTAAATACAAAGCTAAGGTTAATGGTATAAATGTACAAGATTAATTAGCATATGCATATTAAAAAGCTATGTATTCTAATCTTGTTAGGGTCAAATGTTTTAAATTACACTGTGAACTTTACGGTTATTTGACAATTGACAAATTTTCTCACAGATACTTCAGGCCTGTGCTTTACTCTCAATTGCAAATCAAATTTATTATTGACAAGGCTGCAAGATTCCATCTGGCAATGTCAGAGTCGTAATTAAACGTACAATATGATTCTCGATCATATGAGCATATACTGACCTTTGACTTCAATCGCCGGCGAATTAAGGTATGAAGTTGGTCACATTGGTTGATCAGGAAATTTCGTTGTGAGACAAACATTGCTTCGGGTTGTAACTGTAATCCTCCATTTCCACCATCTCTTGAATTTGAAAACAGCTCATGGCTAAATTATGATTAATAGACATAAAAACTAATTAGACCTAAAACATAATTCTTATTAACCTAGATTATAATTTCTATAAAAGTCTAAATAATCAACAAAGAAATAATAGAAAGTTGAAACATCTTGTGCGTATACACAAGACATGACTTTCACTGAGCACAAGTTAGCTTATACTCTGATTAGAAAGACAGTAATTCATCAAGCTATCATTGAAAATGTAGCTATTAATTGAATAGTATTAACCTCAATACCTAATTAAACACTGAACTTGATAATTTATAAATATGAAAAGAAGGTAAAAGCATTTGCTTTGGATGCTTCAATCTTACCAAGTCCCATTTGGTGGATCAACTGTTAGCCTTTTGATAGTTTCCGGATCTTCACTAAACTCACAATCAACCAGTTGGTCATCAATGTACCATAATTGTAAAATATCATGTCCATTAGTAATCTGATAAACACACAAAAGATAAATGAGAAAACAAAGGAACAGAAAGAATAGAAAAAATATCAAAAATTAAAAACTCCATTCACAAAGAGTAACGTCTGACTTATCTTATGTTTCTCTCTTAACCTTACACTTAAAATTATTGAATAATATTTAAAAATTGAAATTTTGATAATTACCTGTTGTAGTCGATAATTTTGAATCTTTGTTTCCATTCCAGTTAAATTGTTCCATCTCACTTTAATTGAAACCTCACCATCTGACAATGTAGTCTTTGAAATGTGATTAAAGCCTTCAAGTGATTGGTTCCCTCCAACACTGATGTCAACTTGAATAGCGGGAAAATTGATCAAGAAAATGTAAATAATGACAAAAACTTTACAAATGGCCAGTGGAAACATGAGTAACACTAATACAAATCGTAGTTATCAAACAAAATGGTAAAATCCAAATTCAAATCCAAAGTACAAGCAAACTTTAAGCAATAAAAAGAAGTGAAAAGTTTATCGTAAACATACAAAAAAGAAATAGTGAAAGAATTAATTCAACTCCAATTAAACTGCTAAACAGCAATTAATAAACAGTGCAAACAAAATACAATCATAAGCTGTTGAACTAGACTATTGTGGACAACGATAAGAGCGACAATAAAGGCAAATATAAAAGCAAAGATCTCCAAAAATTGTCAAACATTTTGGTCCTTTCGGGATCATGCGTAAGTCACCGAAAATAAAGTCAAACAATTAACAATCAACAAAGTTAAGCCAAACCTTGAACATCTAGTTAAATCAGAGCCTCGAAAATCAAGCAAGAATCAAGACAATCAACAAAAAGAATCGTCAATTGATCTTGACTAATAGAAGTCGAATTAGAAAAACAAAATTTTAATCAAAATTTGCTTTTCACCAATGTATTTGATATTAATAGGACTTCCTGCATGTTGGCTTTGTGGCTTAGTTGGTTAAAGCGCCTGTCTAGTAAACAGGAGATCCTGGGTTCGAATCCCAGCAAAGCCTTTTTTTATTCTTGCATCAGGCTTGTGCTTTTTTAAGCCGTGTGTTTTGGTTGATTGGCTTTTTCTCGGACTTCTCTTTTTTTGCTTATCGGTGAACTTTATTGGCCTACTTAAGTAGACTTTAAGTTGATTTTTGTTACTCAGTTTTGCCTGGTTCCTGTTTAACTGTTAATGTTGGATTTTTTTTTACTCTGTTATGGTAAGTCTTATTTTGTTTGTTGTTCCTGTTGATGATGAAAATTTTTGCCTTTTTTTGTTTTTTTTTGAATCTATTTGTTTGTTTATTGTAATCTTTTGAAGGCTCTTTTTGTTTGATTTTTTATTATCTTTTCCATCTTCTATGTGCTTCTGTCTATCTAGCGGCATCATTTTTAATCAATCTTTACTTCTTTCTATGTTTTTCCACTTTACTTTTCTTCCTGTTCACCCTTTAGTAACTCAGGTATCCTTTGGTAATGCGTCTTCATCTTTAACCCTTTTCTGGATTTAAATTTTACTCTGTGATATGTAATTTTTGCTGTTTGGTCATCTATTAACATCATGATTGAGTTGGAAGTTAAAAAAGAACCCAGTGAGACTTGGAGGGAAACAAATGGTGACAACATTGGAAATGCTTCCAATGCACAGCTGACTGGAGGTAAAGTTGGATCATCATCGTTCTTGCAGCTTGCTGGTTACAATGGTGTTGTTCAAGATGGTGAACATCTTAATGGAACTTCTATTAACAGTTATGGCAATGGTGGTGATGCTGGTCGTACTGAGTTAGATGATTTGGGTGAGGAAATACTCCTCGAGGAAAGAGATATTCAAATTTATGAAGAGCTTCTTACCAGAATGAGAAATGAGGTTATCATCAAGGAACCTACATGCAGTCGTTTGATTGTAAGTGAAAGGAAAAAGAAGATTAATTTAAACCTTGAAGATGAACAAAATTGTCAAATGATCACCTTGCCCGAAGATCATCTCAATAGTGCTTGGTCGTCCTTTAGATATCCGAGAAATTATGATGATTTCTTGGAACTTATATTCACATGGGCTGATAATTATCTCAATGATCAGGAATGGCCTCAAGAGGAAATTTTTTTCAAGTTAAGAAATTACGCTTATGCACCAAAATATACTTCGTTTAAATTTTATTCTCAAGCATATCTGTCAAATTTGGTTGGATTGTTTTATGCAAAGCTCAAAAAAGAAACTAGTAGTTGGCAAAAATCATCGAAATATATAAAAGACAAAGGAGTTATCGGTACAGTCGACACTGTTAAAAGTGAAGATCAATGGTCTGAAATAGTTTTCAAGCTATTAACTGACTTGGATACTCTGAAATTTGGTAACTGCTGTGTCTTAAGTGTCGTCGATTCTTACAATTCTTCTGACCGACTGTATTTTGGCTCAATTCTAGGAAAAGACAAAATATCGATTGAAAACCGAAAACTCACCCTCTTGACTGTTAAAGTTTTTGAATTCGTCCCCGTTTCTGGTGATAAATTCGCTTTATTAAGCTTATTTCGTACTCATCATATTTATACATCCGCTGAATGCCTTTTCAAATTAGAGACATCGCAATATCTTCAACATTATCTCAGTCCAAGCTTAAAATCAGGCCCTTCTGGTGTACAGCTTAGACTTGATGAAAAAACCTTAACCGATTTTGATCGTGATGCAATTTTCAAAGCAGTTGATACTTTTTCATTGTCAATACCTGATATCTCCCCAGTTAGTTGCATAGATTTCAGAGAAATGGACACATCACTAAAAGATCTTACAGATTTTGTTGTGGAAATTTTACTTGCCATGCGATCAGCGCCACTTGACATTCGTTGGATCAATTTGGATATTCCAGCTTTGGTAATCAGCAAAGATGAAGATATACTTTCCTCTTTACATGAAAAGTTCAAAAAGGCTGATTTTTCTATTTATCGAATTGGTAGTAAAAGTTCACCAATAAATTTGCGTGAGAAAATTCCGATGGTCAGCAAAGCTTTAGCTAAAGCCTTTTCTCGCACAAAATTCCTAGAAGACGCTCCCGAGTATGAAAAGTTAGTTGAACAGTGGGATTTTGTTGATGAAGGAATATTTCAGAACGATGAGCAAAAGAAATTGTACAACGAGCTAACTGAAGTAGCCAAAATTTTCGCTCTTCGCAATTCCGCCGTTGTATTGGGAAACATTTACGATGTATGCAATGATTTAGCCATCAATAGCTCTTTATGCCAAATACCTGTTTGTTTAATTCTCGGAGCCTCATCGATTCCTGAATGTTTTACTCTACCGCTAATGAAATATGGTTGTGAAAAATTTATCCTAATTGATAGAGAAATCACTTCAGGGACCAAATCTCTATTCAACCGTCTTGTTTCAATTTACGAAGAGGAACAATTACCTGTTAAAGGAGCTAAATGTTGCATTGTAACAAATGTCAAGAAAAAGGTTAAAATACCTGAACCACCCAAAGTCAGTCGACATAAAATTATTGAAGAAAGTGCCAAAGACTCAGCTTCAACTTCATCAACAACGCCAGGATATAATCCTGAACAACGTAAAAACCCTCGAAACCGTATGCCCTATTGCCCTAAACCCACCGCTAACCCAACCAATGATTCAAATAAATGAGTCAATCGTGTAGGGTGTCTTTTAAATTTGTACAATTTGTTAAACTCAAATTTAAATCTAATTTCTCATTCACCGTTAGAGTTCAAATTAACAAAAGTACAAATTTAAGGGACACCCTTTTGGAAAATATTCAATTACTTATAGTTCAAACTAAAAAATTGTTAATAATAATTAATATATTTATTTAAGTTGACATCATTTCTATAAATTAATTTACAAAAAGTTAAATTAATTATCATAAAATTGATCTTTGCAAAAATTAAAAGCCTTTATTACCTAAATTGTAATGCTTTTTCACTTCTTTATCATCGTTAATAATCGGAAGGACACTCATTTGAACAATTAAACTTCGAGTAATGATGAATTTTAATCAATAAATTAAATTAAATTTGATTTCATTAAACTATTTCTTTAAAGCGCCATCTTTCAACCAAACCCAACTAACGCCATCTACTCGATATCCAAAAATAATAAAAATGTAGGTGAAATGTTCGATCAATTTGATTTCTGTAATTGATTGTTTAATTTTAATATTGTGTTCAATTTAACTTAATTACGCTGTTCTTTTTGCACATGAACCCTCAACTGAAGCGCTCATTAAACAGCCTTTTATCCAGTGGCTGTTTCAAAATTTTAAAGTGGTTCTAGTTCAAACAGTTACTCGAGGATTTGTATGTTCCATTACATCTCCTTTTCAACCTTTTACCTGTTACAAACCTCAAAATTATCATGAAGTGCAAATTCGTCGTTCATCCATTATCATTAATTTTATTACTTTTGAAAAATGCTCACATTCAATAACTTGCTAAATTGTGTATCTCTGCAATTTCGCTATGTCTAATCCATTTCGCCATTGTATTACTCCTTAGATGCTCCAATTATGTTTGTTTTTAGTAAAGCCAAGCTTTCTAGAAAATTTTCTAACCATAATTGTGTAATTAATGTTCAACATTTCCACTAAAAACGCAGCAATCTCAACTCATCACACAATTTGCACAATCTAGTTTAATCTAATTGTTTGTGAATCTCAATACCATTAAATTAATCAACTAAAATTCTCAATGTTTTACTGGTCATCATCTGATCTCTGCTTTTTTAAGCATCAAATGATCTCACAAGTTCTCTATTTTCTTGTTCTCTCATGTATACTGCCTCCATGTTCCTTATCCACCAATTTTGGAGCCACTACCCTGAACAATTTGAATCTCTATACCAGACCATCAGCTATCGGTGAGTCTTGTATGCCTCCATCTAGTACCTGTGCTGATCCTAACTCCATATGTTACCGCAAGACGAATCGCTATCTAGGTTACTGTAAATGTACCCAAGACTATTATTATGATCGTAGATCTGGTAAATGTATGCGATCCATAGCAATAGGCGATCCATGCACAGAGTCAAGAGAATGTCAATCGTTTGATCGACATTCTTACTGTGACTATGGTCAACTTGTTCGTAAACGTCGGCCAATATGTGCCTGTATATCAAAATATGTGTTTAATCATGAGAAACAACGATGTGTACATTGTCGACAAACCCTTAATGATTGCCGTGATCCTTCATCGCCTTCAAGTGTCAATTCCTTGGCAAAGTACAAGTTCGGATTGCTTATCAAAATTATTCTCATAGTGATTGGTTTTTCCCTAATACTGAGCTTGACTTTTTGCTTCTTCATCAAATTACTCAATGGATACAGTAAATCGAGGAGGTCATCTGGTCATAATACACAATCTGGCTCCAATCAACAAATTATAACTACAAGGACTCCAGTAACATCAACATCGGTGCCATCAGTAACTCCAATACAGCCTTCAGCTCCACCTTTGCCATCAGATACTGTTGGCCCAATGTCTACATTTAATACTCGTAACCCTGTTAGATTCAACATATCATCTTCCATCTATAGCAACTCAAAAAGAAACCAATTATCATCTTCCGTTAATAGTAATAGACTGTCACTGGCATCCTCATCAGGGGAAGATAAACCACCCTCTTACGAGGAAGCTATCCATGGATCAAGCCAATGTAAACGTGATCTGGTAATCTCACTTAATCCAAGTTCATCGTTGGACGGCAATCCAGTTTAATTTGTAATTGTATCTACTTAATCAATTGAAGGCCAAAGATGCAACCAAAAATCACAAAATTCATGTAATGATCGGGATTAACTTCCACCTGTTCACTACAAATGGTAATCTCCTCATGGTTTGTCATTAAGGCCATTCTGTACAAGATTGTTTAATACAATTAGTAAGTTAATTATTTGAAAAATCAACCAAAGAAAAGAAATGATAACATATGAATTGTAACAATCAATTTTGTATAGAACTGAATGATTACAGTTAACTGGTAATTGAATTACATTGCCATTAATGCTGTTTTCGTAAAAAAAAGCTGCAAATGTAAATCAGTTTAAATGATTGTCAAACAAAATCACTAATTTTGTTAATATTGAGCTCTTGAGAACAATTACTTCCAAGTCAAAACATCTTTAAATATAGTGTACAAAATTGAATATAAATTTCTGGTTCAGCAGGAAAGGACATTCCGTGACGGCAAACAAAACTTCCACATTGTTCGATCAAATCGAAGCCAAACAATCAAATAATTTGATTTATCAATTAAACATAATTTCACTTCATTTAATTTCTTTTGTTAAGTAGTTAATATCTTGTTCATTATGTACATCATTTAGATTTGAATCTACTTCATTGGAAAGTTATTCTGACAAATCAAATAAAAAATCTTCCAAATTAATTTTGTTCAATTACTCAACTGCTTTTTGAATGAAACAAGATTTAAAAAGGATTTGATTATTTCATTAATTTTGAATTCTCAAAGTTTAATTCTTGTTTAATTTAATTATAGCATAACATGGAAATAGACTTTTGAATTTGATTCAACAATTAAGTTGAAAGTAACGACAAGCGTTAATCATTAATCAACGGATAAAATCGTTATTGAATTGATAACATTAACAATAATTGATGGAGATGTATAATAATGTCTGGTTTAAATTAGCTTGTAATAATTGAAGTTACCTTTTGCTAATCAATTGGATTGTTAGCTTTCAAGTAAATGTATAATACATGCATTTTTGATTGTAACATCTCCCTGTAACCATTAAAATTAATTACCTTCTGAGAGATTGATTTCTTAGAAAACTAACAATGTTGATATGTAAAAAGATAATTTTCCTATTGATTAACAGAATAACCAAATGATTTTGGGTTTTACTAATCATTTCAATTAGTAGCTCAGAGAGTAGAGTTGAAATGAATGCCAGGTCAGGTGTTACAATTAATAATGACAATTAATAATAATTGAACCTTTGAAATATTGAAGCTTTTTTAGGACCAAAATAAATGAAAGATTAAACGGAGTAAACGAAGTAAACATGCGGAAGAGACAAATAATCAAAGCAGAAGATGATGATAATAAGAAGGAATTTGGTTCGAGTTAGAAATCAGTTCCATAAGGAGGAAGAGATCTATTAGCATTCCAAGGTTCTTCACCAGTCATCATCTGAAGCATTCTGAAAGATCTTGAAGGAATTGATGAACCAGTATAGTGAGGTGGAGTTTTGACTGGAGTTTGTTGTGAAGGAGGAACCATTTCACTCTCACGAATAATTGGGATTTCAATTTCTGTACGAACTTTTCGTGCTTGATTAGTCTGTTGTCTTTGTTGTTGTTGCTGTTGTTGATGATAAGGTGATTGTGAAAAGGGTTGAGATGATGTTGATGAAGGTGATGAGGATTGTTGATGCCTTGGTTGGTGATAATTTGGAGTCATTGATGGCGATCGAAGAGCTGAAAAGATACAAAAAAGATTGTTAGTTCTTTCATTTTTACACAAAATTTTGTTCAAATAAACTCTTGGAAATGAGAAGAGAAGATGAAAAAGATATTTTAAAATAATGTTTTGTTTTATGGTTAAGAATCAAATATTCATAAGATGGAAGCATAAACTTTGAGAATTTGGTAATTTTGAGAAAATTGTAAAATTTTCAAAAAATTAGGTCACCTCATTTTAAATACGTGGGTCTTGAGTTAATGTTATCTGTGTTGAAATTGGAGGTCAACTCACTGAATTCCTGTGAGAATCTTTGGCTCAATTACAAGTCGCATAAATTATCTAACATTGACACATTTGATGAAAAAGAGGAGCTAATTCAATATCTTCGTTTCATAGTTATTAGGGCAACAATGACTGACAAATGTGTTATTTACAGTATCATTATTGGATCAAGTGAGTTGTCAGGTTAAGTTAAGGATTAAACATATGGTTCAATATATTGACTTTTTTAGTGAGAGTTGCATTCAAAGATGAAAAGGTGTTGGAAAACCTTTTTTTTTAATGAAATCGATAATTAGTTTACCTTCTTCATCAGTCAAGCCAACCATGTCTTGAAGATATTTGAATGAGTTACTAGGAATGGATGGTCCTCTGTATCTTGGATCCATTGCCTCTTGACTAAATGGTGAGCTTTGGTTTTGCGGTTGAGGACTTTCCACTGAAGGTGTTCGTCGCCATTGCGGTGTCCAATCAGATTGATTTTGTTGTTGCTGTTGAGCTTGTCTCTGTCTTTGGTACTCTTGTTGGGTTTGTTGTTCAACCAATTTCAAATTTTCCAGTTCATCTTGAATAAGAGTTGAAGAGAGCACATAATTCAATGCATTAAAAATATGTTTTTCAATAAACAAATGAATAGCAAGTATTAATCAAGCTCACCTTGGATTCCTTCGGTTAATTTTTGTAAAACTTTAAATGATCTTGATTGAACGGGTTCACTTCGTTCTTCCTCATTTTCTGGTTCATAAAATCTTTGTTGAGACTGTGGTTGTTGATTCATTTTGTATTGGCCACCATAATTGCCTTCATTTGCTGATCTTGGCTGAAACAAGATGTACAAGTAGGATTAGATTCTCAGTAAAAGATCCTTTTTATTATCATTATTCCTAATATCATCATGTCTTGGTAAACTTACCTGTTGTGGTGATGCTGATTGATATTGTCTTTTAGCATTCCATTGTTCTTGTAAAGAAGGTCCAATAATTTTAGTTGGAGTTGAATAATGATCTTGATTATTTTCTTGGGTTTCCTTGAGTAAATCAATCTTTTTGGGAGGAGGAACCGAATAATAAGTTTTAGGTCCTTGTTTAACAGTGATTGGTGATCCTCTTTGGTATAAATTTGCTGTTGGACTGTCCATTCCTCCACTACTAGTATTAGCTCCATAGCCAATTGGAGTAGATGAAGGTGATGATACAATGAGCGGTGGAGATTGTCCGTAATTATTATAGCTAACATTATTATTGTTGTCTCTTACATTGCTATTATAATTGTTCATCATTGGATTTGAATAAGGTGTTGGACTTGAATTACCCGTAGCCGCTGAATTATTTGCATAGTTATTTACAAAAGCAAATGGACTTGTTGATGATGGTGATGGCTGTTTACCTCCAGCATAAGCTGGAGATGTTTGTCCATACGGTATAGATCTTACTTCTGGTGATCGACTAATATTTTGAATAGCAGTATTTAACCCTTCTAATTGCTCATTAACAACAGCTTCAAATTCAACAGGACTTAAGGGTTGTTGTTGTGATTGTTGACGGTAAATAGGGCTTGATTGTTGTTGATTACCAGTTCGAGCCAAAAGTTCCTTGGTAAAATCAAGTTTAGGAGCAGAAGGTACATTAAATGTTTTACCTTGTTGCAAGCCAATTGTTGGTGGAGAGCGATGATTGTTATTAGAATCATAAGTATTGTTATAATTGCTACTTAAAGGTATTTGATCTGGTGTTAGAGCTCTATTTAAGTCAATATCTGTCTTCAGAGGATTCGTTATATCTGGTGTATAAGCTCGTCTTTCAATTGAACCCATTTGATTTTCATTTGAAGGTTGACCGGCTTTGTTTGTTGGCTGTTTAGTTTGATCATCTTCACCCTCCATCATATTAGCTAATAATCGTTTTTTCATCCTAGGCGATCTTATTTGACTCAAATCTAATTTACCTTTGTCACTGTAACGAGAAACATAAAGCCAAATTATTAATGACATGAAATGCAAAAATGACGCTTTAAGGATAACTCCTATGTTAATTAGTCATTGCTGTTCAGAAATAGTCTCTCAACAGGTTAAACTGGATTGAAATTTGCTATTAGATTCACGATACTAATAATAATTTGAAAGTTTCCAGTTTCAAATACGCATGAATCAACTAAATTCAAAATTTCAAATTGGTTATGAACTTGAAAGGAATGTTTCATTCCGATAAAATCAACATTCGAGTAAAATTAGACTAAAAAGATTACATTGAGCAAGAGTAATCAAAGGAGAGTAATAAATAATGTTTAACCAAATGAAGACACTTTACAAAACTGAAGCAATTATGGGAATGTCAGTAGCCATGAAAACGTTAATTAACAAGAGATTGGGATAAAATATTTAGTAATTTGCTGTTACTTAAGGAAAGATTGGTTTTTCAATTTGAATATCCTGTGCCTAACAATTTGAAAGATACCTAAGCTAATTACTAGACATTGGTTTCCTTAATGTACAGTTTTAGGTTGATTGACAGTAATCAAAGAAGCTTATAAGCTGAACCTTTGAAAGTTTCGATAACTAAATACTCACCCAACAGCCAAAGGTGTATAAGTAAATGGCTTCTTGTCTTTAGACATTGTATTCATTAACTGTGGAGGTAAATTAGCAAATTGGTCTTGCTGTTGCTGTAGCTGCATCTGTTGCTGCCTTTGTTCAAGCTCTTCTTTGTAAGTTGGAATCTTAAGCGCACCCATTGAACCAGGGGGTGGTGGAGGTGGTGGAGGTGGAGCCATACCTAACACCATAGAAACAAAAACCACAATTAGAGAGGTTAATTGATTACAAGATTAAAAGAGTTTCCTCTTAAAAAGGTAAAGTTAACATTCACTTATCAATTTGTTAGCTATGACAGTCTAACAAAGAGTAAAGTTGGGGTAAAATCGTAAACAGTTAACTTGGGAAATATAATACGAAATGGTTTGTAAATTTAATATTTGAACTTACCTATGTTAGTTGATGATGATGGTGGTGGAGGTGGAGGCGGGGGTGGTGGAGCCATAACAGAGTCCATTATTTAGTGGGACAATAAGATTACACAGTCGGTTAAGATTTTGTAAGATTAAATTTACAAAATAAACTTGAAATTGACAGTTGACTAGAAACGTGTTCAATAAAATTAAGTAAAACTATAATGTTTACTTGTGTTTTAAGGTATAAATTTACAGAATTAAATTGATTAGTTAAAAAGATAATCAAGCAATGTGAGTTGACTAACAATTAACCCATTCCTAAAACATTATTTTGTGGTTTTCGCTGTTAACTGTCTACCAGACTCTCTCACGCTCTCTCTCCTCTCACTCTCTCCCTTTAACCTTATGTCAAGATGATGATGATTGGGAAAAAATAAAAGGATAATTCAATGTAACTAAACAAAAAGGATAGGAAGATGAAGAAAACTGTTTCTCGATATAAAAAGATGAATCAAGTGTTTGCTAGGTGAATGTGAAAAACTGTGACTGGCAAAATGGTGTTAAGGAAACTTTAAATTGTGGCAAAACCGTTTGGGTTATGAATTATCCTTGAGTTTAATTCTGATCTTAATTCTGATCATCTTCATAGAGCATGCAGAGATGATCTTGGGAGACAGGCTAAAATAGTTATTCCAAATTTGGGTTCAGCTTGACATTCCAAGCCCACAGAGTTGGCGTCTATTTGGTAAATCGGAGTTTGTAAAAAAGCTAAGGGGAAGAGTCGAGCTTATTTTCATTGCGCTGTTCAACTGTATCAGGGAAAGATATTTTTAGCTAAACTTGATCTCAAGCCAAAACCTAATGAGTTAGGACAAAAGCAATGTAAACATTTGAAGATTAATTCAATTGCAAATTAAAATAATAACCAGACTGGAAATTGATTACCAATTAAAATGAATAAATCCATTTTAATCTTATTTTCACTCTACCTTCAATCAGACCATTTGTTTAGTTTGTCAAGATTCATTCTAGAAGTCCATTTATATTTAGATATCTTACAATATGAATTTATAATCTTAAAGTGATATAGTCTTGTGAAGCGCCTTTGAGACTTTGATTCTGTATTTAATCCTCCAAATTCATCATGATTGGTTATTGTTTACGTTCAAATACACATGCAAGGAGACAAATGCTCTAATCCTGAAATTTAATTATCCAGGGCAAGGCTGGATGATGAAAAGAGGGTAAAGTTGGTTGCCAAAATTTTATGCAAACTGTTAACCTAATTGGCAATCAGAGACAATACAGTTTTACCATAATGCTGAAGCTAGCAAGGCTAAGTACAATGAAATCTTATCTACATTCAATATAATCACAATAAGGATAAACAGCGGACTCAGGTATTTTCATTTCATTTAAGATTAACTATGAAGGTTAAAATATTAACAATCAAAACAATATCTCATGAAAAACAAGCAACAACTCAGCATTGCTAACAAAGAGCAATACAACAGTATATTACTCTTTGTGAACGACTTACATTGTTAGATGAAATGTAAAATATTGATGACTAAATCTGTTTGTAAATATCTTAAGCCGGCGGTTTTATTAAAAATAACTATTCTATTGCTAATTAATGAGCAAATTATTTTGTTTCATGTGAGTTAATTGAGTAATTCCTGAGGAATGCAAAGTAATATTTCTCAACTCAACTCAATTTAAAACCTAATTGATTAGTTTGTAAGCAACACCTCGTGCTAACAATAAACTCGCAACTTGATTTCTCATTAATATTGATTATCGGAAGAAATGTTTGTACACTAACATTCAGAGCGTCAAGATAAATAGTGATAAATAACTTGTATGAGAGTTTCAACAATTTTTTTGTTTGAGATAGATCTACTGTTAGCCATTATTTACAATTAAGCTAATAATGTATCATCTTTTCAAGTTGTATTTACTATTAAAATAATTTAAAGCAAGCAATTGAATTGAATTTTTAACTTAAAACCATTATTTATAAACAAACTCAAATCACAAGTCACATTTACATTGTAGACTGATAAAAACTATTTGATTTAAATCATTACTATTAATAAAATGGCGATCAAAATAACCATTAAATAGTATATTTTAATGATACAATTTACATTATTAGACATAATGTTTGAAATTATTTGTTTTTGTTTAAAGATGCCATAACATTAGTATCGATGAACTTTCTTGAAATTAATTTCAAGGCTTCATCTAATAAGACAACCGGACCTGAGATCTTGAGTACTGTCCACCATTCCTCAGCGTTAAGTGGGCAAACAGAGAAGATTACCTGAATTGAAACAAAGAAAAGATTAAAAATTAATAAACTGAAGTAATAAATAATCTAATAGGTTAAATTTGAATAATTTAAATTTATACATACCGAGATGAAATCGACATAGAGAAGGAAAAAGTGAAGACCCATTGAAAGAGCCATAGCACCCAAAAGCCATGGGTTTTTCCATGGTGGCATTGCAAGAAGAGATTGGTTTTCAGATAAACTGTGAAATAACAAAAAAGATTTTTCATTTAGAAACTGATTAAATTAAATTGTTGCAACTCATGCATACCTGTTGAGAGCATTCAACATTTCAATGGTAACTAATACAGATAAGGCCATAGTCATTGGATGAGGGTCACGGAAAATAGCACAATCTACATTTGCAAATGCTTCGTCCCCACCAAGGCATTGAAGATGGTGGCTAAGTTGATAGAATGTAAGATGAGGTCCATCAGGAGCGGCTAAGAACCACCAAGCGGCAGCGCCTACAGTGGCAGCACCGACATAGCAACCAACAGCCATATACCTAAAGAATAACCATCCGGTGATGAGTGGTTCGTTAGCTCGTCGAGGAGGTCGTTCCATAATGTCAAGATCAGGTGGATTAAAACCTAATGCTGTGGCTGGTAAACCGTCAGTGACTAGGTTAACCCAAAGTAATTGTACTGGAATCAAGGCTTCGGGAAGACCAAGAGCGGCAGTCAAGAAAATACTATGGAGAGAAAAAAAGACATTGATTAGTATTTCAATTTAAATATATTCCAAGAGTTGAAGTTTTACCTCACAACTTCACCAATGTTGGATGAAATGAGATATCGAATGAATTGTTTCATATTATTATAAATAGCACGACCTTCCTCTACGGCAGCAACAATGGATGAGAAATTGTCATCAGCTAAAACCATTTCAGCAGCTGATTTAGCAACAGCAGTTCCTGAACCCATAGCAATACCAATTTCGGCTTTCTTAAGAGCAGGGGCATCATTTACACCATCACCAGTCATAGCAGAAATTTCACCATCAGCTTGTAGAAATTCAACAATTTTGGACTTGTGTGAAGGTTCTACACGGGAGAATAGTCGAGCTTTACGGATAGCTTCACGTTGTTCATATACAGGTAAGTCATCAAATTCACGACCAGAGTATGACTTTCCGAAGGTGTCTTCGTCTTCACCGAATACTCCGATTCTTCGGCAAATAGCTTCAGCAGTGGCCTTGTTGTCACCAGTAATGACGATAACTCGAATACCAGCAGCTCGACATCTCATGATTGAATCAAAGACTTCTTTACGAGGAGGATCCAACATACCAACGACACCAACGAAAGTACAGTTAACCTGAAAATTTGCAAAAGTAAATTGCATTAATATTACAATTAAAATACTATAAAAATCTAAATGATTGAAAGTGTACCTCATAATTGATAAACTTGGTAGCGTCATTAAGATCCATCTCATCAGGAGCCATTGGACTGTCAATAGTTGCAAGAGCAAGACATCTGAGGGTATCTCTACCAGTACCATATTGTCTGGTAGTTTCTAAAATTTTATTTCTAATACCTTCGGTCATTGGAACTTTACGGTCTCCGACTCGAACGTGTGAGCATCGATCAAGAACTCCTTCAGGAGCTCCTTTAACAAACATCTTTGGTCCAGATCCAAGTTTGTCAACTTTTTTAGGAACACAGAAAGAGCTCATTGATTTTCGATCTCGAGAGAACTCAAGGGTAAACTCTTTTCTCCACATGGATTGGATATTGTGGTTCACTACTAAGGCAGCATCTCGTCGACTTAATCCAGATTTACTGTAGCCCCATGGATTTAATTTTTCAGCTAATACGACGAGAGCAGTTTCAGTGGCTTCACCGACCTTCTCGAAGGCTTGTTTGAACTCATTAAAGTCAATACTGGAATCATTGCACATGACACAAATAGTGGTCATTTCGAATAATTGATCGTAATCACTAGACTTTGCTCGTTGTCCCTTGATGAAGACATCACCAATGGGTTCGTAAGTTGATCCGGTAACTTCAAATTCATCTAATTCACAGTCACTACCAGAGGCATCTCTGATAATAAAGAACTGTTAATGAGATCAAAAGAAAATTGCATTAGTAAAATCATTCAAATTAGATTGATTGAAACCTTAACAACATCAAGACATAGATTGATATTGATTCTTATTGATTAGACCAAGGTGTGAAATCTACTCACCCTACTAACTGACATTTGATTTGTGGTAAGGGTACCTGTCTTATCAGAGCAAATGACAGATGTACAACCTAATGTTTCGACTGAGGGTAAAGATCGAACAATGGCATTCTTTTTGGCCATCCTTCGAGTACCTAAGGCTAAGCAAGTAGTGATCACAGCAGGTAAACCTTCGGGGATAGCTGCAACAGCTAGTGCAACAGCGATCTTGAAATAGTAGATGGCACCCTTTAGCCAAGAGCCGCCGTGAATTGGATCATTAAAGTGTCCAATGTTGATAGCCCAGACAGCAACACAGATAATTGAGATTACTTTTGATAATTGTTCACCAAACTCATCAAGTTTTTGTTGGAGTGGAGTTTTGACTTCTTCAGTTTCACTCATTTCAGTACGAATCTTACCAATAGCGGTTTCAAGACCAGTACCGATGACGATACCTTTGGCTTTACCAGCAGCAATATTTGTACCCTAGACATCGATAGCAGAAAAAAATAGAGATGAAAATTAAATAAGAATGATACCAGTAGTGCAAATAAACAAACAGGAAAGAGTTAATTAGGATCTCTATAAAAAAAGAGGCTTGAAGGTGAATGACTGTTTGGTTTTTGCTATAAGGATACATTTGTAATCCAAGTGAGCCCATTCAAGATTAAGATGAGTGATGACGATATGGAAAAAAAGTAAAGGTTGAAATGGTGCACAATCAGGGAAAGTAACAGAATCAAGCTTACCGAGAAACAAATATTCTTCTTATCCTGATTTACAGCCCTTGGGTCGGGTACAGGGTCGGTGTGTTTAATCACAGAGACAGATTCACCAGTAAGAATAGATTGGTCAACCCTCAGGGTTGTTGAGTATATCTTGATTAACCTAATATCAGCGGGAACTTTGTCACCGACCGAGAATTCAACCAAGTCTCCAGGAACAATTTCTTTGGCTCTAATTTTTTGTACACCTTGTTTGTTGGCCCGGATAACCTTTCCCATCTCGGGTTCATACTCCTTGAGAGCTTCAATTGCACTTTCAGCATTTCTTTCCTGCCAAACACCAACCACAGCGTTAGCAATAAGAATGAGTAAAATGACAAAAGGTTCAACAAAGGCTGTAATAGTGTCTTCATCTTCTTCAAAGAAAGCAAGCACAAATGAAATTATGGCCGCAAGAAGTAAAATTTTCACTAAAAGATCATCAAATTGCTCCAAAACCAATTGCCACAATGATTTACCCTCTTCTGTGGGTAACTCATTGAGACCATACTTGGCTTGATACTTTTTAACTTGATCGTCAGTTAATCCTCTCTCCGGGTCAGTTTGAAAATTATCAAGCACTTCCTGATAGGTTTTACAATGGGCCAACTCCATAGCTGTAGTTGATGATGAGGGTTTTTTGTGTGTGGCTGACTGATGATGTTACACCGTTTGCTGAAGCACAATGGTGTTAATGTATATTAAATACAATATTATTATCTTAGTATAAAATGTTCTATGATGATGTTTCAGTGTGTTGTTTGGTTGTCAGTATAAAGGGATTAGATGATGAAGGGGCAAACTGGATTAAATAGGTTGATATGGGCTAGAAAAACACTTTTATATATCGAGAAAGATTATTGCTCATTCTGTGAAATGAATTTCTATTTGCGCGAGACTAGTAATGATGACTCTGTCTTTCCTCTCTCTATTTCCCATTCACAGTTTCATTTGTTTTTTTTCACATAAGATTCTGCGTAACCAAACCTTTTAAACCATTACCTGTCGCCATCTATTGATTAGATCATGATACGCAATACCGGTGTTCGCTTTTGATTACGTAAAGAGAGTGAAGAGTAAAAACCAGATAAAGGTAAACATAAAACTTCTTTACCTTTAAAAGATGATTCCCTTTCTTTTTGTATACTTGTTTCCATCTTTAACCAAGAAAATGGACTTGAACACTTCTTGGGCATAGTCTTCAATCTTCAACTTGTTCAGCTGATGCGTATCAACTGTGATCTCTTCTCTTTCTTTCAATGTTTACCCTTTCCTTTCACATGAAGAAAGCCTTTTTTCTTGATTCCAAAATTTTACTATTCAGTTAACATTCCACCGACTCCATTTTAAACTTTTTAAAATCTTTTTTCCTGTCAATGGATTACCTCTTCAACATATTGACATCATCTTATCACCACCCTCAACATTTCCACCATTTCCACAATCACCACCATCATCAACATTGATACATTGTTACATTGTTTTACATTTTCATGTGTTTCAGTAATTCGTGATTCACTTTTGTGATTTTCTTACCTTTTTTTTACATAAAATATTAGATTTCCATTGAAAGTTTTATTGTCTTTTTTTCATGCTTTCTCCTTTGATTAAACATACTAATTGGCAATCTTTTCAAACTTGTAATTTAATTGCAATTATTCGAGGTATAAATAGGTAGAGAGATAACCTAGTTTTGGTGATACACGCTTAATAGATAAAAATATTAACATTGCAACAGAATTTATAAATATAGCAAAATATCCTTTTGTCTTTTAATTTTTATCAATTTCAGGTTTGAATGAGTGCTTACCAAGAAATTATTTGAATTTCCTTTTGTCATTGACCTTTGTCAATAGCGACTGTTACATGTAAATTTAATATCATTTGATTATTGTAACATTGAAAGTGATTCAGTCAAAGGTGTGAAAATAAATTAGTCTTATATATCAATCAAAATGTTGTTAAAAAAAGGTACAGAACCAAAGTGAAACAGTGTCTATTGACCTTGTTACCAGGAAAAAAAAGGATGAACATGAAGAGTTTGAACAGTCTGAAGGCCAAAACCATGATTTTCAAAATGAAAGTTTGTCAGTTCAAAGAAATTGAACAAGTTAAATGGTGACGATGATGATACTAAAAATGATGATAGTAGTGAAGATGGCAAACATGATGATGAAAAAAAAAGACTAATGCAAGAATAGATTTCAATGGAAAGATTATCTTTATTTACGTGATTTTCCTTTCAACTCAATGATTTCTTATGATTTTTCTGTTGTTAATCTTTCCAAGGCTATAACCAGCATTTGAATCCAAATAATGAACCAACCATAATTATCCATCTTGATTCAATTTGGTAAAAAAACGTGAAAAGAAATGGTAAAAATGTTTCAGGCCTATTAATAATTCAACCTTTAACTCTTGATCCGAGCCATTGAAGATTTTGATTGACCATTCAATTCAAGCTTTCAAGCAATTACTCCATTTTTTACACTGAAACATTACAAAATTTCCAATCAACATCTTCAACTAAATTAATAATGATCTTAATTATGATAAACCTAAATGAACGAAGCTCTTCATTTTACCTATTATTCAATTCAGGGTCACCTTGAGCAGCTCTGAAAATACAATTGCAATGATTAGGAAGTGCCGTTGTGTGTATTCATTTGTGTCATCGTCTAAATTGAGATTAATATTGATGGTTTCATTATTTAACTTGACTGGTTGGTCACTGGTTAAAATCTGGTTAAACTGGTAACTGTCCTTTTCCATAGTTGATTTGTATTGCACATTTTCAGATGAAACATTGAACATCACAAATGATTTGCAACAGTTTTTAAAATAACCATCTAATCATCATCTTCTTCATCATCATCATCAGCCTTAATTGTTGATTCATTCTTCAAATCTAATCCACTTTGCAGGTTAACCTTCACTTTAAGCCAGGAATTTGTTGGCTTCAGAGTTACTTTGGCACTTTTCTCATTCCCCAATCTTTTCTTGCAAGTTATTTCAATTTACTTTTATTTCCATTCTAATTATTATATATCTTTCCATTTTCTCTATCAAATTTAAGTTAAACAAACTTGATTAGTTGACACAATTGACTTGAAATTCAATCGCCAGTTTGCTATTTGTTCAACTGCTTTTACCAACCTTGCAGGATAGATTTAGCTTGCAAGCTTCATAAATGTCTATAGTCAAAGGTGAACGTATTGGCATCATTAAACATGAATTAAATGGATTAAAATGATCCTGATTAGATTACAATCAATGAATTATTATTGACAATTTTGTAATCATTAAACACGTTTCATTAAGGTGATAAAATTTGCTTACATGCAATTACATGGTTTACAATAACAGTAGCTTACATTGTTTAGCATTTTTTTATTGGCTCATCATTTCAAATTACAAAAATATAATTGTGACAGTAACACTAAAAATAGAGTTTAATTGCACAAAACAGGAAAATTATTAAAACCAGACAATTTAATTGCTATTCACTGTTTACACCATTTTCATGTGTTTTTAATCATGAAAATAAAAATTTCAATGCTTTATAAAATACATTCAATCGATAGTAAATCAATTTTCAATGTTGGTTAGGTTTGCATTGAAAGAGACGAGATTGGTGAAAATTAATATACAAAAATGTTTAAACCTATTAACACAATTAACACTGTCTAATTAAATTGTATACATAAATTGTGTACACATGAGATTGTTGTTTTGTTTTGTGTGGCAATCAAGTTTCTTGGCACAGTTAATTGGATTGGAAAGTTAAAAGGAATTAAAAAGATGCCGTTCTTATTATTCCAGGGAACATCTAATCTTGGAACATCAACAGATTATTTGAATATCCGATAGATCCATCTTCATCTTCATCCCTTTCCTCTTTCTCTAGGTAACTCAGCTTTAATTATTCTTCTTGTTCTGTCATTACTTATCAGTCAAGGTCATCATCTTCTTCTTCTTTATCTTCCTTTATCATCTTTACCAGTACAAATCAGTGGTTTATAGATGTTGGTGACAGCAGAATCAAAATATACTGAACAGTTGATGAAGATGAGTTCCAGGCTAGTAGGATAGGTACAAGATGAAAGAGATGTTGAAGAAACTGTTGTTACTTTCAGTTTCCATCTTCTTTTTTATTCTGTCTTTTCTTTCAAGAATGATTATCTTGTTCCTGGATTAGGCCGAGGGAGGCAAAAATAGAATCATCTTTCTATTTCTCTTTTTCGTCTGTCGTCATTATCTTCCCTTCTCCTTCCTCCTGTGATAAACCGAGCACCGGGAATGAGGCAAAAGGATGCCTTTCAATGTGAATCCTTTTTTGGGTTTGAAGTCTTGAAGGTAAAAAATAGATGCCAACAAGTCGACGTACATCTTTCGAAGCTCTTTGTCTCATAATTACAATTATTTACTTTAGTATTTAGATTTTGTCTTTTTATCTTCTTCTTCTTCGTTCTGCTTTTTTCCAATCTCTTCAAGTATCTCAATCAAAGTTAATTGCATTTTCTGGATGTTCGTGTTCACTTGGATGGAGATGCTCTGGCAAATAGAGAAGAAGACAATAGAATTAGAATTGCAAAATAATAAAATTTGGCGAATGGGTTCAGATCAATGTGATGACAGTATTTTTGTTTAAAGAATTGAGAAATCATTCAGTTATCATCTGATTAACAAAAATGCTATTTATATTGTTGACATTGGTTCCATTGTTACATGATAGTACAAAATTTGTGACAATAATTTGACTATTTACAGAAACTAATTTCAATTTCCGTAATTTAACGGTTTATAAAATATAAAAAAGCCAAAAGGTAATTTTTACGAAAATATTAGCCTTAAGGTTGACAGTTTTAAAATCTTTAAGAATTCCTATTTTGAAAGCTCAAAGGTAATCACATAGATGCTTCAACACCGAACACATAATCATAAGAATATCTAATGGCCAGAGAATGGTCAATTTTCCAGCTTTCAATATCTATCTTTGGTTTTGCTTGACTCCATGATTATACGGCAAATGTTTCAAATGGTACATTCAAGTTAGAGATATTTTGACATCACTTTGTGTACAAGGTATCCAGTTGATCCAGCACCAATGATCAAAGTTGTCCTATGAGATTGAAATAAATACAAAATTGACATTAAAATGATAGAAGTGCAAAAATAGTCAAAAGAGGCAAAATATTGAAGAAAATTTTGATGGTGACATGACGAAAAGCTTAGCCTTGTTGGCAAAAATTGTTAATGTTAATAATAATGAAAGGTTTATTGTAAGAAAATGAAAATTGTTGGCAGCAATAGTTGAAATAGTGAAAGAAAATCAACTAATGGCTGGAGAAAAATCTTTATCAGATTTTCTGCATCGATAACAATGTAAAAATCTTAGAAACATTGAAAATAAGATGACGTTGGATGAGAGGAAAGAAAAATTAAAATCTGAAAATAATCATGTAACATAAGATGAATCAACAAGATGCTATTTATATGCTAAACTAGAATCCATTTAAGTTGACTCAAAAATTGCTGTACTGATGACCCTTTGATTATATTGTTGATATTATATTGATTTGTATTGGTTTGATAATTTTGGGCTGGGATCAAGTTGCAATTTTTGAGTCATTTAAAACCTTTTCTTGCCTTTTCTTCTCGACAAGTTTAATTTTAAATGTTAGCAAATGCAATTTTAGTTAATTAATAGCGAGTGTTGATTGCCAGGTACAGTTTTCATGATTTCTGTGTGTTCAATGTTACGCAAATGAAACTATTATATTTACTTTGAAATAAAATAGACAAAGAGAAATGACGATTAAATGAGAGAAAAGTAAGAGTGGAAAAAGTAATGAAGGTGGGAAAAAGAGGCAAGATGAAGATGGTGATGAGGATGGGTAAGAGGAAGATAGAGATGACAGAGATGATGATGTGCCAAAGTTGTTTAGTAGCCAAAAATTTGCTGGCTAAAGAAGAAGGTAAACATGGTAAAGTGAAAAGATGTACCAACGTCAGAAGGAAAAAAAAGGCTTAGATGAGGTAAAAGTTGAGAAATTAATGTTCTGAAAGGAAAGAAAATGAATTCTAATTTGGTAATCATTTGCTTTCAAGAATAATCTAATCCATTGTTTGGGATGTTCAAGAGTTTGGATGAAAGATTTTTTTTCAAAAAGCTTGACTTAAGGAAGTAATATCAACAGTGAATATTAAATATTAAGGTTGATCGCATTAGCTTTGAGGATTTGAGCCTAAATAAGATCATTACTAGATACTGAATGATAACAATCATTGTTTTTGGTGGCAACCCTGAAAATTGAGTGTGTTTCCATTATTAGTAGATGATAATAATGATGACTGCGATGATAGTGATGATGATGATCATCAACATAATCATCATCAATCATTAATATCAACGAACGTCACTGTAAATGTGAAAGTTAAAATTAATAGTCAAAGTTAAAAAGTAAAATTTCAATTTCAAATGTCAGCCTTGATGTGTTTTAACATTGTTTTAGACTAGATTAAAACAATTGCTTTGTCACCAAATGATCAAAATTTCCAACATTTTGTGCTCTTTGTATATTTAGCTTACCACAGCAGCAATCGTCCAGCAGTTGAATCACGAATGAAATTGTATCTGGTTATCATGTAATTTTTATCCTTGCGATACTTTTCAATCAAATCTCGGGCTCTGTGAAAAATATAAATAAATATTAGTATTTTTGTTCTGTTGCATATTTAACTTGACAAATGAAGCAATTGTTTCCATGTAGAGATTGATAAAGAAACTCAGCAACAATAATGGTGATAATTGGTGTGAATCTGTTTCTTGGCAAACCAAGTTATTAAAATCATTTCATTGCTACCGTTTTGAATTGAACCCAAAAGATTCAGACAGAAACTTTTAATAAAACGAACTAATTTCCCAAGAATTTAAATTTTATGTTATTGAGTGAATTAACTTTCAATTGCATTTTCTGTTTTGTGAAAGTTAACATTTTCATCTGATATTTGTCTTTGAACAATTTCACATTTTTCATTACCTTTGCTTTATTGCTGTAAAGGCCTCAAAAGTGTATTAAATTTCAATCATGTTTTGAAGGAATTGTTGTGATTCTTGAAAAATAGATTTCAAACAATTAGTTTGAGTTAGTTGACAAGTGAATTGTGAATAAAAGAATCGCTAAGTTTGCAGCAATTTAAGATGAAGTTTTCATTGGAGCGCGGGTGAAGATGCAAATAATAGAGAATGAATTATTCCAAGGTTTCCATGAAGCTTCATTGCTTTTGGCGGGATTCATGGAGAAACAATTCTGGCAAAAAGCCAAACTATTATTCTGATTATCATCTAAGACTTTACCAAACTTAAAATAATTAAGTCAAGATTCTGTCTTAATAGGTAGAAGTGAATTGTCAATTCATTTTCATGGATTGATATCGAAATACTGAATAATCATTGTTCATCCAAAAAATTCTGAGAAACGATGGTTAGAGATTTGATTTGCTAATGTATTTTTTCGTAAAAAAACATTCGAGATTACTTTTTACTAAATCTATTTCAGTATATGAAGTAGACATGAAATATTCAAGGCTTTTAGGTATCTGACTTGATCAACTTTAAGTATAAAGTATTAAAATTATATTAAAAGCAGATTTATATTTAGTTAAAATGCAAATTACAACTTTTAATGTAAGAATGAACTCGTAAAGGATGTGATTAAATCAGTTTCAATTTGGAGAAATGAAAAATTGTCTTCTAGTGAATCATCGAGAATCGGAATGCAATTTAGTATTATTATCTCATGTATTATGACTTGAAAACGGGAAATTCATAAATTGCTTTGAAAATTATAATCATAGGCGGAAATCGCTTTGAATCTTATTGATTTTGGAAATGGCAAATCTGAAAATATCAACATCTAGGAATAAAGTCTAATGCTGTAAAACTTGCAATCTAATTATGAGCATTCAATATTTTTAATAACATTTTAAGCTGATCTAAAAATAAGAGGTTAATATTAAGAGCAGACTAGGTTACAAGAAAACAATCAATGAGGAAAAGTGATCAATTATAGCAAATTACTGTCGTGGGAATAAGTCTACATTGAAAAAAAACAGAAATTATGAATTTTGGAAGATTTCTAAAAAATCATTTCCCTGATTATAATAACTTATTTCCAGAGAATCAAAAATGAAAGTAAATTGCAATTGAGAAGAGAAGCGAGCGATGCCACAAGAAAGGCTAACTTTCGATCTGCGAAGATGGCTATTAGTAAGACGAGAAATCAATATAATTGTTAGAAATTATAAAAAATATTATTTATTTTGATTCCTTTCTTATTGAGAGCGAGATCTTTGCGATTCGAAAGTTAGCCTTTTCTTGGTTATATCTCAACCTTTTCATGCAGTTTCTTGATATCATATTTTCATATCCACAATAGATTGCAAAGAATGTCAAATTAAGATATAGATTATGATGAAGAGACTCGCAACTTTAACATGCATGAGATGAAGATGATGAGAAGAGAAAATATAAACATGCTGAATATTTACAAAGGGAAAGTATGTTTAGTGTTTTTTTGTTCACAAAGAAACAAACTGGCTTACAAGGTGACGAAAGTGCGATTTAGAGCGATTTGCTTTGTAGTTAATATCAAGCTGACTGAAAAGCTGAAGAAGAGATGATGAAGAGAAATGAAGAGAAATTCAAATGCAGCCATTATAATAGTAAGTTATATTTTCTTAAATTAGATTTGCCCCTGTCAATTTGAGCGAGTTCCAAAAATAAAGAAGCGAAGAAATAAAATTTAAAGACAAAGTTTTGCCTCTCGAACCAGCCTTTACATGCATTCACATACATGTAAATGGATCCAGAATTGCATATAAACTATTCAAATTGCTCTACACGTTTCCACCTTTTCATTTCATCATGAACCATGGCTATTTCAAAAGAAATATTCTCATCTAAACATTTTGCAAATTATTTTTGTAGCTCAACAGTTGAGTCTCTTAATCACTTTCTCAATTTAATAACCTTGCAACCTTATTTTTGCAAAAAAAATCTTGTTCAATATATCAAGAAAAATAATATTTTACAGCAAAATATTTCCCTTAAGACCATTGATTAAGACAACTGCAAATTTTCACCATAAAGTTGATTGAAAAACCGAATGCTTTGTTTGCCTCAATTTGCTGAAGTTGAAAATTACTTACGTTCTGAAATTACCGACGGCTAAGACAATTTCACTTTTACTGATTTGTTTGAAATCTATTGTGGTACTGGCGGATGAAAAGGTATTGTAAATCTGAAACAATGAGACAGAAAGAAATTAGACTTCACATTATTGCAATAAGTTAGCTTGACTTACTTGAGCTATGGAGATTGATGTAGATTTATCTCGGCATCGCAAGACTAACCACTCAGGTCGGACAGCCTTTTGACTTTTTGCTTCTAGATCCTAAGAATGTGAAAAGGGAAATTAAATTATTGGTCAAAATAACGTGTAATATAATATTCACCATAAAGTGATATGCAGCTCGAATTAAATTAATTTTATTCTTAAATGGCGTTATTGGTCTTATAAGAGATTCCCATTCTACTACTGGTTCCAATATACACCTGGAATGAAAAGAGATACTGAGGTTAGTATTGTTAACATGTTAACTTTTTCGCATCTACAACCCATATTTATAAGATATGATCATCTGAAGCTATATTTCAAGTATGCATAAGTAGATTGACACTATGAAAATATAAATGAAATGGTAACTAGATACAAAATAAGGGAAAAGATGCCAAAAAGTTGAATTGAATATAAAGACAGTGAAAATTGTGATTTTCTGTGTAAACCTGGAAAACATAATTAATAATTGATAAGAGACTGAGTTGATAGATTTGACTGGAAGATTTACTCATATTTGCTCCTGAATCGAACAGTTCATTAGTTAAGTTTACCTATTAACGAAATTGGATCAGCTATTTAACAAGATGATTCTGAAATGATGCGTTTAGCAATAAAGAGCAAAAGTATCATGAACAGAAATCAGTGAAAGTAAATGAATTACTCAACTTTCGCATGATTTTCTCTGAAATAAATCACTAAACTAAAGAAACTGTGTAACATGAGTAATTTACATGCATCAACAGTAAGTTCAAGCCGCTTTAAATAAACATTATCATTAGATTGTTTAAAATTTCTCAAATTATCTAAATCCTAAGCTTTCTTTCGCCTAAGTCAAATCGCATCTTTAACCAGTCCTTTTTTGTTTATCAGTTTAATTCAACTGTCATTGGCCATGGTACCGTTGACTTACTTGTCCGATTCATATTCAGCTATGAGTGCACAGACTCGCAGGAAAACTGTTGAAAAAGAAAGAAAGAAAAGTCAGAATTAGATGTTTTCAAATCTTGGTAATAGTTGAATAATCATATGAGGGCGAAAAATGAATTTTGAAACTAAAGAACGAGATCAATAATATGAATGATTGGGTAAAAAACTAGAAAATGATTTATGAATGAACGAAAGTGAAAAAAATACAGGCAAAAATCTGTATATTTAATAAATTATACAAAAGGCAGTTTCAAATAGTAAGAGGGCTCAGAGTGCTGCTCTTCATCTGAAGAAATTGAATTTTCTTTAACATGTTTTCTTTTTCTTGCTTGCCTTTTCACTCTCCCTCTCTTCCTTACTCTTTCTAGTTTTTTTTGTGAACTAAATTAATGGCAATAATAGATGATTGATTGAACTGAAAGAGTAATCAAACTGTCAATCACTCATCTAGCTAAGAAATCGACTTGTTGATTGCTGATTTTGACAATAGTGAAAGGCTTAAACCAATACTAGCTACAAGCGTAAGGTTGCAAAGTTAAATCCGTTTCTTGTATTGAGTGTAGTTAAATAAATGAGATGAGTTAATGAAGATTAACTGTTCTAGATGAGGTTTCTTATTAATAACCAACTTAGCAAAGCAGATCAATTGTGAAAATTTTGGAAACTTATTTCTTTTCTCTTTTTCTATCCAAGGTTGGCGATATTTTTGACAACGACAGTTTTTACCTTAACATGTAGACACAATCGACAGTTTCAAGTTCATTTAGATCATTCAAGTTTTTAGATGAAACCATTTGATCACAAGATTGATCTTGACAAGGTTAGTCAATGTTTAAAAATTGATGAGCATCAGAGCTCTCTATGTTGAAATTTCATTTTTTCAACTGACTTTCTTTCAAACTTGATTTTTTCAAAGAAAATACAAAAATTAAATGCCCTTGACCATGAAAACTTTCAACCTTGACATGGCAAAACATTCTATTCCTGTTTTCCTTATCCTAAATATAGTTTCAAAATCAATCTTAGTCCCAAAATAGATAACATCGATCAAAAATACTTTGATCAAAGATTTTGTTTGCTGTACAGTTAAAAAACTTACCATATCCAGTAATATAAGCATCAAATCCTGCATCATGGTAATGGTTCCCATTATCGCCTTGAAAGAGAAGAAAGTATCGTAAGTCTCTGAATAAATTAGATTTGGGCAATTCTTTTGGTACAAATAGGATTTTTTATGTACCCCAATAACCAGCAAAGGTTTTTGACTTCATTGCTTCGATAATTTACGGTATCTTTCGAGTAGTAATTAATGAAGGAGATTGTCGGGCATAAGAAAATGTTTGTGTCGCCAAAAATTATTGCCCGTTTCGAACTTACAGTCCTTTGAATCATCTCTAATTATGGTGGATTGAAATTTTGATGAACTTGTAAAAGATGGTTTGGATAATTTTTCATAAAGATCTTCTAAATTACGAGCTGAAAGGCTATCTTCGTAAGCTGGAAAATACTGAAAGAAAGAGAAAATTTAAAGGTTAGAAAATAAATAATCTTGGAAAGTATTAGACTTACTTTTTTTACATTGAAAATAATGGACTTAACATCGTAGATGACGGGAAAATTTTTCAAAATTTCTTTCTTGAAGTGCTGCAAATTGACTAAAAGAGAAAGAAAAATTTGCATTATTAAATAATGGGCGTACAAATTTCGAAAACCTTCAAGAAAAAACGAAGACAGCCCTGGATCAAGAGCGAATTGTTTGTTGATTCTTAATATTTTGCAAATAATTTACCTGGCATTGGCTCGATAAAATGGTGATAAAGCATAGTAAGATCAACCATCATGTTGTTTCCTACAATTGGTTTACCAGATTCGATAATAACATTGACTAGTTTAGTTAAACCAATACATGAATCAATTACGTCATTTTCTTCCTTTTCAATGCTGGACATCAATTGTTTCCTTTCAGCGTGTGAAACAGTCTTTATAAATAGCTTATCGCCCTGTTGAGTGATCCAAAAATTCTTGTATTCTTTTCTCAAATGATCGATGAGCAGGTAATTTATTAAAGGGTTGGTGAATGGCTGATAAGGGAAGGTATTTTCTCCATGTCTGCATCCATCTCGCACGGGCAATAAAATCATCCATTCCTTGATTTGTTTTCGAATATCAATCAATCTATCAATCATTGAATAAGATAAATCGAATGAAATAAACTTCTCCTTCATGAATTTTCTAAATGTTTCCTCTTGCGGTTTATTCAAAAAGGGTATCCCATAACGAGCAAACTATCAATGAAAAAGACAGAATTAGTGGGTGCCGTTAGAAGACTATCAAAGTACTTACTTTGTTGAAATCGAATGAATTATCTGCTAAGAATTCGATAGCTCCAGTTTCTAATGAAAAACAGCTAATTGGTGGTCCATAAAATCTTGGACAGCAATAAAAGGAGTATGTGTTGACTTTAAACCTGTGAAATAAGGTAGAGCTTTAGCAGGTCTGCACAATATAGAGACATTCCGTGATTTTTTTCGAAGTTTATCATTTTATACTCAACTCATTTTTTCCTTCGCTTTTAGTGAAAAGAGATATTCCCAATTGAACGGGTATAAAGCTGGATACATTATTTCTCAATTTCACGTATCTCTCCTCCAAGGAATCGAATAGTGATGGCGTACAGTCAGCATTGCAGAAAAGGCCAGAAAATTCAATGTCAATAGCTGAAAAGACCATAAAATAAATTAGCTTTGCACATACATAAAAACCAGGCTGAAGTTTTAATTTCCCAGAACAGAATACCGAGAAAATTCTTGAACTTTAAATTTGAGAGAAAAAAGTCAACATACCAATGAAATTGCATTTTTGAATCTCCTCAATAACTTTGGGCAAGACAGCGGTGAAATTGGAACAATCTACATTCATTTCGAAGTATATTAATTTGAACGCAGTACAAAAATAAAAATAAAAGCTTAGAGAATTACACGAAAAAAAGTCTTTTCCAAGCGTTTACCATCTACAGTTGAAAAACATAACAGTCAATGGTCAAGAGGCATTCTTCAAGAATGAATTTCGATTAAAATCACAAACTTGATGACACATCTTTAGATAGAAGCAATAACCAATAAGGCTAAATGACCTCAAACCTAATCAAAGCTTGACTCTTAAATCAACTGAAATATTGCACAAAAGTTGTAAATAAAGTTGTAACAAATTTACCAAAAAATAAACAAGCTGAATCGGCATAAGTCGATACTATCGACTATCGGTATCTTAAAAAGAAACGATACTGGAAATGATTTGATGTTTAAAAAATTAATTCAAATTCGGATGAAAATTGGACTAGATGAACTCAATTTTTATTGAAATTATATACAATTTGCAGTATCATGTCTCGAACACATTCCGATCAAAATAATCTTCTCAATTAGTTATAATACGATAGCTTTTATTACTCAATCTCTAAACTATTAAAATTTTTCGTTGGCTATCTTTATGAACCGATTTATTTTGTCCACTCATTAAATTAACTGCTAATTTCATAGCATTCGAAGAGAAAATATTAAAGATTTAAATTTTGAATCGAGCTAATTTTGCTTTTGGGTAAATTGGTGAGGAATGAAGCATTGATTAAGGTCCACATGCATTGAGAGTCCCAATAATAAGTCAGAAAAATGTTTTTGAGACAATTTTTATGTATTTTTCAATTTATTTTAAGTAAAATTATACATAATTGAGATTTTCAAGCGAACTATGAATTGAAAAATAAAAGATCGTCCAGAAATTACAAAAGTTTAAAGTTGAATTGCCCAAGAAACTGCCGTTTGAACCAGAACCAACCAATGCACCATTGAAGGAACGTAGTTGACTAGTTTAAACTAAGAACCTTTTGATGATGATGAATGAGATGATCTTTTCATGATTTCAGGTTTTTCAGTTGTTGGTGTTGAGCTATCTGTGTTTTGAGTAGTCGTTGAAGAAACGTAATTCACTATTTTATCCGTAGAGTCAGAACTTCTTGTTAGTAGCGATTTAATCTCCTTTTTAGAGTTAGCAAACTTGGATGGCACTTCTGGGTATTCATCGAAATCCTCATTCGGCGTCTTTTGCACATATATAGGAGTAGTTATTGTTGTTAATTGAACTGAATTTTTGATCGTAGGACTATTTTTAGTGCAATATATGATCCACCAAATACCGACTAACAGCTCGAAAAAAATAACAGTTATGAAAAATAAATGAACAAATAGAGGTACCATGTTGTAATAAAATAACACAGGCTGTATTGAATCTCCAGAATCAAAAATGTTGAAAGTATTAAAACGTTAATCGAAAGAGAAGTGACAAGAAGGCAAACCAACGTTAGACTTTATATACACCAATCAATAGGAAATGGTGTTAATCAAAGAGTTAAATTTTCCACTTTCAAGAGTCTAATGATGTTGAAAAGAAAACACGAGAATGCATAAATATGGATTTCTAGTTGTTTTGATTGTATCCAAATATGAAGAACATCCTTTAAAATGTTAAATCACAGGAATTAATGTACATAAAAAAATTAATAACGGAAAAGATTACTTCAACGATATTAGAAAGAAAAATACAACACATGTAAATAAACATAAATAAATATTACTAACATTGTGAGCTATTACAAAAAGATTCACTTACATGTTAGATAGGGTGAATATTAAAAGCATTTGAAATCATTAATCAAACGAAGGAACTGAATTAGAAATAGATTTTATTTTATATTGTGACAACAAATTGTATAAAAATTGAAATTTGAACAAATCTAGTTAAAAAATACAAGTAAAAATTTAATCAATATCAAAACAAAAAAGCTTCAAAAAATATTAAGAATTCTATTATAATTAATTTGATTTCACACAATCACTGAGATTGAAAATATTAATATACAAAGGTTAAGGATTAATTGACTATTGGTATTACCGGTTGAACCAGAATTTACAAATGAACCAAAGTTGACTTCAGGTGTTGTACCATTAGATATGGATCCAGCCATTTCAGTTGTGTTCATTGTATCGGTGGATGTTGATAAAATTGTTTTAATCGTGGTATTTGCTTGTATAGATGCAGATGGATCTAGATCGGATGGATCATGGATGTCTGTGCCATTGACATTGCGAGGTACATTAACATTGGAAGTAGAGTTATCCATGTTTTCTGTGGTTGCTGGCGTATCTGTCATAGTAGCTGAAGTGCTTACGATTTCAGAGGTTTCAGTTATTTTTTGTGTTGAGTAATATGTGGCATCAGTGACATCGCGAGATGAATGAGTTTCTTTATCTTTTCTTCCAATTTGGTCATTCGATGTAGGTTCCTTGTCCTCATCAATCGATGCATTTACCTTCTGAAGATTAGGAGAATAAGTAACGTTTGGAGTAATGAATTCCCAAGCATTGCCTACCGAGGAATTTTCGGTGTTAACAATTTCATCAGTACTAAATGGTGATGAATTTTCCACGGAAGCACCATCAGAGTTATCACTATTTCCATCAACGCTGCGAGGTACATTATTAACATCATCATTATCATTCAGCATGTTTTCTGTGATTGTTGACGTATTTGTGTTATCAGTTGTAGAGCTTTCACTTTCAGATTTTTCAGTTGTTGGTGTTGAGCTATCTGTGATTTGAGTAGTCGTTGAAGAAACGTAGTTCACTATTTTATCTGAAGAGTCAGTACTTGTTGGTGTTATCGATTTAATTTCCTTTTCAGAGTTAGGAGACTTGGAAGACTCTTCTTCTGGGTATTTATTGAACTCCTCATTCAGCATTGGGGACACACTTTCAAGAGTCTCTATTGTTGGTTGAACTGAACTTACCCTCGAAGACTCACCCTCATTGTTATCTATTGATAAAACATTAGTGTCTTTAGGTGGAGGCAATTTAGAAGCATCAAGCTCTATTGGTACTGCTTGCGATGAATTTGGTTCGTCATCCTTAAAACTCTTTTCAGATGTACTTCTTGTGGACGTGTCTTCCTTTTCATCAATTTTCCAAGGGAAACCCCAACCGCATGACGATAGCTGGACAGAAACAAGAATTATGAAAATAAAAGTTAAAAATTGAGATGACATGTTGAAATAAAATGACACAGACTAAAATTGAACGCAACAAAAGCTACAAGACAAACTTAACCAACGATATGAACAATAAGATGAGTAACATACAACAAAATGGCTTGACTTTATATAATACCTTGTAATCAAACAGTTTAAAAAATTGTGACACAAACTAAATCCCATGAGGTAGTAAATTGTTGATCCGATTGGTTAAAACCATTTAATCTTAAAGATTGGTAATCAAGTTGCACAAATATACAAAATGTAAGATTATGACTAATGGATTGAATTAAGCAATCAACGGAAAATTTTCAAATATTAAGCCAACCATTCAAATTGCATTTAAAGTTTGAGCGGCAAATCCAAAAACCAATTTGAAAAATTAAATTATAAAGAAACATATTAATCTCATATCATTAACATCGCTTAAATTAAAAATTTATTCAATTAAATTCATAATAGATTCCTTGTGCATAAATTTATTATAAAATGAATGATTAAGTCTTGATTAGGACTTAAAAATAGATTTAATTGTACCATTTTTATGAAAAAATATTTAGACAAATCCATTTCTTCAATGAAGTAAATGGAAAAATATAAAGGTTAGGCTTTCACTTTGCCTTAGAAAATTAAATTTCTCATAATAACTGAAAATTTAAATATCGAGAGGTTGATGACCAAAGGTGATTAAATTGAATTGGGATTTCCAGACGAATCAAGATTAATGGTGTGGTAACATTAAACATTGAAACAATCAGATTGAAGATTGTCTTTGATCAGGTAATTTTTAATGTAAATGGCGAAAAGGACAAGACTGGCAAAAAACCACTAGGAATGTAGACGAGTTTGTTGATTTCCGTCCATTGTTGTCAATTGTAATTGTGCAAGGGATGATCATGCAGTGATCAACAGGAATCAAAATTTCATCGCCTACAGATTGGGCGAGTATTTCATGGTGAATAATTACCCATTCTGGTTTGACTTGATGTTACTATTTGTAGTTGGTTGAAGGTTGAAAGTATAGATATTTGTCAATACAAACCAAATGATTAATGCAATTAACGATACTAATATCAATGTGAAGCATTAATAATTCATTCATGAAACTATTATTTACTCCAATGAATGATGAACCCCATGAATGGATTGCCAAGAAACACAGTTTTACGTCATTCACCCACCCAAATCAATCTGGAAAAACATGGTTTTTTTTGTTACTGCCACAGAATAATTTACCCAATTCATTGGTACGGAACTTTGATCCCACTGATCAATGTGTCTTCTCTCCAACGTATTAATCAAGATATTTCCCCGTTTCTCATAATTCATTCATCAAGCTGAGTCTATTAACACCAGCTACGCTTTTACCAAAGCAAACACATTTGTTGAGCAAATATTATCAACAAGACAATGAATAAGTCAATTACCATCAGGTGATATAAACAAAATACGAGTCGCATGTTTACCTCATGATCAATACTGATAGTAATTGTTGCCTCCTGCAAGTCAATAAAATTTTATCCTCGCTCCATGAATTTTAATCAATGGCTTTCTCAAAATTTGGGTTTCATCAATGAGATCTTTGATATTGGGATTTTTTTCCTCTGGTTTTCCAGATCCATTGAGATATCAAATTTTACTGTTGGAGGTTGGAGGCTCATAGGCTTGGACTGGGATGAGCCATTTCAACCAAGATTGCTTTGAATGCAAGTCAATGGACTTGGTTGCCTATTTTGATGTTTCAACTGAACCAGAATATTATATAACCCCGTTTCAGAGGGAAAGTGCCATGTAGGGCGCAATAGCGTGTTTATAGTGTTGAGAGGCTTAATTGGATCTATAAATTTCCATGGAAAAATCCAGCCAATTATCCAATTTTACAATTTTATGGGCATTAAGGCGATTCTTGGTTCCCTTGTCAAATCGGGCTTTTCCTATCTTCCCAAAGAGTCTGACTTACAAATTATCAATCAGCATATTTTTGAAAAACTTGTTTCTTCCCTTCTTTTTGCTTCTTTTGTCCTCTCTTCTTCCCTCTTCGTCTTCTTTCCCTCCCTCTCCCTCTTCATCTCTCTCCTTCTTCTTTGTGTCTCTCTTTCTTTCACCTTCTCCTCCTTCTTTTTCTTCTTCTTCTTCTTCTTTTTACTTCAAACCCTGATTTGGACAAAAAAAGTACTGTACTCTGCTTCACATAAAAACAAAAACACCTCAGTAATTTTCACCTTTCAATCAACACTAATTTACACCACAACATTAAAATTGTCATTTTAATTTACATTTACAATTTACATTTACAATTTACAATTACTATTAGCAAATTAGTAACCTTTACCCAAACACCTTTACCATAATATTGTGACAATATTACCAGTTTACCAGTTCACCAGTTCAACCAATATTCACTTTCTTTGTTTACTTCTTTGTTTGCTCTATTTTTGAATTGTGATTTTTCAATCTCAACATTTCTTTCTAATGGATGATACTCAAGACCAACAAGTTGGAGGTGCTTGTGCAGCTTCGAACCCTGAAAACGCACCCTCCGACCACCATGAATCCGATGAATCTAATCCTGCATCTAACCCTGAATCTAACCCTGAATCTAATGCTGAATCTAACGCTGAGTCTACCGCCGAGTCTACCACTGAATCTTCAGATTCCGATCAAGGTATCGTCGTGTCAGGTGCTGAGGGAGGAAGTGATGGCAAGGAAATAACTGGAAAAATTGTACACTCAAGAGAGGATTTCGATGCTGATCCAAATGTCAATTTAACCATTGGTTCCTACAAAATCATTGCCAGGAATGAAGCCTCTACACTCTACCAGTGTGTCAACAATCTTTCCCCAGGCATGGTTCACACTTGCAGTGTAAGTATTTACTTTCTAGACTTACATTTATCCCTGCTTTCATCAAACATTGCTTTGTTCCCATGGCCTTTTAACTTTGACCCAAATATCTTTTGTAACACAATTGTTGCCCTCTTCACCCCTAAGTTCACGATCGCCATTTTGTTCTCTTTCTTTATCTCTTTATCTTCAATATCTTTATCATCCCTAAGCGATTATGCAAATTAACATTGGGTTTACTTTTTGGTGAACTTTGACCAAATTTTGCTAGACTTTTGAAAATTTGCTCATTTTTTTTATTCCATTATTTTACAGCTTGTCCATCCTGAAGACAAATTCAAATTCATGGCAGCTCATGAAAGGGTTAGAGGTAATCCTTTAGTCAACCAACTCCATGAGGTTGTAACTGAAGGAGGAAAAAGTTTGGTCATTTATCAGAGCAACTATGGCGATTTGCATCATTATTGTCTCATCAATAAATCGCTCCCTGAACCTGAAGTTGCCAAATATTTTAAACAGATACTCACAATCATGATAGATGTTCATCGTGTTGGTATAATTCCACGAGAATTGAAGTTGAAAAAATTTGTCTTCGTAGATGAGGAAAGGTGAGTGACTTTTGACTATTACATTGATACAAGCATAAAATGATAATGGCAGGAGCCTCACAGCATTCATAATGGATGCTTATAGGTTTCAAGGTTGAACTCAGTTTTTTCCTCATTTATCTTCATCTTATTCAGGTTCATTCCTGTCATCAACCTATAAACATTGATTTCTTTATTTTTAACCATTTTAATTGCTATCCTTTTTATCGCTCCTGTAAATTTAATGAAACTCAATTTAATGAAAATTTTCCATTCACTTTTTAATTTTTTCCAGGACAAAACTTGTTCTTGATACTTGGGAAGATTCAATTTTATTGACTGATCCTGAAGATGATGCCATTATCGACAAGTGTGGTTGTCCACCTTATGTTAGTCCAGAAGTGTTAACGTGTAAAGAGGTTTGTTACTCGGGTAGAAGGGCTAACTATTGGACTCTTGGAGTCATTTTATACACAATGTTGACCAATCGCTATCCATTCTACAATTCGCACAATGTAAGTTCGATGTTTAACAGGATTAGTAAGGGTATTTTCACCATACCTGAGTATGTGTCTCCTTGGGCGCAAACGCTTATTAACGCCTTTATTTGCGTTAAGCCTGAACTTCGTATAACTCCTGAAGAAGCTCTTAAACACGAATGGATTCGCATGCATTGCGATCCCAATTATGTGGCTCCTCCAACAAGTGAAGGTGAAGAGTCAAATGGCGATGCGTTTCCAGTACTCTTGCCGGATCATTTAGCTCCTCGCCTTGCTCGAGCTAACATCGATTCGCCACAATCGTTCATTTTACCTTAATAATGATCAATACTCACATTTTTTACCAAGAGAATGGTGAAAATGATCAATGCGAATACAACCTTTACTAACCTCATGGTACATGCGAATGCATATGAATATCTATAGCTTTTGAACATTTACTAATTCGTATTTCTTTCGATTTATATTATGATTTGAATTGAAATCATTTTTCAATCAACAATTTCTGACAAGGTTTAATCCAATATTCAATTATTAACTGCCATTTAACTTTTTTTGACTTTGATAATAATCGTCAATGTATAATGTATATCAACCTTATAATGCTCTTAACCTAATATTTGGTAATATTTATAACATTTTTTGTCTGTGTAACCTTTTAAGCACTATTAAATGTCTTTGGCAAATTAACATTAATGTTTGAGTCTTTTCTTACCTTTGGAATAAAATAAACTAAATCAAGGTACAGACATGGAAAATTACTTTCCTTTTCCTGTCTATACATACAGGTATAATTTAATCAAATTAATATTTTACGATGAAATTGTAATAACTGAAGCTCATGGGAACATCTGAAAATGACAATGCTGATAATGAAAACTTTTAAGACACTGGGGTAAGCGAATTGATCACTTCAAACGTTACGTATTTTTCTAATCACAGAAAGTAAGTTCATCGATTGATGAGGTAAAGTCAACTGTCAAACCAATTGAAAGATAAAGAAACTCATTCAACTCGCAATGGCATGAGACACAGATAGCTCAACACCAGAAAAATAACTGAAAACTCTTAAAGCGAAAGCCCTTCAACTGTTAAGATAAATACGCCTTAGACAGGCAGCCACAGAAAACACGCTGAATCTTACGCCTGACATTAATAATGTAGCTCGTAATTTCATTAATGACACATATAGCTATGTCACTCTTAGCTGTTAAACTCGTGAATGTTGGAAAATTTTACTCTTTGATTAACCTCTCCTATTGCCTGGCGCATATAAAGTTTGCCTTCTGCTTTCCTTCTTGTCATTTGTGTTTCGATTACGCTGGTAGCTGCACTTAACGCAACAAATTGGTGTCTCACTTAACGCAATTTTTAGGTGTCACTATCGTTGATATTTTATTGTTTTAGAGACATTAATATGTAAATAGTGGTCAACCTTGAAGATAATTGCATGACCTAATGAATTGGTAAAGGAAGCTCCTTTGCTCTTTGATGCTGGAGATTCAATACAGCCAGAGTCATTTTATTACAACATTTCATCTCAATTTTTGAATTTTATGTGCATAATTCTTGTTTCTATTCAGCTTTCATGCAGTTGGAGTTTGTGAAAAAATGATAAAAAGGAAGAATGTCTACAGAAAATGGACGAAAATTTTAATAGTTTAGAGATTAAGTTAGGAAAGCTGTCGTATAATAACTAATTGACAAGATTATTTTGATCAGAATACCGTTGAGACATGATATTGCGAGTCGTCGACAATTTTCAAACAAAATTGAATTGACAGAGTCCAATCTTCATCCGATTCTCAATTTTTTAAATAAAACCATTTTCAATATCGTTTCCTTTACTAAACTACCGATAGTCGATAGTATCGATTTAAGCTTATGTTTATTTTTTGGTAATTAAGACTTCAGCCTGGTCTTATGTATGTTAAATGTTAATTTATTTTATGGTCTTTTCAGCTATTGACATTGAATTTTCTGGACTTTTCTAGGATGCTGATTGTACGCCATCACTATTCGACTCCTTGGAGGAGAGTTACGTGAAACTGAGAAATAATTTATCTAGCTTTATACCCGTTCAATTGGGAATATCTCTTTTCACTAAAAGCGAAGGGAAAAATGAGTTCAATTTCAACAAAGTAAGTACTTTGATGGTCTTCTAATGGCTCCGACTGATTCTGCCCTTTTCACTGATAATTTGCTCAATATTTGATACCCTTTTTGAATAAACCGCAAGAGGAAACATTTAGTAAATTTATGAGAGAGTCTATTTCATTCGACTTATCTTACTCAATGATTTATAAATTGGTTGACATTTGAAAACAAATCAAGGAATGGATGAAAGGAACAAATTTTATTACCCGTGCGAGATGGATGCAGACATGGAGAAAGTACCTTTCCTTACCTATCATTCGCCAAAATCCTTAACCTTTGTACATTAATATTTTCAATCTCAGTGATTGTGTGTTGTATGCTTTTCTATGAGGATTTTAAGTCCATTTTTTAAACTTGAAATGTTGAAACAGAAACATACTTTTTATTGTATCAGATTATCAGAGTATTCATTAGAACCATTAAAATGGAAGAAATACAAATGCTCATAGAAAAGCATACAATTTTTCTAGAAAAAAGGCTATAAAAGGCCGACATCGAAAAGGTAGCAGCCAATTTCGTTATATTAGTCTTTAACAGGGTCTAATGTGCCGATAGCGCCCAATAAAATCTCCATATCGATTTCACAATTCAGAAGGTTCCCTCGTTAGCAATGTTTATTCATTTTTATTCACATAAGTTGTAATTTTTTGTAATATTTCTGAAGTAATCTTTTCCGTTTTTAAATTTAATGTACATTAATTCCTGTGATTTTCCATTTTAAAGGATGTTTTTCATATTTGTATACAATTTCAAACAATTAGAAATCTATATTTATGCATTCTTGGGTTTTCAACATCATTAAATCTTGAGATTTAAAATTTTTAATATTTGATTACCATTTCCTATCGACTGATGCATATTAAAGTCTACCTTTTGCTTCCCTTCTTGTCATTTGTTTTTCGATTAACGTTTTAATACTTTGAACATTTATGATTGTGCAAATTCAATACAGCCTGTGCAATTTTATTTCAACATGTCATCTCAATTTTTAACTTTTATTTTCATAATTCTTGTTTCTGTCCAGCTATCGTCATGTAGTTGGGGTTTCCCTTGGAAAATTGATGAAAAGGAAGAATCGTCCACAGAAAAAACAACAGAAAAGAGTTTTAAGGATGGCGAACCAAATTCATCGCCACAGATAGATTTGGATTATACTAATTGGCCTCGACCTAAAGATAATAATGTTTTATCAAGTGATAACAATGAGGATGAGTCTACAAGTGGAAGTTCAGTTCAATCAACAATAACGACTCCTGAAAATGTGGCAAAAACGTCGACTCAGGCGTTTGATGAATACCTAGAAGAAGAGTCTTCCAAGTTTCCTAACTCTGAAAAGGAAATTAAATGGATACCAATAACAAGTACTAAATCCACAGATAAAATAGTGAACTACGTTTCTTCAGTTTCTACTCAAATCACAGATAGCTCAACACCAACAACAGAAAAAGCAACAGAAATGAGTTTTAAGGGTGACGAACCAAATTCATCGCCAGGAGCATTCATTCAAATAGATGATTCTGATGGACCTCAACCTAAAATTAAAAATGTTATTAAATCAACATTAATTATTAAAATTAGTGTTGAATGGTCAAGTGATGACAATGAGGACGAGTGTTCGAGGGAAAGTTCAGTTCAACAAACAAAAATGACTCTTGAAAATGTTTCCAAAATGCCGAATGAGGAGTTCGATGAAAAGTCTTTGAAGTCTCCTAACTCTGAAAAGAAAATTAAATCGATGCCAACAACAAGTACTGACTCTTCAGATAAAATAGTGAGCTACGTTTCTTCAACGACTACTCAAATCACAGATAGCTCAACACCAACAACTGAAGAATCTGAAAGTGAAAGCTCTACAACTGATAACACAAATACGTCAACAACCACAGAAAACACGCTGAATGATAATGATGATGTCGATAATGTACCTCGCATTGCTGATGAAGATAAAGAAGATTCTAAGGATAATTCTTCCGTTGTAAGTTCATCAACAATTTCTAGTTCGTTTGAAAACTTCAGCTTTGAAAATGAGGTGGTAAGCAATTCTTCAGAATTTATGCCTCCGGAAGTTTCTTATGCTGCTAATGACAAAGATATAAGTTCATGGATTGATGAGGAAAAGGAACCCACATCGGATGACCAACAAATTGGAAGAAAAGATAAAGAAACTCATTCATCTCGCAATGTCACTGATTATACAGATTACTCAACACAAAAAATAACTGAAAACATTGAAAGCGAAAGGTCTTCAACTGATATGACAAATACGCCAACAATCACAGAAAACACGCTAAATTATGCTTCCAATGTTAGAGTAGCTCGCAGTGGCATCAATAGTACAGAAAGCTATGATAATGATAAAAAGCGTGGTGCACTGGTTGGTTCTGGTTCAACTGGCAGTTTCTTTGGTAATTTCACTTTAAACTTCTGTGTTTTTCTGGGTGATCTTTTATTTTTAATTCATTATTCGCGTAAAAATATGAGTTTTTAATATAATTTTACATCAAATAAATTGAAAAAGATTGAAATTGTCTCAAAAAACCTTATTAAATCTCTCAATGAATTTGCGCCTTAATCAATGCTCGATCTTCGCAAATCTACCCAAGAAGGGGAATCGATTGATTCAAAATCCAAATATTTCATATTTTTTCTTCAAATACCAAGAATTCAGAGCAGTTAATCCAAAGAATCAATAAAATAAATCTGTTCATAAAGATTACCAACGAAAAATTCGTGTAGTTTAGAGATTAAGTAAGTAAAGCTGTCGTGTAATAGCTAATTGAGAAGATTCTTTCGATCAGAATACGTTGGAGACATGATACTGCAAATTGTATACAATTTCAATAGAAAATGAATTCACGAAGTCCAATCTTCATCCGATTCTGAATTACAATTTTTTAAGACAAGAACGAGTGTTCATGAAAAAAATTGAAAAGATTGGCTGCATTAATGTTCAAAGGTGGAGTTTGAACTATTATTTCTGTTTTTTACATCGATGCCATATCGTAACCAATAGTAATGTTTGCTCACGAAAAAATATCGATATAAATCGGTTGATTCGATATATCATCAAATCACAACTTGTACATCACAAGTTGTGATTCAAGGTTGGTGTTAAGTTCAAGTCTCAAAGCTATTTGCAAAGCATAAAGATTAAAAGGTCGAGGTGTTGGTCTTTTGATAGCCTTCCGAGCTGCCCATTTGGTAAGGTCATTGTCTCTAACTTTAGGTCAAATGTACTTGATCACTTGGTTGAGTATCTCGTTTAAAATTGACTTGGATCGCCTGGCCATAAATTATCCCATAACGTGCGTGTGGAAAGTGGAACCGTCGTGCGAGCCAATGATTGCTGTCAAAGAGAAGAATGGATTAAAAATTATAATTACATATCAACAACATTTGACTGATTTCACTATTAACCGGTTCATCTTATCGATACAATCATCTTGTAAATAGCTAATCTAACCATATCATCGGAATAGTCATCAGTACATAAGTCCTTAAAGAGTTGTTAATTTGGTGTTAATGATTAATTTGATAATAATGATCACATACCCCTTCTAAATTTTTTGATCAACGAAACTCACGATCATCTGGTTAGTTTCACGTTCAATCTAAAGGCTGTTAGCTGATATAACCTTTCTTTTATTGGCTTTAATCAAAACCTAACTTGATTTATCTCCAATTCATATCTCAAATCATTCCATTTTTAAGTATTTGCTCGATTGCTCCTCAATTGTTCCATCTAGGCTGCTAATGGCTTTGAATTGAAAATACTCGGAGTATTTTGTTTAACTGCGACTGGATTCAAATTCATCAGTTTATCTGTACAAAAATGGAAAGAAGAAGGTTACATCAATAAAAATTAAACAATTTTCAGTTTTTTTACAACCTTCATAATTTAATCAATAGCGAACTTTTGATACTTTGTATCAATTTTTATGAAATTTATTGTTCATTTTAAAATTCAAAGGTAATCAATTCAATTTTACGATCTTCATTGACATTTTTAACTATCAACATAAATATTGCAATCAGTCAAACATAAAACAAAAACCAGTTGTATTGCATTGAAAGGCATTAAAAAGTCTGCATTATGTTGAATCAAATTAATTGCCCAATGTGGTCTCTGAGTAAACATGATAAGCAATTCAATTACTCAATGGACATTCAGTTTGACCAGGATTGTACCTCAAGCAAGCAAGGTAAAACAAAGAGTCTAAAAGTCCAGGTTCAGGAATAAAAAATAAAGAAACTGTCATGGCTAATTCAGAACTACTGGGGTTCAGATTTATTTTTAATTTTGCTAATTTGATTGTTGTTATCGATTGATGGGCGAAAAATATTAAAAGATATTAAAATGATTTGAAAGATTATTTTGTAAACAGATTCAAATGAGGTAAGGTATCAGCCTTTCTATTCATAACACCATTACTGTTAGTGCACTTACACTAGATTTATGAATTCACCAACTGAATCTAAATCTTTTGCTTCCCTTTCTTCTCCTTTCTACTTTCACCTTTTTCTTTCTTCTCCAACCAAGTTAAGTCATTTTTCTTCCTCATCATCAACCAGCTTCACAACTACCAGATGGGTTTGCATCCCAACAATATCCATCATCATTCTCTTTCGCCTTTATCTTCTCCCCCCTCCTTAAGCTTTACTTTTCAAGTACAGTCGTACTTACAATTTACCTGTTGATTTTCAATAGATACAGAAGTAATCGAACACACTCTCTCTTCCTGACTGCCTCTTTCTCCCTCATCTGACACACACTATTCATCTTTCTTCCTCTCTTGTTTATTTTGCCCCTTCTTCATTCTTATCTCATCTTTCTTTTCTTCCTCTTACCTTAAAAAAACCTGATCTAGACACACTGTCACTTTCTCATTTTACCTTTGGCAATCAAAACTTAAAAAAAGGAAACAATGAGCAATACATATTAATTGTAAATAGCAACTTACCTTTTGCCTTTGAACCAAAGAAAAATTGGGTTTTCTTTATATTAAACATACTGGTAAACTGGTGTCAGCCTTAAAACATGCACAACACAAAGACTGGTTTTTATAGCATACAAGTTAGTCTTTTAGTTCTTTCTTTTCCTCTTAAGCCTCTAAGCTGATCTTTTCCATCCAGGTAAAGTTGAGAATTATTTGGTTAAAATTTTTAAACATTAACAAATTATAAAAGCTGTTTCAGACTAAAGACTTTGCAGTTTTTACTGATCTCATCTCAACAAATAAATTCTTAATTTACCCGCCAATTATTTAATATCACACCAATCTTTACTGCTGCCATCTTTCGGATCATTGAACGTCTCCCAAAGGCTTTACATTACGGATCGAGTGGCAAGCTCTTAAAGCTCTTAAATTTCAGTATTTCAGCCCAACTCCAACTAGCAGATGAAGACCAACCACAATTAATTTAATTATGTGAGTCCTACCCTAAACCTTTTTTATGTTTCAACCGTTCATTTGATTATTATTATTTTACCTTTTTACTTCTCTTTGCTGTTGGCATGTGATAAATCGTGGATGCAAATATGAAACTGTGATGTGCTCAAGAAAAAAACCTAAATCATCTATCACCGAACACTCTTTAAAGGCAACTTTAGATCAGTTTACTCAAAAATTTTGAGTCAAATTTTGTTTTTGTATATATTTAATTACACCTTTTTCAATACTATTCTAGTTATCTAATTTATCTGTTCAATTTTAGAGAAAAAAAGATTTTAGTATTTTTTCGTAAATCCTTTTTATTTTAGTTGGAAGAAAGACAAGAATAGAATAGAGTTATTACATATGTATTTATATATATTTATATATTTTTTGATTAATATATACAGATGAATGTTTCCTCTCTCGCTCTTTTTTTTATTTTTGTTTCTGTGATCTTTGAACCATTGGGAAAATAGTAGCTCAGTATATACAACTGTTATAAATACTGTTATTGTTTTTATTTTAATTTATATTATGGAATCTAACAATGATCAGATCGATGCTTCATCATTTTCACCAAATCCTCGCCAGCAAAATGAGGATTCATCATCAACCAACCCTCCATCAACTCGATCATCATCAGTGGGCTCAGCTCATCAACTGAGTGACAGAGGATTTAGTGACTCCTATTTAAATTACTCTTCCAACGAGTCCGAAAGTGACCAAGAATCCGATATTGAAGTAATTAATCACCTCATCAGAAGGTGTGTGTGTATGTGTTTATGTTGTGTTTGTTTTTCTTTTCTCTTTGCATTGTGATTTCCTATGTTCTTTCACATTTTCAGCAAACAATGTTATTTATTTTTTTTAAAAAAACTAGTACTACTTACTTTTTGCTCTTGTTGTTAAGCATTAATCAGTAGTGTTGATTTATCTTCTTTTCTTATAGTCATTGAAAATGATTTAAAGTGATGAGTGATACAAAGTGCAAGCCTTGAACTCAACTCCTCTTAAGATTCTTTTCTTCTTCTTCTCTGTTTGACTTCTTTCTTCCATGTGTTTTTTATGTTCTAATCCGACTAAGCTAATGATTGTGACTTTTATTTTTTAAATCTCGTTCTAGAAGACAGATAAATGTAATTTACGACGGAAGCTCTTCGGATTCTGATGAATTTGTTGAGGCGTATTCTTGTAACAAAAGAAATATGGATAGAACCTCAGAACTTCCAGGTAAGCTAATTTTTGATTACTTTATTAGTCCTTAACATGAGGTATATCATTGAATATAAACACGAGTAAAAACAACCTCAGGGTGAAAGCTGATATCCACTATTGGCTTGAAAAAACTTCTACTTTTGTTGTGTTACAACCAAAGAGAATCAGCCTTTTATAGCAGATTTTCAATATTTAGCTTCGTTTCCTTATTTACTAGCTATTTTTGCTCAAATTTTCATAATTTTTACTTCTAAATTTAAAATAATTTCATGTTAGCTAATGCTTTTTTTTCTTTTGTTTGATGCTCTTCCTTCTAAGCAGATCCTGACCCGGATACTTCAAATCTTGATAAAAGTGATTTAAGGCAGTTAACATTACTTCACTCTGGTCTTATCCATTGCCCATCTCTACAAATGCCTTCTTTACCAGCAGTGGTTGCTTCTAGACAGATTGGATCTCTATCAACCAGTGTACCCCGTTATTCATCACCCAACTTTACCAAGAGTTACAAATGTTTATTGACTGGAAAATATTTACCTCGAAAAATGGTTAAACTTGATCATTACCCGAGTAAAACTTTTTGTGGCTTTTACTCCAAAGAGGGTGATATGTTTCTTACCGCATGTCAAGATTACAATATCAGAATATATGACACAAAAAATGACAGCTTTAGACTAATGAATACAGTCTGGGCTCGAGATGTAGGCTGGAGTATTCTGGACTCAGACATGAGGTGATTAATATGTTATTAATACTTTTTTACAAATGATTACCATTGCTAATTCAATTTTAATCATTAATTAATTTACCATTTCCCATTTCTTCTTGCAGCCCTGATGGACGTCACTTTGTCTATTCTAGTTGGTCTGAATCACGTAAGTAATTGGATAAAAGTTCAATTCCATCATCACTCTCTAAATCATAAAAGATAATATGTTCGAGAGGAAACAAAAACAAAAAAAAGTAATCCATCGTAAATAAAAGGATAGGATTAATCCTTTTCATGACTTAAGATCAGTTGCACTTGCATTGGTATGTTAGGTTTCTTGGTGCACCTGATAAAATTCCTTGGCTACCGATATTTTTCAATGATAATCTAGGATTACATATTCTCACTGTTTGTTTTATTATATTATTTATATTACACATATTATTTTGAATGTGTTTGGGTTAGGTTTCATCCAATCTTTTACCTTTTTTCAGGTTGTTGATTATGATTTATGTCATTTTGTAGATTTATTATTTTCCGAAAATTCCCATTATTAGTTTCAACTCTTTTTTTATCTCAGATTTGTGATCTTTATACTGAAACTTTATTATTGTGATTACTCACATTCAGCATTCATTTGAGTAATCACACGAGCTTATTCTGTTATTGTAACAGTGATTTACTTGTTCTGATAGCAAGTGTGACTATTCAGCATCAAATTGAGCAATAATATTAAGCATAGTAACTTAAAGTCACAACATTTCAATTTGAAGCAAAAATTGTTGCCAGAATAATCATAATGAATATGTTTATTGATCATTCATCAACCAGTTGATATTTAAACTATTCAATTATTTCATGATTCAATGCAATTGTAAGCTTCTCTCTTCATGATAATTGTTGTTTACCTCTTGTTGGTTCAATTAAAATTCAACCATTTGAAACGATTATTCAACTAGATGGTTTAACAGTTTAGTTAGCATAGTTTAATCAATTTTAACCGTATCAAATATGATTGACAATCCATCTTAAATCGATTGCCTGTCATGATTTACTGTAAATCCATGTTAATATTTGCACAATACTATTTTCCAATTGTCTTATTAATTGTACTACTTGAACTTGATCAATTAATAACCCAATCAACCTTCAGATAACCGCTATTACATGAAAATTAACACCAAGTACGAGAAAATTGCCGCAAATTTTACCACCTACTAACTCTTAATTGTTTACATCTTTATGAATGTTTCTGGTTAATTGAAAATATTTCAATCAGGTTAGCCTCATCGTAATTGTAAATTTAACCCGAAAACAATCAAACTTACATTTACATCGTAATAAATTATCTTTGCCTTTAAGTACATTAAACTTGCTCAATTTGTGCCTCAGGAAACATTTAGCTATTACAGGCTAGCTGTCACCAGGATTTATATGTGACAGTTTGATGATGTTGATGTGATTAAGAATGTTCAAAGGAGCAAATTTGAAAACTGAATAACTCTTGTGATCAAATTATCTGGAAAACCTCTCCCTCTAATCAGCTGATGACCAAAAATGCATGTCACTACAAAATTTATTATCCAAATTATTAATTTTCAATATCAAGTACTTGAATACTTACACTTTAATTGTCTGCTTCAATATTTGTTGTTTTGTTTTTCATCTTCCATCTATTATCACTTTTCCCACTTTCAACTTAAGGTTTCATCTTTCCCAAGACATTGTATTTACTTCATACACTTGATGCATCAACTGACATGGATCCAGTTACAGCAAACACACAATCAGCTAAAAAAACATGATTTATTGATAATCACCAAGACAGGCTTTAATTGATAACCCTAAATAACCATTAGGCCTTAATTACTTTGATAAGATGATTACTGAATGACCATTTCAATTTCAACCATTCACTCACTTGAAACATTCACGAGCCTCTTTCCTTCATTCACTCTAGCCTTCAGGTTATTTCACGTGATATTTTGGTTCGATTACCCTTGTTTAATCTAATAGCTTGACTGGTTTAAATCATTTTCCCTCCTTTTTGTGTTCGTTACTCATTCGCCTTTTCAGGCTTACCTTCTAATTGTTGTGGTTCCATTTGTTGTTCCTAATTTTACACTCAGCAATCTCCTTGAAAATTTTCAGATTTCCCTCTTCTCTTTCCACTCAGATTTCTATTCAATTTTCAAGTCATTTCATCCTGAACATTTAATCAAGAGCAAATCTCACTATCACGGTTACATAAAACTACTAACAAAATATCTAAAAATCTTGGTGCGAACCCGTGATTGTTTGAACCAATAAAGTTCCGATCAACATCATCAACATCATCAGTGCAAAGTTACACCTTATCAACTGAAAATGTCAATCCTTTTCATCTCTTTCCATTGTAATCTTGAAATTGTTGAACATGTTTAAATATGTAAACATGAACTGTCTCGATGGTGAATATGTTGCCAAATTTAGCTTCATTTAGCTCATGTCCCAACATGATTCTGGTTTTGTTTCAATATCTTGCAAATGTTTTCAGCTTGCCTTTAATTTTGCCTTTTCCTAACCGTTAAATCACCAACTCTTTATTCACTCCAATCAACTATTCAGAACAATTAATTTCATCCATAATCTTTCATCAAGTTAATGATGTCATTTCTAGTTCAAAGTTGTTATACTTAATGTTTTTTTTTGTCTGCAATTACTAATAGTTTTACTGGTTTGAAGTTAACTCGTGTTAGTGCAAATGAACTCAAGTTAAGCCAGTAACTGAGACAAACTTGAATAGATGTTGAACATTACTTCCAAGGTAACCAACTGACAACATCCATAATGTTATTATTGCTTTATAATAGTCATGTGATACTTGCAACAATTTATACAAACCTTATTATTATTAGCAATTTCATTGACTTTATTTACTGATTTGATTAAAACTTGATCTCTTCCAAATTCTGGTTTCATTTCAAATTTTAATCAACAGAGCAACAAAAATGTTTTCGTTTGCTTTACAAAAATCTAGTAATTAAAATTAGCTATTCAAGTATAACTTTTAAATGTCAATATTAATGTTAACTATGTATTTTACCTCAATTACTTGGATTTCAATCTACAATCTGAGTTCACGCAATCAAGTCAAATGTAAATACAATTGAGCCTTTCAATATTCCTATCATTTTATCAGCTTATTCATGATTCCTTTCCCTCATTTACTGCTCGAAATTACATGCTTTTCTCAATTACGAAATACTCACCTCGAAATCTAATTGTACTCCAAAAGTACTGATTAATCTTTGCCAGTAATCAGCTTATTCATTATATTCCAGATCGTTTTCCCTGATTAAACATGTTACTACCTACTAAAGTTTCCCAATGATTTTAATTAAAATTCATTTTTTGTTTATTTATGTTCCCTCGTCATTATCCTAATCATCCTGATCATCTTTATTATTAGGACTCAGTTTTTTCCCATCTTCTAGATGATGTTAAAGTCTCATCTTGAATGATTACTTTTGATCAACCAGCAAGCTGATCTAGTTCAGTTTCAACTTTGCTTAAGTAGAGCTTGTTAATCATGATAACTCTTTTGTAGATATTATCAAATCAAATCGGATATCGGATCAATTGTTGATCACAATTACAATGCAAACAAAAATGAAAAGAAATAATTGGTAGCCTTACAAGCTATAATTCACTCTCATGCTTACTGTCATGATAATAATGACAGTAATGATGACGTTATGAGCTTTACCCTTGTCTAAATCATTTCTTTACAAATCTTCTGATCTCCATGTAAACTCTGTATTATTTTTCTTCTCAGAATTTAAACATTTGGCAAACATTTTTAGTCACACTTTAAGCATTTTCAACTTGTGAGCTTTTTTCATGGTTAATCATTATTCCAAATTGTGATTAATTGTTTCTTGCAATTCAATTGCAACAATTGATTAAATCGGCAATACTTTTAGCCTTTTCAATTTATCCACATGAGCGTATTTTTAACCTAAATCATTACTTTTTTATGCCAGTAAATTACTGACGGTAATATAACTTAATCTCTATTTGATATTATCACCATTCTTTTAGATGGTTAAACAAGAGTTTACTTGTACTAATCAAGTGCTTTATAGATAATCAATAAAATATCAAATGTATAAAATATTATAATTTTTGGAGCAAAACATTGAAAACAAAATGTCCTCTGTTATTTTAGGCTTGTTTTTCAATCTGCATTCATTCAATGATTGATTTTTCCATTCAACATTTCAGTCTAATTTGCTACATTTCCTAGTTTCTCTCATTGTTAAACGATTCTGGATCATCCGAATCCAAGAATAGAGCTATTTATTTTGATTAATAAAACAAAAAGCAATCCAATCAATCAAAAATGTCAACTTTTGAGTTAGCAAATTATTTCAACTCAGTGCCATATTCACTTCTATTCCAATCAAATGTTATGTTGAAGTCATTGCCATCAAAGTGCAACCGAACTAAAGTTTTGATCTTTAGACTTTTTTCAATTGATAATCAATGGATGAACATTTATGAAAAAACACAATTATCTTATATTTTCATGTTGATGATGAATTTGACAATTATTTTCCAGGCTCAATCTAATTTTACTTTATTTTACTTTTACAGTTCACATTTGTAATGTCCATGGAGAAGAAGTTCATGAAGCTCTTGCTCTTCAACCCAACGATAGACTTTTTTGTATATTCTCATTACGATTCAGTCAAGATGGCCGGGAAATCATCGGAGGAGCCAATGATGAATGCATTTACATCTTTGACCGAGAGACCAACATGAGAACTCATAGGATTCCTTCACATGAAGAGGATGTCAATTCGGTTGCATTTGCTGATGGCTCTTCTCAGATACTTTATAGCGGTGGAGACGATGCCTTAGTTAAGGTATGGCCTTTCTTGAAACATTATTTTAACGATTGATTCAAAATTATTAATTATATCCTTTGCCCTCAATTTTTTTAGGTTTGGGATCGGCGCACCCTTAGTGATTCCAACCCTAAGCCTGTTGGTACTTTTGTTGGCCACATTGATGGGATCACCTACATCGACCCAAAAGGAGATGGTCGTCATTTAATTTCTAATTGCAAAGATCAAACAATTAAACTTTGGGATATGCGAGTTTTCTCGCCATCAAGTGAAGTCGATAATTCAAGACGAATCATACCCAAAAGTGACTGGGATTATAGATGGCAAGCTTTGCCTAAAAAATGTTTGTTCACATTTCATATCTTCTAACTGATCTCCCTGTTGTTTCGCACTATCATCAAATCTAAAAAGAGTTTATCAATCAAGAGAGACCAAGTGAATCACTGAATGCATTTGAATCTTTTTAGAATTATTTGAAAGCAAGAAAATCATTTTTCTTGCTATAAATCAATTACTTGAGGAATCCTGATCTTACAGAATAGTTTTAATGACTCGCCACTATTAACTAATAAGAATGATTAATTTATCTACAATGTAGTTTATTAATTATATGTACAAAAAATGCTGTCAACGATGTGTTCAGGAAATATTGATAATCTTGATTAGTGAGAAGCGAGTGCAAACTCAGAGATATCTGCTTATCGTTTCTGATTCCCCGTTTGTTTAATTTAATCATTTAATCTTAATATTTCTATTTTCTTACAATTTTTAGTAGTGCAAAATAACAAGAAAAAATTGGATGGTGATACATCTTTAATGACTTATCGTGGACATAGTGTACTTCAAACACTAATTAGGTGCCATTTTTCACCTTCTTTCACCACCGGTCAACGATATATTTACACTGGATGTGCCTCTGGACGGATGATTATTTATGACGTACTAACTGGGGAAATAGTCAGAAGTTTTAATGGTCATCAAGGATGTGTTCGAGATGTATCTTGGCATCCTTATCTTCCAGAAATTATCAGCAGCTCTGTAAGCACTATTCATTAATCATTGTTACAAAATGGCTATCTTTTTTCAATTTTTTCCTTCTTTTCTTGCTTCATGAGGAAAACTATTCAATTATTATTCCATTTCATTCTAATTGATTTTCTCTTTTTCTTTTCAGTGGGATGGTTCGGTCATTAAATGGTATTTTTCTGATGAATCTGATTTTTTGTGTGATGATGGATCCAGATCACAATTTAATGTTAAAAGATCTAAACGAATATCAGAACGAAGTAAAAGGCTCGAAGACATTCCTTTGTAATATGCAGCATAGGAAATTGAGTTTTCCAAGTTTTCAGTATATTTACGAATAGAAGAGCCACTTTAATTTTAAGTGCAGTAAATCATTGAGGATTATGCAAGATATCAGCTGCAAATTGACCAAGATCATTAACAATTTGAGACTGTTTCTCAATGACCAATTATCTTATGTTATGTTGCTTAATTTTTAATGACTAGAATGTATTTATAATTTAAAATTGCTTTCCTATGCGCTAAAATACTAAACCTCGGCCTAAACTTAATTTTCTATGCTGTATTTAACTAATTGTATAAGCACACAACCAAAAGCGACATCATTAACCTTCAGTTTCTTTCACTTCTTTGATTCTTACCAAGAAATGAAAGTAAAACAAAAAACTGTATCATAATAACGCTAACGATTGTTAATAATAAATGAATTATTTCTAAATTAATAATCAGTCCAGCTGACATGGGAAATATTTTCATGTATATCATGATGTAAATTTTTGCAAAAATTGGCTAATCGTTTGATTGGTAGAAGCAGTTTAATATTTTTTCACGGATCAAATGTATGGAATCGCGACGAAGCTTATTTAATGGATTTACATTCAATATAAGGATATCGTTATATCTAAGGATTATATCAATAACATTATACATTAAATCAAAGGCTTCATCAGCAATTAAGATGTCGGTATGAGATCATAGAAGCCAGGAGCCAACAGTCAAAGATTATTCATGAAATTCAAATATTTACAATCAGTTATGGGATAAAAATCAAGTTGACGTCCATTTTTAAATCAATTGACATCAAGAGCCTCTAAAGCTTCAATAATATTCTCATCAGAATCATCAAAAACCTCATTATTATGCGGAGATAGTTTATTAGAACAAGCAACTTCGAAAAATTGGAGAATATTGTATTCTTGATAAATATACTTTACTGCGATATACCAAGAATGAAAACGACCTTCAGGATCACCTAATGCTTCGAATCGCTCCAACATTTCATCATTCAATGGCTCACTAAGAATGATATCCTTTACTCTATTGAAGAATGGTTCAGTATGCGTAGTTTGACACAAATGCATATTGCATCGTCCTTCTACAACCAGAATTTCAGGTACTAGCATGAAACTAATAGCTGCGTTCCTGAGTATAAACCGTTCAAAATAAAGATTATAACTGAGATAAAAACGCTCGCCATCCTCAATACATGAGTCAATTACGTCTTCCTTGATTAAATTTGGAGGGCACGAACCAACACCAACATAATGGCTATGGGAAATGTTGAGAAGTAATTAATAAATATGCATCTATTAATCAATGGTTTCAATTACTAATAGAAATGAAAGCTTACAAATCATTGTTATGAATGTAAAAAAGTTTGATGCCATTCCGCCTACGTGGGTTCACAGGTCGCATTTCATACAGACCCATAAATGTTATGAATGCAGATAATATACCAGTCATCTCTTCTAGCTATGGGTCATAGATAAGGATGAGGACGAGTTAAGTAATTGTTTAAATATAAAATAATACTTGACTTACTTGCGCAAATATTTGGTCCTGTTTATATTCCCTGTCATCATTCCAATCAATCACTATGTCATGCCATTCGCCTAAAAAATGTACTTTGATTGTGGCTAAATGAAATAAAAGGTAAAAAATGAATATTTTGAAAAAAAACAACAATAGAAATAAAACTTACTTATATCTGAGGCTTCGGAGCTAGCATCCATTTCGTCGCCTTCATTATTTGATTTTTCCACTTCATTATTTGATTCGTCCACTTTATTATCCAGTTCGTCTACTTCAATGTCCATTTCGTCCATTTTAACGAGTATTAATATCAATTTGTATTTCAATTTTGGGTGACGTTGAGTGACATTTAATGAATGGTTAACCCTTGACACACCGCAACCACACTATAGCATTATCTAATCTCCGAGCTGTGACTCGGCTTTAGACTGGTGACAGCTTGGGTAAACTGAGAAACAAATTTACTTAATTCACAATTAAAATTCAACAATAAAAGTTGATTTTCTTAGCAACAATCTTTAAAATTAAACTCATTTAAGCTTGAACGTGAGTGGCTAACAAGTAAGTTGGAAGAGAAGCGAGCCGGCGAGTACTTATGTCTTACACAATTGTGAAAAAAAACACCTGGAAGAGCCAATGGTTTCAACGCCAAAGTAAAACTGACAATAAATTTAAATTTTAAAATATATTTGTGTCTATTTTTTGTATCAATTAAACAATTAACCAATCTGGTAACATGGGCAATGTTTTCAAACTGGTTAATCTTTTAATATTAGCAAGCTGTTTACATTTTATGGATGGACAAAAATATCAAATTTCATCTAACATTATCATGGATAATATTTTACAGACAGAAAATCTTCTTTGATTGAATTTTTAGTTGTAGTTTTTACAACTAACTAACTGTATTGGTCAAAGGTTATCTTATAATCCCCAAAATTGGCAACAAATGTTGACAACATAGCTACCTATGTATAAGCTATGATCAGTCATGATCAAGCGCTTTCTGGTTTTTGGATAATACTCAATACAATATCATAAAACACAATAAATGAATTAATTATCAGAATATGATTTTTACTGAAAATCTAGTATCTTAATGTAACGAAGCTTTTTTAATGAATTTACAGTGAAATTTCAATATCTACGGATTGCACCAATAATAACATTGTAATAGCTTGTACATTAAATAAAAGACTTGAGCAATTAAGATGTCGGTATGAGATCATAGAGGCCAGGAGCCAACATAGTCAAAGTTTATTCATTATAATCAAATATTTACAATCAGTTCTTAGAAATTTCATGAAGATAAAAATGCATAAAAATCAATTTGACATCCATCATCAAAAACGATATTCTGATCATGAATCATAATCCATTTGATGACTATTTCCAGAAAGATTTTCCTCTGAGAATCGATAACTGCAGACAACATCAAAAAATGGGAGAATATTGTATTCATAATAAACTTTTTTCGCTTCTTCCTCCCAATTATTTCCATCATTAAATAATGGCATGATTCGCATGCTAAGTTCTTTATTCAATTCATAGTTATCGAGAATACTCTTTATCCTATTTAAGAAAGGTTCAGTACAAGCTGTTTGACACATATGTAAATTGCATTCTCCTTCATCAACCTCGACTTGAGGCACCAGCTCATACGAGATAGCTGTTCGATAGATAAAACTTGGTTCGAAAACAATCGTGAATGCGAGATAATAAAGCTCATCCTCCACAATACATGGGCCAAGCATGTTTCTCTTCGTAAAGATATCGGGACAATGAAAATTCTTAACAGGACGGAGCTTGTAGCTATGGGAAAGGTTGAGAAGTAATTAATAAATATGAATCTTTTATCAACGGTTTCAGTTAATTATAGAAATGAAAGCTTACAGTACATCGTTTTTAATCTCAATACGTCTGATTTCATGCCAATCTTCAATCACACGACCTCGTGGGTGCAATTCGTGCACATGGAAACCTGTTGTAAATACAACTGGTATTCCAGTTAATTTTGAAAGCTATAAGTCATAGACAATGATGAGAACGAGATAAGTACTGTTAAAATATTAAATAATACTTGACTTACTTGTTGAATTACTTGTTGCTGTTTATATTCATAAGGAGCATTCCAATCAATCATTACAGCATACCATTCACCTAAAAAATTGACGTTGATTTTAGCTAAATAAAACAAAAGGTAAAGAATGAATAATTTTGAATAAAAAAACATAAGAAATAACACTTACTTATATCAAAGGCATCGGAGCTAGCGGAGCTGGCATCCATTTCGTCGCTTTCATTATTCGATTCGTCCACTTCATTATCCATTTCGTCCATTGTAACTGGTTTTTATTTCAATTTGTATTTCAGTTTTGGGTAACGTTGAGTGACATTTACAATGGATGGTCAACGCTTGAAACACCACACTCTCCGAGCTAAGCTACTGTATCTGATCTGACTTTAGACTGGTAGCAGCCTGGGCGACTGACAAACAAATTCACTTAATTCACAATTAACAGTTAACCATAAAAGTTGATTTTCCTAGTAACAATCTTTAAATTTAAGCTTGTTTACATTGCCATCAGATTTAAGCTGAAACGTGAGTGGCTGAGTAGAAGTGAAACGAGCTGACAATGACTTCGCATGTCTCCCACAATTGTGAAATAAAAACACTTGAACGAGCCAATGGTTTTGACGCGAAAGTAAAACTGGCAAAAATTTAAATTTTTAAATACAATTGTTTTTATTTCATCGGTCAATTGTTTTATAAGCCATGACCAAGCGCTTTCTGGTTTTGGGTAATTTTCATGAAAATAACCTAATAGCTAAATTAATTATGAAAATAGGATTAAGTTACTGTTTCTTGATGATTTTACAATGAAACTTCGATATCCTCGCCATATTTACGGATTATTTCAATAATAACATTGTGCATTAGATAAAAGGCTTCATCAGCAAGTAAAATGTCGGTATGAGACCATAGAGGCCATGGGACAACGTAGTCAACCAAAGGTGGGCCTATTAATGAAATAAATGGCATTAAATTTCGGATCAACTAAGACGGTAGCAAATATTTACCTCTTAAAATATTTCTTAGTTTTTGAACGTTTTTTGGAGGTGCTAAATAGTCATTTAATCCACTAATGAGAACCAAATTGTAGGTAGGAATGTTTTCGAATGGAAACACTGGTGGTTCAATTGAACCATACAATTGAAGATTTTTCAATGGACCATAATCATATTCACGAATTTGATCAAAATTGATAGACTGCAATACATGTAAGGCGTTTTTAAACGAAGTCTGATCTACTTGACTGAGTAGCTCTTTGATTTGGTCTCGTGAAACCATCGGACGATCAGGTCCAAACAAGTAATTGTAAATCTCAAAACAAATTGGGTTGAGAATGTTACTTGTACAGAGAATCGATGTTATGGCGTCCAAAACTGGTAAAAAGGGAATCACAGGTCCTTGATAAATGGATGCAATTTTTAAGAGGAATCTCGCTCGTGGTACAAGGTTTGCGATGCCATTTGGGTCACCATAAAACGCTATTGGAGCAACATTAATGTTCAAATCTAATTTATGGGCAAACTCGGGATACTTAGCTAACAGTACAGGCATTAAAATAGCTCCTTGTGAATAACCAATCCAAACAATTTTCTCTGAGAAACAATAACAGTTAGTGGCTTAATAATCAGTAAAGAAACAATTCTTACCATGGCCAGTTTCTTGGATCATGTAATCGACCATAGCAGGTATATCATACATGGCCATATCCACGAATGTAAAGTCCCAAAATTGACGATCTAAATAAACATCAAACAAAAATGAAAATAATGTCAAACCTTTTTTGGTCTCTTCACTGTCTTAATTTAATGTTAAAAATTTTGATAATTGAAATAAATTTATTTGTGCGAAACTGCAAAAAGCTGTCTTTTCACTTATTTAAAAGAAATTAGTTAATTGTAATAGAAATTATAAAATTGAAATGATAATTAACCTTTGTATGGATTGAGGGAAGTGTGATTCAACGAGTAAGTGGTGCCTCTGTTGTTTCCGAGCCAAACATCAAACTCACGATTAGCCAAAGCAAAGGCAAGGCTTTTGGATGTATCATTGGGAGGATTACCGTTGATCCATTCCTGTATATGACCACCAGGTCCGTTAATCATGAAGCTACTGCATGAAGTCGGTGCACCGTGAATGACCAGAATAGGTTTAAGACTTCGACCACGAGCTGCTTTGGCATAAGGATTAATGATGCGTTGAAATTGAAGTATATAACCATCTACTGTGGTAACAAAATGACGCTCGAATTGAAATCCTCGAGATGCAATCAATTGTCCACAGGTTAAGGCTTGATTCAATGTTGTCCTGAATGGATTCAATAGCTTCTGTTCCTTAGCAAAAAACGGATTCTCTGGTGGAGGCAAGTTTTCAATGATGACAGATGAAACACTTGGATAGATGAATACATTCAAAAGCAAACTTGAAATGTTGAACTGAATAAACTTCAACAACATTGGAACCATTTTTTCACAAAAAATCTTTCACGTTAGAACTCATTTAACATGTAATCTTTGTGATTAGTAACTAAGAAAGCTCATCTCGATGGAAACCAGATTCATCAAGTTAAGATGTTCGTTGAATCGATCAAACTAAATAGAGATTTAAACATTGTCACCTAATTAAGATAGACTTACAGATGACCAGTCGATGCACATTTTACAATGAAAATGTTTGATGTTTCATGAGTTTCATGCAGACGCATTTGTAAATTGTTGAGTGTGTTTAAGCACTTTCGCGTTCCTTCGCGAGTAAACGAAATCATTTGCTTTTTTGGGGAAGTTGCATGAATAGAGATTTTCATTTCAAACCTTTTAAAATGGAAAAGCAATTCTTAATTTATCTGGAAAAGTGCAAACATATTATTGAATTGTAGGAAGATATTGTCGGAATGTTTTAGGTTTAATGGATGAAAATGGTTGAAATTGAATTTCGTAATTAATAAGGCTCAATCAATTGTCACGTACAAACTGGTGCAGTTCTGATTTGTTCAGGTCTGCTTGATTCATTAGCAACCCTTTACTTCAATTTTAAAGGCAGTTTTGATATTATTTTTTCATTTGAAAAGTAAATAATTTGTCATAAAAATAGTAAATTGATTTAATGGTAAAATTAATCAATGTACTTATCTAGTTAGTCCAGTGTTTACATCATTATTCAAAGTAAAGGCTTACAAATTATGCCTAATTATGAGATGTTATTAATGACTACTGTAACATGTACAATGCATTTTAAATACACTTGTTGACAGGCAAACCAAAGATTGCCCTGAGAATCTACATGATTAACTATCAATTGATGTAAATTGATTGTTTAATTGTGGCGTGTCTAATTACAGTTTGAAGCCTCGGTTTTTGAGTGTTTTGGCGACACCGAGGCATGAGTTCTGGAGTATTTAACTAAACCAATTTTGATAATTTAATTGATTGAGACAAAATCAAATATTCAGCTTTAATGCATTTATTACGACTCTAGTTCGAGCATTCGTTGGACAATCTTACAAAATGGTAAACATTGAAGTCTCTGATCTTTTTACTTGATTTTAACTCAAGTTTTATAATCAGTTTCAGGATTGAGTTGAAATTGTGACTGACGATGAGATTATTTATCGAGCTTAATGGGTTAATGAGAAAATTTGAATAGAGTCATTTAAAATTCACGATTATATTTTTCACACTCAAAGCTAATCATCAATTTATTGTCAAAATTTGTTTCTTGCTACTAAAAAAACAGCATTAACACAGTCATCACATTTATGCACAGATTGAAACAAACACTAAAAGACAAATGGGCAGAAACGGGTAAAAATTAATTTGATGCCAATTTAAACTCTGTTGGTTTGTAGGGAAATCAAAACTTAATCTATTGGTGCTATTAAAAAGTTTCTAACACCGATAGTTTACAAGAAAATCGAGTTGAAAGTTGTAATTTCGATCGCTTTTTGTACGATAACGGAAGCAGATATTTTTACCAAACTCATTACTCATATGTGAATTTTGATTATCTACCAGAAAAGGCATTTATTTCGTGAAACAAAATTTTCTGTTCCAAATAAAATCGATAAGTTCGATTTTAATTTAAAACGACTTATTTCGGTTACCTTAAAATTTAGAGATCTGAAACTTATTTCGCGTCCATAAAAATTGATTGTACACACCATGGATTGAGTACTTTTTTCGATTTAGCGATAGTTTTCTTGATTTTGGCCATTAACCCAAAAACTTTGAGGCTAAATATCTCGAGAATGGTAGCACTCAAAATCATGATTCTTTGACTAAACACTAGATTTTGCTATGAAACACAATATATATAAATATTGGATGATTGAAGAAACTGTGAGAAAAGTTATAACATTTATTAGTTTGTTACCAGATTTGATACCAGATTAACAAAGATAACTGGTTACTTATCACGTGTCAAAAGAATATTCATTATAAGATGAATCAGTTCAGATTTTTGCGGTTTCTAGTCACATATTATTGTAGCCCATACCAAAATCTTATGTTTGGTCAAAGAATCATTAATTTAGGAGCTACCATTCTCGAGATATTTAGCCTCAAAGTTTTTGGGTTAATGGCCAAAATCAAGAGAACTATCGCTGAATCGAAAAAAGTACTCAATCCATGGTGTGTACAATCAATTTTTAAGAACGTAAAATAAGTTTCAGATCTTTAAATTTTACGGTCACCGAAAGAAGACGTTTTAAATATAAATCGAACTTATCGATTTTATTTCGAACAGAAAATTTTATTTCACGAAATAAGTTCATTATCTGGTTGGTAATCAAAATGCACACATAAGTAATGAGTTCCATGAAAATATCTCCTTCCATTCCTATACAAAAAGCGATCGAAGTTTCAACTTTCGACTCGATTTTCTTGCAAACTATCGGTCATAGAAACTTTTTAATCGCACTAATAAACTCAGTTTTAATGTCCTTACAAACTCATCAAGTCTCAACTCGTAACTCAAACGTTCGAGTCTTTGGCAGTACTTTTTGCATTACCTTTGATAGTTTAACCAGAAAAATGGTTTATTCAGCAAGATATTGGTTTATTTGAGTTTGTTTTGTTAAATAAGTTGTTACTCGTGCATTTACAACCCAAATATAATGACCTAAATGCGCTAATGGCGAGTTTTTGAACCGAATTGCATTATTAATTAGTAAAGAACTACATTGGTGAAAGAATGATGACTGTAGGTCCACTATTCTCGAAGTATCAAGTATCAAAGTTTTAAGGCCAATGGCCAAAATCAAGAGAACTATTGTATAATTGTTAAAAGTATTCAATCCATATTGAGGACTAATAATTTTCATGGGCAAATAATAAGTTTCAGCTCTTCAACTCTTACGGTCATATAAAGCGATCCGTTTAACTTATAATCGAACTTATCTGTTTTGCAGACAAAGAAAAGTTCTATTTCTCAAAATGATTACCCTTTCTGGTTGATCATCGAAATTTGCATCAGTGAAATGAGTTTCATGAAAAAATCTGCTTCAATTATTGCAAAAAAGGCGATCGAAGTTTCAACTTTGAGCTCGATTTTCTTGTAAACTATCGATCAGAGAAACTTTTGAATCGCCCAAATGGACTCAAGTTTTATGTCCCTACAAACTAACAGTGTCTAAGTTTGAAAGGAATTTATTTCACCCGTTTTTGTCCATTCAAGTTTTGTCAATTTGTGCATAAATGTGATGATTGTGTTAATTTTGTCTTTTTAGTAACAACCCAAAATATTAAGTTAGCACTGAAGCCTTTGATTTTTCACTTAATTTGAACTCAAGTTTTAACATCAGTTTCAAGTTTGAGTTCAAAATGTGACGGATGATTGACGATGAGATGATTCATTGAACTTAATAAGTTAATGAGAAATATGATTCAAAATTAACGATTAAATTTTTCACACTCGAAACCATTAATAGTCATAATTTCTTGTCAAAAATTTATGGTTCGATTGATGAAACTCTATGAGGTATTTCCAGGTTTTTACACAGAAACTTTCGCAAATCTTCAAAAAAGGACCTAAAATAGCTAATTTTCTTAATCTAGTAAAATAGGAATGAACAAAAGGTGTAATTAAACCATATTAAACCATTATTACAGCATTGAAAATGGTTCAAGAAATCATAGAAAAGAAACAAAATCTCAAATGTTTCACTCTCAAGATTCACCACTTGATGATAAATGAAGTGCTGTAGGTCGCAGATAATAGTTATTAAGAAATCCCAACAAGAAATTAAACCAAGGGTAATTACAATGTTGTCAACAAGCTTTTCAAATTACTATCGGTGTTTCAGATAATCAATGTCAGCAATTTAGGAAAAACAAAACAAAATCAAGACTAAAATTATGTAATGGTATAAGTCGGTAGGACTCCAAGATTAATATAAAGAAAGCTTGGATTTTTGATAATAAGTCAACCATCTTTAAGTGAATTGTAATCAACATCAATAACAATCAAATTTTATTGAAAAATCTAGTAATTATGAACCTGTACAATATCTTAAGTTGCAATGGTTCCACTTTTATGGTTAAATTTTAAACGACAACAAAGCTTTAGGTCAATCATGATGGCATTTGATCTTAAACCCGTGAAAGTGAATTTGTGCCTTAAGGCCAGATACTTTTTGAGTTATTTAGCGATAAACTTTGCTACTTGATTGTTGATCATTTTTGACCTTCAAACAAGATGTGAAACAAGATGATAAAGGTAAAAATTGAAGTGCTATTCAATGAAAGTAACATTACTTATTTTTGTACAGCTAAAAAGCTTCCAAATGACCTGATGACCTTCGATTTATAAGAGGAAAATTGAGTTTCGTAAAAATTAACCTCACATTGACCCAGCCTAACAACAGCATGAGTATCATTAATAAAAAGTCTAACTTTACATTATTGTAATTATTTACTCTTCATTTACCATTTTATCCTTCTCACATTTACTCCTTCAAATAACATCTATTTAAATCTTTACTCTTGCCTTAAATCGATTGAGTTTGTTACGAGAATAAGATTGACGGAGATTAAACAATCGTTTGTTTCAAGTAAAATAGTGATTTGGAGTTTGGTTCAATCAACAATTCAACATCGCCATGGGAAGCAAGGTAATTTAAAATATTACTTTCTTTCAAGTTATTCAACCAGGATTGTGTATTTACAGAATTTGCTTCAATTATTGTTCTTCTTTTATTTTCAGCTTATTTGTGTTTTTGTTTTCATCACGCTGATAATTGTGAGTGAAGCTTCAATTGCTTATTTTGAATCCTATGGATGGCCAAGTTATGGGATTGTTAAACCATTTTGGATGAGGCCTTTTTCCGACCATCCAGCAGCTCCAATCTCGGGCTATTCGAGGAAGCATTTCATCCGTTCGGCAGGATTGGTTGTTGGATCAAGCCTTTACTGATTTACTACCATTTGCTATGAAAAGGATCTCAATGTTACCCGTTTTGTAATTGATGTAATATAAACTTGAGTAATTTATAAATGTCAGTTTATTTAAAGTAAGATTACATTTAGTGATACATTTTTTTTAATCTCTTCTTGTATTATGATATTTATGATTATAATCGGTGCCGGAGAAATGAGAAAAGGTGGTAAGGTGGGAAGGTGGATGAAAAAATTTACTTGAACTGAAATACAATATAGTAGTTTTTGTTTTTGTCTCATGGAAAGCTGAAAGTATTTTTAACTTTCCTTAAAAAGCTTTGGTCTCGACTTATGAGTCACTAGAACAGATAGCACAGCGAATGGGTTTATCAATTAAATTGATGGAATGCAATTTAAGCCATCGGTCATTGTTGTCATCATATTGAATCACTTGCAATGTACAATTATCAAAAATGGCCTTTTCCACAAGGTAAAGTTTGGAGTTGAGGACAAGTAAATCAACTCGAGGACACAGAGAATGGCTTGCTCCACCTTCCGCTAACCATTGACTCCATGTTTGAAGGGAACCTTCACTGCCATCTTTGGGGTTGAACCAGTAAAATTGGTCGGGGGCACAGAAGTTGATCATACGATCTTTGTATGCAATAAGTGACTGACCATTCACCATTTTTTCTGGAATAGGAAGCAAATTCTTCCAACATTGCTTGGTAGGATTGTAAGCCAGTCCAGTTTTAACAAAGAGTACTAACCCTTCATATGCCAAAATGATGTCTCCATCAATAGCGACCCATTCATAAGCGATTCGAATGGGTGTAACTTGATCTTTAACAGGATCATATTTATGGAGACTGTAAGGCCCATTGTCTCTAAAGCCGAGGAAGTAGATGAATTGTCCCACAACGCAGACAGATGAAATGATCAGATCAGTAGGCCAGTAGGTTTTTGAGGTCCAAATCTGTTGTTCAAAATTGTACATCTCAACAGAGCGACCGTAAACATTAGGATGACCGAAAACATAAAGATTGTCTTCGAGATTTACACAAAGGAAAGTCGGTCGAGACTGAACTTTGAGACTTATACCTGTCTCGAGAGCAATCTGATGAATGCTATATTCGTCAGAATTTGAACATCCTCGAGCAAGAATGTAGAGATAATTGTTTGGTTTACCCGCAGGAATAGCAGGTGCAGATTGAATCGATTTGGTAGAAGATAAAGAATGAGACTCGCTCAAATTGGTTGTGATGGACAGGGAAGCCAAATTCATAGATTGAGACATTAAAAGCGAATTTTTATATTCATCAATAATATCTCGGCAATCAAGACTTGTACGAACAAGTTTATGATTGCCAAGATCAATTAATTGTTCAGGAGTGAGATTACCAAGCTTAATTTTAGCTAAAAGCTTGGGGAGATATTGAGATCTGTCATCTCTGGCTTCAACCCATCTGATGATACCTTTAGACAACGCATATTCCATTGATGATTCATTTCGTGTGTCTGTGAAAGTTTTGATTAGACTTTCATATGGAAGATCGAGCAATGATTCATGGTCCAGAATTTCTTCTGCAAAACGATAGACCATTCTTTTGAGACAATCAAGTGAAGCTTGATCATTCGTAACACTAGCCATATTCACCATGTCCATGACATTTCTAAGAATGACTTCAAGCATATTTTGTGATTGTTGGGTCAATGGTTCATTACTTTTAGCAATAGTTTTTGTTTCTGTAGCCATTGGCTCATGTGTTGGGGTAGATCGGTTGAAAGGAACAGGCCGTGGGACTACAAAAAGGTTTCCTGATCCTTCCGTATTTTGTGGCCCTTCCATGATAGCTTCGAACGAGCTTGTAGAGCTGGATCTGGATAAGGAAATATCCTGATTACCATCTTCTGTAGCCATTTTGTCAGCATTCCAGATATCAATTGTACGTTTTTTGTCGACTAAGGTCTTGAAAGGCAATGGTTGCATATGGAAAGGATATGCAACATCAATCGTAGCCATTGGATCATCTATATGGCTTTTAATTACCATGCATTCACCATCTCTGTGACTACGAGTCGGATTGATCCTAACAGACATTGTAATTGGCTGCAAAGATCGAACCACAACAACTTGGTAATGATAAGCAGGTTCCGATGTATCCATGATTATATTTTGGTGGATAGCGAATACTGAATTAAAACACAAATAGTATAAACACCGGTAATTAACGATGAAATAAAATGAGTTTGATGAGTAAACCAGGAAAAATATTATAAATCTCTTTGTCTACTATGAGAAAGATGAAAGCTTTATTGCGTCTCTTTGTTATTATCTTCTGATCCAAAAAAACAAACAAAAAAGTATAAACAAAAAAGCGTCCTCTACTGGCAGAAACTAGGGCCTTTTAAATAAATTTGAATTTTCCCTTAATTTTCAATTGTATGAATCACGGAGCAATCGACCAGTGACTAATCAAGCTTGATAACGCATTACATGAATTATCTTAGCATGACAAATTCAGAATCATAAAAGAGGAGCATGAATATCTCTTGATTATTAACAATTATATCTCTTGTCTAACGACAAACAGGCAACAGGATAAAAATGATGAAATCAGTTATCATGACACCAACTCCCTAGATCTAACATTTAATCATTTTTTGATACTTTTCCATTTCATGATTTAGCTAACAAAGTTATCCTAAGTATCAAATAAATTAGTCATCTTGATAGTTAAATTTTAAATAAATTTGAATTTCTACTAAAATTTCAATTTTGGCGCTCCATAATGGGTTAAGAATTGAGACTCGCGGTTAAAACTGAAAGAAAAGATAATTAACTGTGTTTACTTAAATTTTCACTGTAAATTTTCTAGAGTTTGCATGATTGAACCATTTGTTTAATTAAAAGTGTGTATAACTTTGTTCGATGATTGAATGCTGAACCGCGGTTAAGTGATTTAGTGGTAAAAGCTGGTTACATCAATGGCTCAAGTAAAATTTGAGAAAATAATTTCTTGTTCTTCAGAAGATCCTGATTTCCCTGCTAAAAATATTTTAACATGTGGAGAGGTTCCTGGTGCTTGGAAAACTGCCAAAGAAGGTGAAAGCCAGGGAACGGTAGTCATTCAGTTGGACAGAAAGTACAAGATAAGTCAATTGGAGATTAAAAATGAAGCCTCTGCATTCATTGAGGTTCTGGTTGCCAATCAAGATGAGAACGAAGAGGCGAAATTTCAAGTTTTGTTATCGGTATCGTCTTTTATGACTCCCAATGAGAGTAAAAATTTATCCAATGTCAACCGTCTGAGAGTCTTTGCAAAAGATAAATTATCTCCTTCTGCTTTGAAGCAATCATTTGATTTGGTCAAAATCAACTGTACTCAACCTTTCAACAAAACTATAAAGTATGGAATTTCATATATAAAAATAATGGAAGGTGACGCTGATGACTCTTCTTCTCCTATCAGTTCAGCCCTATCAATAAAAAATAGGGTAAACGACAATAAAGATGATAATACTCCTGTATCACCACCCACCAAAGATAGTTCACCTAGAGCTGGCACTGCACCTGTAGACACACTTAGTATGCCAAATGTAAAAGATGATTCTTCACCATCGCCCAATAAGAAAGTAAAGGTTGCAACAAGAACTCTCGATAAACCTTCGACCTCTAGAGACCAGGATAAACGAAACGCCAAACCGAAGGAAAAGAAGACTAAAGTAGATCAACCTTTTTGCCAATTGATGAAAGGTGTAACATTCACTATTAGTGGATTCCAAAACCCATTAAGATCTGAAATTAGGAGTAAAGGATTACAAATGGGTGCTAAATATAAAGGAGATTGGGATAGAAGTTGTACGCATTTGATTTGTGCATTTCCAAATACGCCAAAATTTAACCAAGTCAATGGTACTGGTGGAAAAATTGTTACCAAAGAATGGATTGAAGAATCGTACGATCAGCGAAAGTTGTTGCCGTGGAAAAAATACAGTCTAGTTGATGGAGGAAGAGCTTCAAAAAAGAGTAGTTCAGAAGATGAAGATGATGGAGAAATGGACGATTTTATTGTCGATGATGACGAAGATGAAGATGAAGAAGAAGAATACGACCCAAAGACTAAAAATGAATTAGAGGATGAAGATGAAGATGTGAATGAGTTAGGACCTGTGTTGCCACAAAAATTGCGAGACAACTCCCCTCAAAGGCCCAAACAACCTACTTTAATTAATTCGCCATTACAAAATAAAAGTCCAAAAGACAATAAGGTTGATAAAGTCAAAGCAAAAAATAACATTAAAGACGAAGATTACAATAGCGATGATATTTATGATGCAGCAACAGATGAAGATTAATGCAATTAAATTTACATTGATCATGATAAAATTTTACCAATCATAACTCTAAATTTTGTTACGAATTATTGTATTATTTTTATTATAGATTATCAAAAATTTCTTAAATAGCACTAATAAAAATACATTTCAGTTAAATAATCTTATTGTAATTAATATTCGTTATCTAACCGCTGGAGTAAGTTTATCATTCTGCTTAACTATTTTTAATTATTTATTAGTTTATCATAAATTTATTGGTATAGTTTTGATTATTGTAGTAATCATTTCAAATTCGGAATTTGAATTTAAAATTTTATCCTCGTATCAGCTTTTTGGTTTTGCCGCTCAAATTTGGTTTGAAGATGTTTCTTAAGCAGACATGTTATGTTTACTTTTTTCAAAATGTTGCTGTAAATTGTTTACCTCAGCCATTCCTTTTGTGCCATCTTAATTAAATTTAACTGTATAAATCTGATGGTTTACTCTTCGAATGTAATAATGGTTTTGTGACTAAACTGGAAAATTCATATCATCATGAAAATCACTTCTATATTAAATCTGTGATCTACCAATAACCAATGGTTAATTCATATCTAAATCTCTCCTGTGTGATTAATGCTCAGGTTTGTTTATGGCGACCTTTCCGGTAAGATCATATTTTTGGTCACTGAGGAGAAGACTCAAAAAGACATTTAAATCACTATCCAATGCTAGAAATTCGAGTATTTACATGGTACGATCACGGAGAAAAATCATACCATACCTTTCCTTTTGCTTTTTCCACTTTTTTCTTTCTTTCTTTTTACAGTTGTGTTTGTTTTAATTGATTTTTTCTTCGAATTTCTTGTATTGTTCAGTGATTTAAAAGTCTTTTATGTCTCCTCCTCAGTGATCAAAAATATGATCTCACTCAATTTTCATTACTTACTCGATATCTTCAAAATTTTATCAAAAGAAATTAATCTCATCTGAACTTATTTATTTTACAGGATGCTTTCAACCCGCCTTTACTGCATTGTATTTATATTGATTTTCTTCGTTGTTCTTCTGTTTAATCATTATTACATATCTAAAAATGTGGTTGATGATTCAATCAATAGCAATATTGGAGCATCTAATGGATTGATTCATAGGCACACATCAAGTCCACCTTTCGACAGTGATGATTTGGAGAATGTCTATCGTATCGATAATCTCAAATACAGGATCAATGAGATGCTACGGATAAGAGGTTCAGTTAGCAATGAGTTAAAAAATTTGGAAAGTAAAAGACAAAAGCTTCAAAATGAAATTGCTAGTTTATCCAATCGATTGGTGGAAACACAATATCAGCTCACTAAGAAACAGTCTGATTTGAATCGCGTTCACTTCTCCGTTGCTCAAGCTGAATTTACACAGAAAGAAACAGCATTACGGAACCAACCATTTCTTGCTCGACCAATCAAGCTCCTACCTCTTTCAAGACCAGAAATTTCTTCCGATAATATCAATGACTTAGTGACCAATGGGTGTACCATGACTACATGTTTTGACTATTCTCGATGCTCTTTAACCTCGGGCTTTCCTACTTACGTTTATTCAAAAATAATCAAGAGTGAAACAACTCATCTTGCATTTGAAGAAGACGCATTTATGAGTGCATTTAGACTTAATCCTCATTATACACTTGATGGTAGCATTGCCTGTGTCTATGTTGTCTTCATTTACATCGAGGATGCAGAAATTAACATTAACTTATCTATACCATTGCTTCAATCATTTTTACATAATCTCGATTATTGGTCTGGTGATGGAAGAAACCATATAATAGTCAATTTAAACTCGAGCGTTGATATAATCGATTTAGGCATAAAACCTTTACGAGCTCTAGTCCTTCAAAGTAAATTTAATGCTAATCATTTTCGAGAAGGTTTTGATGTGATAATACCACCTTTGAATAGCAATCAACCACAATCATCAATTCAATCAAACTGTCCTGCAAGACGCAAATATCTTTTAACTTATCAAGGATCTATAAATAAATCTTTTTCAAACTTTCAAACAAAGAAATTAATTGAAACAATGAGAGCGATCGCCAATCAAACGAAATCCGATGAAATTAATTTTGACTTTAATTGTGCCAACAACTGTAAAAGCCTTTCTACTCAATCCACATTTTCTCTGATATTACCACCTTTAGAAAAATGGTACAAATCTCATCCTGAAATAATCAATGATATATTTCACCTCTTCAAAATAGGTGTAGTGCCTGTTTTAATTGGAGGTCGGGACTACAAATTGCCATTCCATGAGGCTATTGATTGGAGACGATCAGTTCTACATGTTCCAATACCTAGAATATCAGAAATTCATTTTATAGTCAAATCTTTTAGTGATTCTGATATCATTGACATGAGACGTCAAGCAAAATTGATATTTGACAGATATTTTTCCACACACGAGACCATTGCTAAAACAATATTCTCTTTTATCCGGCATCAACGTCTTGACATTCCTGCTTTACCCGCAAAGGAGGACACATATCCGTTTTTGTACAACTCTACTTATACCGTAGACAAATATTTGGAGGCATTCGATAGCGCTTTGAACCAAGAAAATGAAATCGATGAGAATCTCGGTCCAATAGAGTCTCCTTTTCCTTCAACTACCTTTCAACGCAATTTTTCACTTACTTTGTGCCATGGTTATTATCTTTGGAACTCAGCTCACCTTAATCCATTCACCCTTTATCCAAATACACCATTTGACCCTGTGTTACCTTCTGATGCCAAATTTTTAGGATCAGGTTATGGATTCCGTCCTATAGGTCAAGGAGCTGGAGGAACCGGCAAAGAGTTCAGTGAAGCTCTTGGTGGTAATTGGCCCAAAGAACAATTTACTATTATCATATTAACTTATGAGCGCGAAGCTATTCTTCTTGATTCTCTTCAAAGACTTCGAGGATTACCTTATCTCAATAAAGTTTTGGTCATCTGGAATAGTCCAAGGAAACCTTCTCCTGATGTAAAATGGCCTGAACTTGGTGTTCCCATAGTTGTCATTGCTGCTGATCAAAATAGCTTAAATAATCGTTTTAAACCATACAATCAAATAGAAACTGAAGCAATACTTTCCATGGATGATGATGCTCACCTTCGTCATGATGAAATCATATTCGGCTTTCGGTAAGTTGTTGAACCGTTCTTTGCAATAAGATGATCTGTTTGGACTATTAATTAATACTAATTTGCTTTTCTAGGGTTTGGAGGGAAGCTCGAGATAGAGTTGTAGGTTTTCCTGGACGATATCATGCTTGGGATATGAATTTTAATTCATGGCTTTACAATTCAAATTATTCGTGTGAATTATCAATGGTGTTAACTGGAGCAGCATTTTTTCACAAGGTACATTTCATTAGAAATACAATCAAATTCAAAAGCTTCATTTACTTATAAATCAATAATTATCATTTGTATTTTTTTCAGTATTACACCTATGTATATACCTACACAATGGACAAAGCAATAAGAGAAAAGGTTGATGAATACATGAACTGTGAGGATATCGCAATGAATTTCTTGGTTTCTCATATAACTCGACAACCTCCTATAAAAGTAACGTCCAGATGGACTTTCAGATGTCCTGGTTGTCCTGTTCGGTTGTCTGAAGATGATTCGCATTTCCAAGAGAGGCATAGATGTATCAATTATTTTACTTCGCTTTACGGCTACAATCCTCTTTTACAGACTCAATTCCGTGCAGATTCCATTCTTTTTAAAACCCGAATTCCTCATGATAAGCAAAAATGCTTCAAATTTCTGTAATTAACACTGTATAAACTCATTCGCTTGCCATCTTAAATAATATAAAAAACAATACCACAAAAATAATTCTTTGATATGTTTCTTGATCATTTTATTCTTTACCATTTAAACTGAAACCATTCATTCTCATTAGACTTCGTGCCAAATTCTGTTTTCACGATTTCAATATCTTATTAAGTCCGCGTTGTTTCAGGGAATTGCTTTTATCGACTCAACAATACCTTTCAACATTTCAAAATTTTCTCTTGTTGTGATTGCTCTTAACTCGCGAACTTTAAAAACACTGAAAACACTCAAGTTCACATGAAAATCTATTGAATGCTATGGACTCCTACGGTCAACGAGTTTTAATTCATTCATTCGAGTTGAAGGTTTTTAGACACTTTTTTGTAAACTTCAGCGTACCCTCTGAGATTTTAATCAAGTCGATTGCAATTTTTAACGATTTAAATTGTTATTTAATTATTATTTATATTTTATATGATTTAAACCGCCATCACATGGCTTGAATTGAGCGCCTGCGTTCTGTGAATATGTCTTGAAGATGTCTTCAATCAGTTCTTAAATACAGTTGAGTACCTTGATAATTTATATACTTTCCTACTGGATTGCTCCTGATTCTTTAGTGTATTTAATTTGATTTTATTGTGATATTTCAGTTTAACAGTTTATCATTTCATCTAACCCACAAACAGTATTGCATTTTCATGTCATCCATGTATGGTGAGTATCTCTTTCCTAGTCTCAACTGTAACTATGTTATTTGCATATTATTATGATCTTGAAAATCTCTCCTTTACGTCTTATTCTTTGTCTTAAATTTTTATTTTTGTGTCACCTTTTCTTTCTTATTTCAGCTGAAAATCAAACAGACGAACCAGAAGACCCTGTTTTTACATCATTGGTTACATCTGTATTAAAGCTACAAAATGAAAATAAAACATCCAAAGAAGCCATCAAAAAGCTGGAGGATGAATATAAAAAGGAGAAAAGAAAGATAGAAGAAGAAAAGATTTTGAACAAAGAAATTTTTGAAGAAGTTGCAAATTTAGAAATAGAAAAGTCCAAAGCTCAAGAAGAGCTTGAAAAACTTATCAATCACAACAAAATGCTTCGTGAAACCTGCAGTGGGAGCTGTCAAAATTTAACTCACAGTGCTAATGAAGTTATGGTTAAACTGAAGGAAATAATAAACTGCTCTACCACAATGAAAGACACTCTTAGTAGAATAAATCAACGATTGGTAAAAGACGGGCCTGAAACTAAAACGACTGGGGTTAACACTGACTTAAGTGGTGATGACTATGCCGGTGTAACCGTTCAATCAGATATCCCATCTTATAAAGACAATGTCATCGAAGTTTTAACAAATTCAAATTTTGATTTGGAAAGGCAAATTGAAGCAATCACTCAAAAATTCATTCCAAGTGATAGTATGCTTGTACTCGTTGATGAATGGAGGGAATTGAGACTTCAAGCTAATCGAATGAAAAAAACCATGGATTCCGCTATTAACTTTGCTAAGTAAAAAAGATACAATCAAATTTCAACTCTTCATGACTTCCATTTCATATCTATTTCTCCTCGATTGACCCTCAGTGATATGTTTCTCTCTACCTCATTCTTATACTCAATTTTCGTTCCTTTCTCTCGAGCTGTTTTTCTCGTGATTTTCAAAACCTACTTTACTCTCAACACAAAATCTGCAATTAAAATCAACGTGTCATTAGCTTGTCATATATTGTTTCTAATATTTCTAACCTTTGTTCACTTAACAATTTGGTAGTATCTAAAATGGTAGTTTCCGTGCATCAATTTGCTCTTTTATTAATGAAAATTTTTCCAACCATGACATTTTCTTGAATTTTCTGATAATCATGTGTATATAATTGACAATTAAGAACTTCATTTCGCAATTAAACACGAAATAAAAAATTGTCTGTAAGACATTGCCGACTCTTTCAATACTTGTGTAAATGAATGTTGTGAAGGAAAGTAAATGTTGAATCGATCATATGTTTGAAGATGCTAACAAAAAAAAATGATTCCAAATCAAGATTTTTTTATAGAATTCATTTATTCAATGCTAGAATGAAATTCAATGCAAAAATTCATTTTCAAGCTTGAGCTCTTATTGGCTGTTATTGTAATAATAATATCATAGAAACATAAAGATAGAATGGGGAAAAATGAAATAGGAAGATGTTAGTACAAAAATCATACATTCCTCAATAAACTTTTCTGATGCCAAGATGAGTCAAATATTGCCTAAATTAGAAACTTTAATTGGACGTATCGCAGTCGATCTTACCTGAGAATCGGATACTTGGCATCACTTTATTCTAGTATTGCAAATATTTTATATTGTGTGTTGGTTAAATGGAACTGTCATTAACACACTTTCAACCTAACAAAAGAATCACAATGCTACTAAAATAATGGACAAATAAATAGTTTTTATTGATGCATTATTTGTTTTTCAGTCTTCATGAGCTTTTCATTTTTCCTTTTTGCCTGTTCATCAAATGAAGTTTTCTGTTAATAAGAGAAAAATAAATTAGATATGGTAAAAAATAGTTGATTGAATAAATTACCTTGCTAATAAACCACCCAAAAGAGCTCCAACCCAATAAACGAGGAAATGTTCCAGAAAATCGTTTCCTTCACAATTAAGTGTCAACGCCGAGGCCAAAATGGGATTAAAAAAACCACCAGAAGTATCAAGGGCTACAATGGAAATAATTAATCAATGTTAAAACAATAAACTTTATCACACTATAATTGACATAAAATTTGATCCATATTAATTTATAGCAAATTACCTGCAAGGACTAAAGTAACTGTTACCATGGAATTGATGTAATTAGCTAGTCTTTCGTTTAATTTGAACGATTCCAAGCAAACAATACGACTAACAAAAGTGATAAACATTTCAACCAGAAAACCTTTCAGTACAGTTGTTTGTAACGCTGCTTGACATCGTTTTGTATGCAATTCAGTGTGTTCAGGAGTCAAATGGAAACACCATATAAAATCGATGTACCTAGGGAAAATATAAAAATGATTTAATCACTAAGCTGTCAAAAAATTGTCATAATAACGAAATAAGAAACAATCTAAATGTACAATTAGATGGTTTCCACAGAAGATGCTCAAACCAATGCCAAGATCAGACGAAGCAGAAACTTGGCAGTATAACTTGCTGCTTAAAATTAACTTTGAGATCTTGAAAGTTACTAAGCAAATTATTATATTTAAAAATCGGACTTTTATAAAACGATAAAAATAACCCATCATGAGTATTTATAATCTATTGAGATTGTGAGGCTAATTAATAGCGAAATACATACATTGCAGTGACATAGGCTCCAATCGCCTGACCAATCAAACGTAAATAAATTTTTGGTTGAGTTATTGGTTGGCGCAATAAAATGGCATCTTCAATAGGACCACAAGGACAAGCCTCTGCGTCGCCAAATTGATTGCACCACCAAAGGCAAGCCAAAAAGAGTCCAATGGCAAGTCCAATGTTTCCATGTCTAGTCCAAATTACACCTGTAGAGGGGGAAATCAATGCAAATAAGTAAACAAAGGGCAAGAAATAAGTCAAGTTTCATTACCTAGTTCAGCACAGCCAGAGCACAGTTCAATGGTTGATATAATTTCCCAAAAAAGCAGGGCGAATTTTCGAGGTAAAATTGGTGATAATAATTTACGAAGAATCCAAAATAAAGCTGCATTGAGTATCAAAATTGAGTAAGGAATAGCCGATTGCAACAAGTTATCCATTCACAAACACTGGATGATTGACGATACAAACTTAACCTCAGCTGATCCACAGCTCAAACCCTTTGAAAGAAACTCCTTGTATCCTGAAATCTTAAGTCACTTATTGAACAATCGTGTTAAAAAATGATCACCAGCTGATTATCAATTATAATATTGAAACAAACAGTGATTATATTCAAAAAAGCTAAATAAAGCGAGTTCTTGAAATTTTCAAGTTTGTTGCAAGTTCATATTGCTCACTATTCGGTATAACTTTCAAGTTAGTTCGTTATTTTTTCTCTTTCTCTCCTTCTATTTGTTGCTCAAGGATTGAGTTTCTCTTTTCATCACCATCATCATAAGCTTACTATTTAAAATATATTGTTGAGCTGAATTAAAACGAATGCCAAAAATGTGAACAGAACTGCTCATCTCGAAAAATCGCTTTGCTAGCTATCGATAAAACAAGAAAACAACTATTTAGATGAAATTTTACAATCAAAGATTTTACTTTATCAGCTTTATTGGTCATTTGAATGACAGTAAATAGTTCATTAATCGTTATGGACTCAGAATAATGAACAAGCAATTCTTTAATGATTAATATCATTAGCAAGACCGTTGATAGGATCAGTTTTAAATAAAAACATTATACATTGAGTAACATCAAGTTTCCTCGGTGTTTAGAGAAATTTAATATTTATTTAACTTATTTATTTTGTATATGATACAAATTAAGATTCAATCAAAGTTAAAAGTTTTGGGTTTAATTGAAAAAGTGAAATGTTGAACAAAATGTACTTCGAATTTGGCGGGTAAAATTTTGTGACTCAAACTCGTTTTCTTGGATAGTTACCATAGTTTCTGGTTACTAACAATATTTACCAAAATAGCAATGTTTTTTTCATATTTAAATTGAATCCAGTTAGATTTTTCGTGCCGATTTCATTTTTAATTAGTGTCAACAGCGTTTTTCTTCAGTCCTGGTACATAAACAACTTTTATTTGATAATTTGCTTGAAAACACTTTCAAAGTAACTTTGTTTTTGTTTAATTCACCATGTTAACTGCTTCCTTTTTGTAAAATCACTGTTCGTGAATCTTTTGAATTAAGCTTTGTTTTTACTGACAATTAAATTATTCTGCTTAAAATTAAAATGACTACAAACAAGAGGATTATTTATGTCGGTGGACTTGCCGATGAAGTGGATGAAAAAACTTTGAATGCTGCTTTCATACCATACGGTGATATAATTGATATTAATTTGCCTATTGATTTTGCATCTCAAAAACACCGAGGTTTTGCATTCATTGAATATGAATCAGCTGAAGATGCAAGTTATGCTATCGATAATATGAATGACTCGGAGATCTACGGTAAAACAATCCGAGTTAACATCGCCAAGCCTTTGAAACTTAAGGAAGGATCAGCTCGACCAGTATGGTCTGATGATCAATGGCTCCGTAAACATTCTGGTGTTGCCGAAGAAGCTAAAGACGACGCAGAAAAGGACAAAGATGGAGATGGAGAGGTAACTTGAATAATTTAAATTGTAAAATTGTAATAATTTTATTTGTAATTTCATTGCAGGATGACGACAAGATGGATGATGATGATGTCGTCAACACAGATCTAGATTCAGAAAAACAAGAGGTTGCTCGTTTAAAATCCAACCCACAAGTCTACTTTGATATACGAATTGATGGACATTTCAGTGGACGAATCAGAATTATGCTGAGAAAAGATATTGCCCCATTGACGTGTGAAAATTTCCGATGTCTATGCACCCATGAGAAAGGTTTTGGATACAAAGGAAGTGTATTCCATCGGATAATTCCCAATTTTATGATTCAAGGAGGAGATTTTACAAATAATGATGGAACTGGCGGAAAGTCTATTTACGGGAAAAAGTTTGAAGATGAAAATTTTATTCTCAAACACAATGTTGCCGGTTTACTTTCAATGGCTAACTCTGGTGCAAACACAAATGGTTCCCAATTTTTCATTACGACTGCTAATTGTGAATGGTTAGATAATAAACACGTAGTCTTTGGACAGGTTGTCCAAGGGCTAGAAGTTGTCAAAAGAATCGAAGCGTGTGGAACTAAATCAGGTAAACCAACGAAAAAAGTTGTTATTGCCAACTGTGGTGAACTTGTATAGTGTATTTCATTCAAGTTTATTAAAATTTTACTTTGATAATCTTTACATTGTCCATTATTCCATAATTGTCTCATTAATCCATTTTTCAATTGACGATTCCACAGCTTTATAATCATCTCTGAAGTATGAAGATTGTCATTCACCTAATAAACATTCACGATTTATTAAAGAAATTATTTAAAATATTAGTTGTTCTTCCATAATTTAACAATTAGTTTATTTATGTTTAGTTAACAATAGAAACTTTTAGAGGGAAAAAATGTTGGAAGCAAAAAGTTGTCATTATTGTCGCCATTTGTTTCCATAGTAACAGTAAGTAAGAGAAAGAAGTAAGAGAAGAATAGACTAAATTCTATTTCTTTTTGTTAAGTAAGTGATTTAGTAAACTACTTTTGCCAGTTGAACTTATCTTTCTTTTGTTATTTCTTTAATTAATTAATTAACTAATTTTGTTTTATAAATTGTAATAATTGTTAAATATTGAAGTAAAGTAATTATGTCTTCTGGATCTCGCCAAAGGAAATCATCTTCATCTGGACAGGGTGATAGAGTTAAACAAAAGTTCCCGGACAAATTGTGGAGTGTTGTTTGTGATGACAGTGAAGATTCCTGCTTATGGACTGCTACTGGAGAATCCATTTTGATTAACAAAGGAAAGTTTACTCAAAAATTTTTATCCAACTCGAGTCGCCTTTTTCGAACCAGTAATTTTAAATCTTTTGTGCGACAATTAAATCTTTATGGATTCCGTAAAGTTAACAAAATGAGAAGAAGAGACTATGAAATTTGGTGGGAATATCGTAATGAAAATTTCATCCGAGATCGTCCTGATTTGCTTAAACTTATTAGAAGAAAAGCTTCCGTAGATGACATGGACGATATTACAGAGCCAAATCGACCTGTTAGGAGACGACGAGATCCAAGACGGATTACAAAAGTATTCAATCTTCGGTTAGCGCAATTTGACGATGATCCTGATGAGGAATCAAATGATGACTGTGTGCGAGAACAAAAAATTGACTTGGTGCCTAGCAGGTCTCAGAATTCCGAGTTAATTTTAGACTTTTTTGAAAAAAACTCTCATGTAGGTTCAAAAAAAGACTATTTATTGTCATTTATGGGTGATGAATCGTGCTATGAACTTTTTTCTGATCAAGAAATTGAAGATTCTACTAAAGAAGTTGAAACAATTATAGCAAGGATGGATGCTATTGAAGGCAGTAATCAAATAAAGGACTATTCAATGCGAAGCCTAACTAACGAAGTAAATGATGATAAAGACGAGAACAATAAAGAAAATGAAGATAAAGACGAGAATAATAAAGAAAATGAAAGCCAAGAAAAGACTGGAACGGTCGCAAGAATGGATTACAATAGCCAAGAAAAGGAGCGAATGTTCTCTGATGATTCTTTTGTGATCAATATTCCGCTGTCACAAAAGCAAATTATGGATGGAAACGATTCTTTCATAACTGTCTCACTGTTTCCAGATTTACCATCATCTCAGGAATACAATCCAATGCTAGGAACTAGTGATTCAGATGAGCTTACGTACGAAACCAAGTCCCATCTTTCCTTTACACCAACATATCCCCTTTCACCATCATTGTGATTTTTTTTCAATCGATAAAATCGGTTTATTAAGGATTACATTAATTTTTTTTCAAATTTTCAATTAATTAAATCATTTGATCATATATTTATATATATAAATAATTATCACAATGCAGCGCACAAGCTGGAGCTTGAGCAAATTAAATGTCTAATCTAAATTTTGTTAAATAGAAATTGTTATCGAAATCAAATGCACTGCAATAAAATATCTTCATGAATCATTCAGATTGTTACCACATTTTCCTTTAATTACACATGCCAAAGTAACAAATGATTGGTACTGTCATCGCGCCCCACCGAATCATTGTGTCCAAAGTTTGAGAAATCTTCGTAACCATCACCTCCAGAAATTACAAGGATCTTAGAAGCTTTAGAAGATGGATTTGGGTTCGGCTGACTTGAGGATCTTTTTGAGTGAGAATAAGATTTGGAATGAAATAAGTCATAATGATGATTATGGGGACTGGAAGCTGATGATGGTGATGATAATTGACTTGATGGAACGTCGACGGTTGTCAAGAAACGTACATGACCAGTATGTCCATGAGGTATACCTATTGGTAAGTTGAGAAAGAAGAGTTCATTAATAGTTGGAATAAACAATTTCACCAATTAAATGAGTTTGCCTGGTTAATTGCATGCATGAATGTAATCAGAAAGAAGCCTCAATTAAATGTAACTTGAGTATGAAAATCATTCTGAAAGCCACAAAATTCTGAACGTTAATTTACCACAAATCAAGAAGGTAAACTCTGAATTAAATGAAAGAGAGGGGAGTTGTGACCTTTTATATAAAAAAAGTTAACCGTTCATGATTGTACCAGTTAATTTTTCTCAAAAACAAACTAATATTTCTTTTCAATTAGATTACAATTTAACAGAAAAGATATGGAAGACTCAAGATTGAACGATGGTGATGGTAACTTAACGAGATACAAGGTTCAACTCTTCTTGTTTTCTCTCTCCTTTCTGGTGATTTTAGCCTCAAGGCTTAGGAATTGCATTATTTTTATAAGAAATGAAATATAGCTGATGGAATATACTCTTCAATGGGTTGGGCAGTTTTACAAGAAAACAATTACATGAATGTTCACAGTATCCAATGGATAAAGATACAAAGATAGAAAACTTTCATCAAAACATTTTCATTAAGTATTTCAATCATCATGATATAACAAATCATAAAATTTCAATAATGAGATTTATAACTCACCTGAAATATTTGGGCAATGATCAATTGAAGTTGTCGATGGAGTTATGTGAGGTAATGGAAGTGTCATGATGATCCCCGCACTGGTTCCAATCCAGAGTAAATCCTTACAAGCCAACATAGCAGTAACCCGAAGACAAGCCGCTTTATGTTGCCTAATAATTTCATCACAAGCTGAGGAAAAAATGATCAGATAAAGAAAAAAATAAATTAATATCGATACACAAACAAAAGAGCGAAACAGTCAGATCGATAGTAGATAAAGAGAAGCAAACCAAGATGAAATAAACTATGACAATAAGTGTGAAAGGGCTGAAACGGTAAGATCAAAGGAAAATGAGAGATACAGTAGGGTTACCCTTAACTTGATAGAATTTCGTGTTGGCGCCACCTATTGGATCAAGCAATTTAAAGTCATTTAATTGTAATTTTTCATTTGTTTCAACCAAAATAATCAAAAATTTAGTGAAAAAACGTGCCCTCTCCGGGCCAACTTCAATTCTGAATAATCTTGACGTT